TGGTTGGCTTACCATAGGCAACGACAACCATGACGTGACCCTCGAGGTATGTGGAAAACAGATACCTAGGCTATCTTCTGTGCTAGATCCTGGCATCGGGCATTCCGAAGGCTTGACATTCTCGGAACAAATAACGTGTATCAGATTCAAGCCACGTAATCTCTTGGGATGCACTATTCATAACTTCCCTGCCAATGGATCACATGTTCCACACTCTGTAAAGTGTAGACTCGCCCACTTGTAGAATATTGCTCGTTTACCCTCAGTGGCCTTCTTAGAAGCGATAAACTGGAAGTCGAGGGGATAGATCCTTGCTTCACCCTCAGTAAACTAGGAGCTGACTGCAGTCTAGATAACACATCCAGGTGCAACGTGCTTGGGTTAGAACCACTCTGGGAGAGGAGACTTAGGCTGAGCCCCACATTCTGTTATAAGTTACTTCATCAGCACTCGCACTATACTGGTCCCCAAAATGAAGCTAATTACAATGTCTACATACAGTGGGCGTAACCATAAAGAATTAGATGAAACTGAATGCCGTATGGTTAGCCTGCGAGTTAATTTCTCCCTCAAAAATTCTCGCACATTTGGAATGGGCTTCCCACAGAAACCCATATGACAGGTTGGTTAACACAACCGCTCTGCAATTAATGGGCTACTAATAAACAATGGGTTTCGCTTAGCTACCCTCCATTTATGCATCCTAGGCTAATGAGGACGCACGTGGACCTCTAAATGCATGAAGCAGAGTTATTATAGTCCTCGAGTTCCACTTACACCGATGGGTTCACGATTGCACACAAGGGTGTGAGTACTAGTTCCCCTCCTCACTTTAATGAACTTTATGTACGCTGGTAACCCTTCGAAACTTCTACGATATACCACAGATATTTAAAATTTTTGGGAACCTTAAAACAAAAAACTAGGTAGTTACTCATACATGCATACATGAAGGTGTACGTAAAGTTCGAGCAAGTCAAAAAGCATAGCAACTTCTCTCTTTTCCAGACAGGACTGAGCAGTAATTCATTTTTCCACATCCGCTCATGCTTCTTCTTTCATTTCCCATTGGCAGTGACAGCTCGATGAGGACATTTGATGCCGAATTTCAATCTGAACATAGATATTTAGTGGAATCATACCTCCTCAGTGACCGTAAAAACCATCATGAAAGCAGAATTAGGGTGGGGACATGGAACGCAAACAAGATGTTTGAATCCGACAAGGCGGCCCAGATTGCAAACGATATGAGAAGGTATCACTTTGAAGTGCTTGAAATTTGCAAAAGCAGATGAAATGGGAGTGGAATCTCCAAACTGTCAACTGGAGAGTCATTAATCTACTCCGATATTGTCACACAGACGACAACCACAAGCACACTGAGTTTTCGAGTGGCTATCATGATATCCAAAACAACAGCGAACGCTCTTATAAAGTGGGAACTAATCTCCTACTTTGGGATCATGACAGCAAGATTCAACTCAATAGGAAAATAAGTAACAGTCATACAATGCTACGCTACGCATCAACAAATAATGCACATGAAGAGAAGAAGGAGGAATTCTACAGACAACTGCAATCAACACTGAACAAAACCCCACTCCAGTTGGCGACATCAAAATTCTAATGGGTCACATGAATGCCAGACTGTGAGCAGACAACACAGGAAGAGAACTTATCATGGGTTGAGAAGCACTCGGTGAAACGAATGGGAATGGAGAACTGTTTGCAGAAATCTGTGCATTCAACAATTCGGTGATTGGAAGCACTGTGCTCAAACACAAGGATATTCACAAAGCGACATGGATTCGATTTCACCAGATGGACACACTACACTAAACATCAGATCGACTTCATCTCAATGTGAAGAAAGTGGAGACACAGCTTACTGGACACAAGATGAAGAAGGGGAGCAGATGTAGGTTCACACCACTCACTATCTAGTATAAGGAACCTTCAAAATCAAGTTGAAAGCCTTCAAGGAAGTTGATGATAGACCACAGTTCAAGTTCAACATCCAGAACAGAAACTGAACTGAAGAATAAAAGCAACAAGGGACATCTTCACGTCAGCCAGTCATCAGGACAAAATGGGAGGCATTGAGCAACGTCCCTGAAGGAACCTGTGGGGAAGAACACTGGAACTCTTCTAGAGAGACGTGGAAGGAAACCTGCATAACCGTATTAGGAAGGAAGAAGAAAGAAGACGGGACAGGAATGAATCTCGACGGACACATGGAAGCTGATAGAGCAGGGAGAAGAAGATGGTGATGGTGAAGCAGAAGATAAACCAGTGCATGGATGCACAACGACAAGAGGAATTGAGTACAACGTATAAAATACTACACTGGACAAAGAAGTGAAGAAGAGTGCACGGAACGACAAAAGACACTTCCACGACACACTGGCAAATGAAAAAGAACAGGCTGCTGGCTGGTAGGAGAGACAGGGATCTGCGGAACGTACTTCCTCAGGAAGTCTATTCCAGACGTGAGAGAACTGACTGATGAGGAAGTTCCCTGGCAATTTGATTTCAGGTATCAGGAGCGTATCTATATAACTAGTTCCGCAGTATGAACTTCTTGAAAATGTGAAGGTGGATACTCAGTGAGGATCGACTGAATGGGGCTCCAGATAATGTGGTGATCATGTCACGAAGTACCTTTGCTTGAAATTTGATGAGACTTGCAACCAGAGGAGGTTTATAAACCTGGCAGCCATGACAGGACTATCCTTGATAACAGCAAACAATCCGCTGTTTGTTGAGTCATTAAACGTGGGCCACTTACCACGTCCGCCTTGAAGCTGCAAGTTCATCATTAACAGAATCATTTGAACTGTGGATTGAAATGCCCCGCTTAATAATAGCTATAACAACATAATTGTAGGCAGACGTGGGGATTACTTTGAGGACAAGTTTGAGCACTAGACTTGTGACCGGAGCCGCTTGCCTCTCTCAGACAGCTTGGCTACTCTGAACCCCAACAAGCCGCTGCGGAATCGCAGTGGTCACATGATGAAGTGAACTCGACGAACTACTACAGTCAAACCTGAGGTATCATTTACCTGACGGCGACACATCCATAATAATGCTATGCAACAGATTTCTCCAGTACCTTGTCCTGTATCAATCCACCTAATAGAGGTCAGTTAACAGCTGATGTATCTCCCTGACAATGTTGCATACTTTAATATGAAGTCTATGAAGTTGTACACACGCGTAATATTCACCACTGTTGAACGAAGATGCTTCCAGCCTTTAACTACTTGCAATACAACAGATGTTTTCAGTACTACCAGTCTGAACTGCTGTGGAAGGTAACACTTGAAGAGTGAGAAACGCCCGAACTTAGACATTCACCTGGATTAAACGATTGTATGGATGCTTACTTATCCCTGAAATCATTGAAGTAAGTTGTTGCTGGTCAGTAAATCTACGAACATAAGAATTGCTGTTAAAATTGATGTTTATCTGACGAAACACTTGGTCTTCTAGATGGGTCAGTCATGTCGACTACTCACAACGCAAACACCAAATATTGCGCCGTTTGATGTGAAATAAGAACTGTGAGCAGAAATGACTTAAACTCAGAAGGATGTGTTTGTACTGTAAAGTGATATTTTCCTGCTATTTTCATGAAATTTAGACACTTGGTACCACGATAGAGTTTAATATCCTCTCTCTGCATCATTCAATACTGCAAAAACCTCTTATGTTTCTCTGCAATTATCAATTTGATGACGCCTGTAAACTGGCTTCTCTCATGCTAAATTCATAGCTCGAGAGTAAAGATGTTTATTTATTTACTTATTTATCATTTTGCTTCCTAGGTTTCGTATGCATTTCCCCTTCACATTGTCATGATAACTTTTGTCAACCTACTTCAATTTCTCAAATTCGAACGTTGGTTTGGTGTCTGAAGTTCGGTATCAACCGCACTTCAGCCTTCTATTATTGTTTGACAGTTGAGACTCATATTGAGGATGCACCCACGTTAATGTGCGGAAACTGTTTAAAATTATTGTGTTACCACGGTTAGGTGGGTGCTTTTAATCCAACTGAGTGTCCTAACAGTGCCAAAGTAACTAAAAGCCATTTACGGGGTTAACCGGTCAAATACTGTCTAGGGGAACAATTACGGAAGCCGAATATTTAATTAATACTCTTGTCACAGGAAAGGTACCTTTCCAGTACTTTAACCTGACGCTTTTAGCAAGGACATGTATGTCTGAGTTGTTTGTTCTCTCACACCAAAAGGTAAACAAGAACTACTGTTTTGTCAGCGGAAACGGGGTATGGAAAAGAAGTCTCACTGTGGAGTGACGTAGTCCATATTTAGTGAGATCGGAATGAAGTAGCAGCAGAATGCTGTGTCTAGCATTAACAAACGGCAGCTTTCAGCTTCCGGGATACACCAAGTTCCTTACATCATTGAGTGTGAAAGTAAAATTTGAGTGCGGTAATAGTTCTTAATTCCATGTCAGTTTGGTTTATCGGATACTTTATACGGCGATACAGTGTTACTTAGTGAGTAAACTGACATAAGTAAACGGTTCTTTGATTTATGTGGGGACCAGATTGTGTCTACTACCGAGAGTTTGCGTTAGCAGACTGTTGCCATGATCTGATTTCAGTTACATATCTCCATCATACATTTGAAGTGGGCTGAAATATTTTGTACACCGCTCATCCTCCTATGTCCTCAAGTGTTTTGCACCATTATTGATGAAGCGGGAGAACACATTGTTACTTGGTGTTTTTTTGTTACATTTCGTCTTGTAGCTTGAATATCATGGAAGTGATGAGTATCTGCATCCTAAGGAATATTTCTGTAGTCGACAGACTAGTTCTATCCAATAATTTGTGCGGTGATACCTTATTCCATATCCAATAAAATAATAAGTGTCTGCTAGAAGAATGACCAGAGTGACAGACAATCTAGTGCACCTGTAATCATTGAGCTTTTGGTTATTTGTTATAAACGGCTAATTAGTATGTTTGTTTTCAGTTATTTTTATGAAGTTAGCGTCTGTGATACTATGCTCAAGGTATACTGCATATTTTCGACATATCTGAGAAGGAGAAAACCTATTTTTTATTCAGATGGATTTCTCTGAAGGTGTTTGGCCAATCCTTTAGTCCAGAGTTCGCTTATCCTATCGTTGAAAGTGATGAAGTAAGTTGTTACTTACCTAAAAAAATTGCTATGTTTGTTGTTTTTTAAGGGATCATGGGAATTGAATCACTCCTTTATCGCTGGACTATCATCCTTTGAGTTGTATTCTGGAGTTAATCAAATTATTGAGTTCAAAACCTCTCCTCGCGGTAAGCAAAAATTTTTCATGGGTATTATATGCAAGACAAGTAATTTCGATATACTACGGAAATAACTGTTTGTTACTTGTCTGCGCTAAAGGGTACCTTGAATCGTACACTTATTGGCTCCCTCTCTTAATTTCATGCACAACGTTTTAAATGTGATTGGAATTGCTTCAAAAAGTTGTATGAGATTATGAGAAGCTTTCATTCAACAGACTTTCGCGTTTGTAGTCAATAAACCACTAGTTCCTGTATCTTAAAACCCGGGTTAACTGAAGAGGAGTAAAAATAAATATGCACCACAGAGGTCAGGTAGTTGGAGAGTTAGTTTGCATGCTCATGCTCTGACCTTAGACTTCAATTTTGTGTTTGGATGATAACTTTCTAAGCCCTTACTGAGATCTGTTTTATTTTACTAAACTTCTTGTCGTTACCCATGAGATTACTATTAAGGCTGAGCTTCAGAAAATAGTTTAGCGGGCGACCTGAAGTGTTCAAAACATTAAACGGCACTATAAGGTCCCTTCTCAGTCATCCGTATTCTATCATATATATTCACTACTGTCATACCTGTCTCATGTAGCCTGGAGCCTAATCCACGAACGGATTTAGTAAAGGGTCTCTGATGTGCTCCGAGTGGTTCTTGTCCTTTTTATGTGAGTAAAGCAGATGGCATTCCTTAATTCTGACTGGAGTCATATGAAATTGTTAAAGATTTGATAGAAACACTTGTGGTTAAACTGTCTTAAGATTCTTCGCGGTGTTAAAGCTGTTAACTTTGCACGGAATACGTTTTTTTCATTTATAGTATGCTCCACCTTAATAATTTGGCTTAATCCTTTAATATTTTCCCACCACTCATCAGTGTATCTCAAGCAGAAGAGTGGTTTGTCTGAACTTTTAACTCCCTTAATTCAAGTTTCATCGGAGCAATCCTGTTTGTTTCATCTGCTTACTGGAAGAGTGTATACTTTGCTGTTTGGAATGCATTTCTCAGCTCATGTATTGCATAAATCTTAGTCCATATCTACTTACATGCATAACTTCGAAAAACCATGATTTTGTGAATGACCAGGAATCAAGTGAAGCACTGTACTAAGTTGGTCAGAGCCGGCCGAATTGGAGAACCTTCTCTCTAACGTTCATTTTTGTTTAAAATATAATGCTGCAGATACATTCTCTGTACCAGTGAATAGTTGACCAATGTAATCAATACCATATCTTAATACCTGATGTCAGTGAACAGTTAAGTAACTAATTAGCCTTAATTTTTTCACTGATGACAGAGTTCACGTTTAGGGATAATATTGGATAGTTTGATACTTTGTTGCATAGACTAGACTAATGTCTATCCGACATATTATAGACATTATCTATTGATGGATTAAAAGTATTTATTAAGACGGTTTTCAGGTGGTCAATATATTTGGCATTTATATCAGTGATCTTCATTTTGAATTTTTGTTGATATGAATGGCTAAGTCCAAGGCTTACTTCGACCTTGACGATCTCTATTCAGACAGACAGCTGGCAAAAAGCAGGCTTGATCAAAAAGTTTTTCCCTTATCAACAATATTACTTAAATACATATGTTGACAGCACAGATAAACTCATGCAATAAATGCACGGAAGTTCAGCTTAGGCCAGAATATTGCCCTTAAATGCATAGTCCTTGTAAGATTCGATAACATTTATAAAACTATGACCCACGATCCCTCGTAAAGTTGAGCGAGATATTCCTAAATTTACAATAGCTTGATATAAATCTATAAAACTGATTTTGGGTACAAATCTGTCCAGCTTTGATCAGAGTAGAGATGACTGGGTAACAAATGCTGAAGGTAATACCCGGTTAATAGCTGTGCAGGTTTCAGGTATTGTTGGTTTGCAAAAGATACTAACTTGGACTCTTCTAGGTATGTAGTGATTACGTCTCTATTTTCCTGTTGGATGTAACTGTGAAACAAACTTAAATCTAACCAGAAATGACTTTAACTTCGAAATGGAAACATGATTCGGGAGATATGTTACCTCTGGTTTAGAAAAAGACAGTGTATCGTATATATAGTCGTAAGTAAAGAGTTCTCACAAAACCATAGTTTCAGTGTGTGTTTATGAGTTTCCGTTGATGCATTGCGTAGTAAATTATACGTGCTGGTTTCCCAAATCTAGAACAGAATTCCTTTCGAAAGCGACTTCGCGACACCTACTTAGTTAAAGTTCACTATCTGATTTCGGATTTGCAACCTATATTTATTTTATGTGTGATTTGGTCAGGAAACTAATTCTTCTCGTAATGTTGTATTTCCTTCAGCTGTATTGCACCTGCTAAATCAAGAAATTTACTTCTTTTTTGATTTTGCACTGACCTTTCATCGCATTCATCAAGTCCGTGGATTGTATTGTTAGATTATTATAACTTTTACCAGTTCGCAAATATATTTAGTCTCTAAACAGCTGAAGTATTTTAGTTCAAAAATTTAATATCTGCTAAAAAGCAAATGATAACTGCGTTGCTTAAGTTAGAATTGAAATGCTGAAATTTGCACTGTGATGGCTTTGACTTATTTTACCCAACTTTTCCAAACAGTCATTAAATATATTTCTGTCGTTCACCTTTTACTGACTTAAGTCATTTATTCATTCGTTTTCATAAACAGCCCAATAGATTTATGCATAAAGTACCGAGTTATTTCCGAGGAAACAATAATAAAGGACAAATGGCATGAGAAAGCGGGAGAAATGGTGTCCAAGACCTGCCTCAAAAGAAACAGTGGGTAGGATCTAGAACAGAACAAATTAGAACATGACTTTCAGTGTTAGCTTAAAGAACGTCTATTACTGTTGGCAAGATGTTTCTACGAATTTAGGCAGTGGTTAGTCTTGGAAACTTGCCACTTCATAAAACTAACTGCCTTGATTTTAAATCTGATCTCTATTTCGTCTGAAATCACAGGCAGATTTATAGTCCAGCCTTTTTCTTCCGAACTTCAGGTGGAATGTAGATGAATGATGCAAATGATATGACAGAGCTTGTCCGAAAGTACTCAACAAGAATCTTATATTATATGAAAATTGGCACTTACACCTGAAATCTTGTAGATGTATTTATATTCTTACGAAAAGCATAATAACGACAAACTTAAGTTGCTTTTTCAACACTTCAGTATCAAATTAAGACGGTGATGATTTTGTGAAGTTTAGCGAAATAGATTGAGAAAAGATGTATCTAACCTGTGAAGCCGCTACACTGAAAATTTCCGGGATCTATAAGACTTTATAATGACCGAAGTAGTTCATCAACAGTTCTGTCTTACGGAAAAAACATAAAATCTATGCAGTTTTCTAAGCAGTGGTGGTGTTACTGGAACAAAATATCGGGAATACTGTATTTATTAATGCTATGGAAAAATCATGCATTTACTACGCTTATTTCACTGCGAATTAAACTAATTTTATTTTGTCTGACTGTAAGCGACAATGAAATATTAGGGGAAACAACCTCTAATTTACCACCCTTTTACATTTACGCCTCGTTATCTTCAGTATTTTGTCAGAAGCATTTTATCGCTTAGAGAATCGGCGATGTTTAAGATAGGTACTTAGCATAAATTTTAGACTCAGTGGTCACTGGAAAATATGCTAATTGGTTATCGTAAGTCAGCTTAAAGCCGAATAATTCTCAGTAAGTTTCAAAAGTCCTTATCATATTCAGTTACATTTCTGACCGTAAGGTTTTGCTGTGCAACATTCTAATGCAAAATTGCAATGGTTATAATACTCATTGTTGTTTTTAAAGATTTTCAGCCATTATTGAAAACTATTCAAGTTTGCTATTACTGTTGTGGTCAACAGAGTAAATCTTTGGTAAGTGAAGAGGCTTATAATTAAGTATATGGTGTGTCTTCATTTTAGAATGAGAAAGTGATATATATGGATTTGTCTTAACTAGTGAAATCATGCTGCACAAAAGACTGTGTGAATTAGTATGACTTTGTAAAGCAGTGATTTATGTATTAGGATATGTGTATGGTGTCTTGTCTATACAGAATCGATTAATTTATTTGGGTCACAAAGTGCCATCTTTGACTGTGTTCAGAGTGATATCAGATTAAAGTCAACTCGTGTGAATAAATGTCTGATTAAACTGCCATCGATAGTGAGACATCTGTTGTGTTTGGCAAGAATTAAGGTTGTATCCTTTAGGTGTACTGACTTTTGTCTCAAAGTCTCTATGTACTACCACTGAATAATATTTTTCAAGTAAAGAATTTTCATTTCTCATTGTGTATTTTAGATTTTACTAGTCTACTTGAAGAACTGAAGCATTTGTGTGGTGGTCGACAACTAATGCTAGATCCGGCTGTACTGGAAGCATATTCGCATGAACTACTGGAGTCGACTAAAGACCGTAAATATTGTCTGTATATCAAATTATTTTTTTGGTTGTAAAAATAGAAATACAAACTTGCCACAGAAGTGAATTTCAAACTGTTTATGTTGTGCAACCAGCCGATTTAATATATCCTCATCTTGAAATACAGCAGGGAGATAACTCTCAAACAGTTGACCAGCTGAATCTTATTTGGTTAGCATCACACATTGCTTTAGTCGAAATGATTTTACGGATCTATTTATTAAATCTAGTTACACCAACCAAGTTAGTTAACGCATTAAGGTAAGCGCTTGAACTAATATCATGAAGTTAATAAAGTAACTTTATATTTATTACTCAGCTATTGATGCTTGATCTTTAACTGTGTTCAGGTCACAAGACTGAGCTATTGCGCCTATATTGGCTTATTTACTACTTAGATGAGTGCTTGAACTATACCTCTGAATACACCTTAATTAAATTTAGAAATAGATTACGTGCAAAACTTTGTAACTATTAGTGCCCTGGTTAATTCCTGGGGAAAACACCAGCACTCATTGGAATACGGATGTCTAGATAGAGAGTCATAAGTCGAATTAAACGCTTAATATGTGTGTAGTGGTAGCTAATATTAAATCAGTTTGTTGCCTAGTTTCTACTAAAAAGAAAGGACAAACGTCTTTGGATTTCCGCACTTTTTGATATGTACAGTATTGAATGAATGACACTGGAGTTATGGTCTATAGAATAATCGTTAAAAAGCAATGTCCGATTCACTTTTAAAGGAGGTTTTCAAGCTTATAAAAGGTTACAGTATGTATGGTTGAAAGTACTGTCTTCTATAATGGACGTGCAGTGAATTCCAATCAGTGCTACGGACAGAATTCTCCTACGTGTTAGGTGTTCTCGGTTAATTTTTACAGAGATGTGCATAGTTCGATATTTTAAAATATATATGTGAAAATTAGTTTATGGAAGTCAAATCGAAATGATAGGGGAATAAATCTTGCCCAAATCTGAATAATGGACAATGAACCTTGACTTGTGGCTTGATTTTATGCGGAAGAAATAAATTATAAAAACGTAATTGACAAACAAGGAATTTAACCATTGAATTTTCAATTTTTTCGCAATCGTTATTTTTATGAGCATTAGGTACCTACCGATAGATGTTTCACCCAACTGAAAAACTTACGCTTAGGGACTTTTGCAGCTGTTGTGAGCAGTGAATAAAGTGATTTTAAACAGATAATGCACTGTACTATAGTGATTCATCTTAAACAGTTAAAATAAGAACAAACCACCGATTATGACAATAAGCATGTAATTCTGTCATTATGGTGTTATTTACAAGTAAATAATACGATATCACTGTGTGCCATATCAAAGAGGCTAATCTAATGAGGCTACTACTACTTATTTTCTACTTTCTATTAATTTTTTAATCAAAAATTATGCTTGAACGTTATCCTTTGGACTTAGACTGTCAAGGTTCAACATGTTTTGAGTATATTACTTACAAAATAAACGACTCTAAGACAACAGTGAAGCAAAATCTCCGGTCTATTGTTGTGCATATTGCCTTTTTTGCTTGATATTTCACACAATAAAACAATGTTGCTTACCAGATTGCATTGCAAACATAATTTATAGTTCTTTATGATATCTCTTTCCAATGTGGTATGACTAATGAAATTTCTCAGATGTCTGAGACGGAATCTGAAGGAATCAGAAGACAGGATTATTTAGTTTATCGAATTTCATGCAAAGATTGTCAGGAAAATCTGATTTTTTTTATTCAGCTGACTGGTTTAAATGCTTTTTAGGAACTATTGTTGTAGGGACTATTAACTTTCCAAATTGGTGATTAAATGGTTTCTAAATGTCTTCCTGATGATCGGCATTAACTTAAAATGGTTTTCGCCATAAAATTTTAGCTTTTGGTTCAAAAGATGCTTGTAGAAATATTACTGGCGGTTAAACTTTGACACAGCCTCCTTTCTTATGTAATTACCGATCTATTGTATTCTGTTCCACTTGGAAATAGCAAACTTTATGTTCTCTCAGAACGAACTTTTATACCCTTCACATTGTTTATTTCTTTATTTGGGTTCGTCAAGGTATTTGTCCCTGTCACACACAGAACATTTATCAGAATGTTTTTGTACTCAAGGTTTTAGTGCTGTGTGAATAATAAAAACCTTCTAAATTTAAACGGTGCAGCAAGTTATTATTTATACTCATATAATCTACTATACGGTATATGCTAATAAACAGCAGCCTGAATTGAAATAGTCTTATTAGGTAACTGGTAGAACTTATGTCATATGAACTAAATATCCGCTTCACGCTGAAACAATCTCCATCTACTTAGTGAGTAGAGTACAACTAATTATGTCGTTCATTAGCATATGATAAACTATTTTGCTAGCAGGTTGCCTAAATAAATCGTACCAAGCAGTTAAAGCATTTTAATCTAAGTATTTTAGTTTCCAAAAACGTAACACAGTAAACGTCTGCTGTTACTTTTCACTTGATTGTGGAATTTCTGTAAGGGACTAGGAATTTCTCTTTATTTTTGTATCTCATTCTTACTGTAACCTCTTTCAAGAAGGAAGTTTAAACGGATAAAAAGTGTTTCATGATAGATTAGCATCTTAAACGGTATAATAATGAAACAACCACCGATTTTCCCACACTAGCCTGTAGTTGTGATAGGAATTAACCAGTTGGAAAAATGTGATAGGTCAGTAAAATCAACTGCTACTAAGTTACAGAGTTAGACATTAAGGACTCAAGAAGGATGACCAAGAAGTAATGTAAATTGCTTTTGAGCTTGAGAGAGCTAATCGTAAGGTTAAAAAAGTGTACATGAGTGTACATCATTGTCATGACAAATAAAAAAAAGATCAAATATACGACATTTAAGCTGCTCAGATTACTGGCTATTATTGTAAAACTAGACTTAGTACATGAAACCATGAACTGGTATTTCATAGCGTCGGTATTCACTGTCAGCTGATATCGGTCAACCGAGTTTTAAAGTCGACTGAAAAGTTCTCCAAACCATTGAAAAGCATTTTAGATACCAGCACATTCGATTAATAATCTAAAAATGATAACCCAACTGAGATGATGAAAACTTACAAATATTACTCTATGCAGTGGTTCTATGTGGGGTGGTTGTAAGCAATTAGCAAAACACCCTAGGACGTTTAGTTACTGAAACACATAATCAAGCAATAAACAGATGTTCAGGACTTCACACTGATTACTCTCAACTATCTAAAGTCAAACAGACTAAACTCATTTCGTGAGTGTTTTAGTGTGATGAAAAACTAGCAATGTTGATCGTCACATTTCGGTCAGATGTCAGAACCAGTCAACATTGACAGCAGCTACTTTTTGATGATCAGTCAGTTCATAATGATTCTAAACAAACCAAAAAAGTTCAACGTAGATAAAAAAAAATTAAACATTTGTCTAAATAATTGATGACTTACAATGTATACACATTTTTTGTAACTGATAACTTTTCTCAGTACACTTACTGGATGTCAAGTGAGTGGAGAGTCAATAAAAGGACTTCAGGGTGCTGATGGAGCTTTATTTTGGTTGGTTACAGTTGCTGCCAGAACCGTTACAGTTCTAGGCATTCACGTAAGTGAATAAATTGTATGTATTTTTACATTTATTTATTCATCTATTCAACCTTACTTTTAGTTATTATGGAGTTATTTTTACTACCATTCTTTCAGCGGGATGATTCTGCTAGGTAATTAGTGATCAACACCAAGAAGTAGAAATAAATTCTGATCAGTATTTTGTCAGAAGACTGCAGAAATATCTACCATCCATTTTGAATGCTGTAAACTGGCTGAATAAATTGTCTGATTACTTGCTCAGTTAAATCTTTATTTATAGTAGAATAGTTCACAGACTGCTGGACTTTTTCCAATCTTTAGCTGTAACTTTAAGGGATTAAACTAGGCATTTTCTGTTGGCATATGGGCTCTTTGTACAAAAACTTCAACGTTAACTGTAATTGGAAAAAGGTTATTTCTTTAGTAACGGCAAGCAGTGTCATCTAGGATGCGCGCTTGCTCCTACCGAGGACTCATCCTGTAAACCACTACAAGCCACTAACAAATATATAACCATTATACAATTACAGGTAGTTCTGAGTTATCTACGCCAGAAACCTATAAGTCAACTGAAACTTATAGTTTATGTTCTGCAGGTCAGCAGCGGGAAATGTCAAAAGCTTTTAACAACACATTTTTTTTTCACTCACCACCTAATAGCCATCTGAACTCAGTAGCACTGTGGATAACACTGGTACATAAAGCATCACCACTTAATCAAATGTTTGGTTCTATAAACGCAGCATATAAAATGATGGAATAAAATAACTATGTTGCTTATCTGTCGTTGGGAAAATATTCAATAGCAAATTAACATGAACCATCTAAGAATTAGCGACCAATGATAGTCCTCAAAATTAAATGGATGAAAGCGACATATTTGGTGACTAGCAGTGTAATCCAGGACGTGGATTTTATCCCATTCGGGACTCCTCAGCTGGATTTACTTGCACCCCAGTTAGTGATGTTGTTCCTACTGGGACTCCTACCTAGTACTCATCGCTTCAGATGAGAAAGCGTTATGTACCAGGCCACTGAGGCACGACAGCAACCACTTAAGTAACAGATATCAGTTATTGCTTATTGATACATGTGATTTTTCATTGTATCCGCTTTAGAGTTCATTTCTAAACAGAGACTGGGCAATTCGACCCAGTATATCAAGAATGAAAGAAGGATTTTGTGGATAGCTTTCTTTAATCCGTTATTAAAATAGGATGATTAAAATCATTTTAAATCTAAACTAACTACTGTTATAAAAATTACGTTGACTACTATGTAATTAACGAATAGAGAATTTCATATATTATTTTCGGAATAAAAAAGTAGAGGAAAATACCTTTGTTACGATGTCATTTTGAAAAGCTCTACCGTTGCAACTATATTCAGTAAAAATTATTGAAACTAGTTAGATAATGACAGTATATTCTGGATGTATGTTAATAAAAAGATGAGTGACCCAGGGCTCATAATTTTATTTGGGAAGACTGTTTATATTAGGTAGCCTGAGAATCGAAATCTCTAGTTGCGAATAGTAAATCAGTACCAGAAGGTGAAGTACCTAATTCGTCCCTTTCAGGCTGCATCTAATGACTATCTTGCTTATGATGATCAGCGTTGACTGAACATACACAGTTCAGATCACGTAAATTTACTGTAGAACATTATCTAGCTTCCCTAGCCAGAAGACTGAAGGAAACGTTTTGAGCTTCATTCTCGAACACTTTTTATATTCAGATATCCGACTCTTTCGTGCTAACGTCTCAAAGCAATTTGCAAAATGTGTCAAGTGGTTTATATACACTTATCTAAATCACTGGTAGTTCGTAACTCTAATCTTCGACCTTGAGTTCAAAAAATATGATGTGATTTCTCATCTTTACCACAACCGGAAGAGTAGCTTTTCTTCTTTTATCAAACTTGCTGGCCTTAATTATCATTTTTTTTCTCGCCTCTTTGTGCTTTCATTTGTCGCGTTTATTTTCACCTTCATAGTACAATACTTTCCTACATTTTGAGTTTCCAGTGCTCCTTTTGTCTTTTGGGTCACTCCTCTCTTGAGTAATTTACATTCGGAACACACTGTTATGATTTACTTGGTTTCAGTTAACTTCTTTGGATACAAATACAACAGTGCAGCTACCAAAATTATCACTGGGAAAAATATTTCCTCTGTCACATCTTTGTCTCAGTGCTCTGCGCATATTTTTTATTTTCTTGACTTTTGAAGTTCACCTCTTATATAGAATGATTACTGCACCAGAAAAAAAAATATTTACAAAGTTTTTAATATTATCTTAAAAAACCTTAGTTGTGTTTTGAAAAACGTATTTCCTGACTGTTAACAAAGAAACACATGAAGATGACTGTAACAATTATTTCTAAACAGGAGAGTATATAGTGAACAGCAGCTGTAGATGGAAGGATTAATAACTACCTAAAGAAAATAATTCCCATATCTGTTGGTGATGTTGAGATGTCCCGCTACTGAGTATCTTTTCATATCATCTAAGTGTAATTTTTCATGAGTGAAATTGATCACAGAGCTCACCAATTCTAAGAGATGTCAATGTGAGCTGCCTTATTCCTAAATATCTGGCAATCGATGTTTCAAAGTACGATGAAAATAAGACGATTTTCAAATGTAGACATTATTCATACACGTAGAACTCAACCTAGCTAAAGCTTAGGAAACTGTTAGGTCTTCCAAAACAAGTCATCTAACATAATCTCGATAATATATCTTCACACTTTAAAATCCACCTACAGCAGTTTATCATATTATGACGAAGATTTGTCCCTCCGGTTCCTAGTGGAACCCAGGGATTCAGTAGCACATCTCCAGTGCAATCTGTTCTGTAAAGTCTTTTCAACCTACCTCCACGACTACCCAGAAGCTCTCATTTCTTCCTTACACCATCTCCTCTATGTCAACCTCAGCTAAGAGGCCCAACTTGTCGTTTCCCTTTGAGTTCCACTCAAGTGCCTGGCCTGGCGCGTGATGTCCCCAGTTGGCCTTCTCAGTGTATGCACAAGCCATCTCCACTTGCTTCTGCATATTTGTTGAGAGATGGGTTCTTGGTTGGTTTGTTCCCAGAGTCATTTGTTGCTAACTCTTATTGCTCTGGCCGTCTGATCTTCAATATCGAGCGTAGACAGCTGTTAACAAATGTCTGTAGTTTGTTGGAAATGTTTTTCGTGATGCGCCAAGTCTCCCAACCAATACACAGAAGCAATGACTAGCTGCTGGTGTTGAAAATCCGGGTCTTGTTCACGCTTTGTGCTGAGTGCAGTACACCTCCACACTGATTTCAGGTTAATGAACGCCTGTCTTGCTTTTCCGATCGTAGATGCTTTGACGTCCTAGTCTGCGCCACCGCCACCTGTGGTTGAAACAGTGCTGCCTAAATAGCTGAAAGAGTCTACTTCCTTTAAGCTTCTCTAGTTCATGGTGATTGGACCCCATTGTCATTGTTGTTGGTTGTGTTCCTTGGGTGTCCTCATCACCTCTTTCCTCTCTACGTTCACTTGAAGCAAACCCGATCTTCACTCGCCCACCTCTTCTGTCAACTTGTTGCATTATGTCTGCAGATCTTCGAGTTTGTGTGACATTAGACATAAATCATCGGTGAAATCCAAATCTTCTAGGCTCTGTTTGTCGGCGAAACAGCCCATATCCATCTTCTTGCTCCTCACAGTTTCGTGCACGGTGCAGTCCAGTTCACCAAAATCAGGAATATCATGGGTGGTAGTAGACAGCCTTGTTTTACTTCTCTCTTCAATTCAAAGGCATCACCGAGCTTCCCATTGTTAATCACTTCGGATGCAGCATCCTCATATAGAATAGAATATAGCTGTTGAATGAGGTTGATAAAGGTTTGTGGTATTCCATAGTGTTGAAGCAATTTCCAAATCGCTTCTCGATTGACGCTGTCGAAGGCCTTTTCAAAGTCGATGAAGTTGAGGCAGAGAGTTGATTGCCATTTTATACTCTGTTCTATGATGATGCATGGGGAAGCGTTTCAATTTGATCCGCATATAATTTGTTCTTCCCACAGTCAGCCAGCCAGCCTGTTCCGGTCATATTTTCGAATCCAACGCATTGTTTGGTCTCTCCAGGGTGATGCGGTTCAATATTTTGCTTGGGATGAAAAGGAGCATGATTCCATGCCAGTTCTTGCAAAGACTTAGGTCGCACTTGATTGGGAGTTTGACAAGGTAACCCTTCTTCCAATCAATAGGCAGGTGCCTTCCCTTCCTTCATTCCTTCCTTCTTCTCTTCATGTGCATTATTTGTTGATGCGTAGCGTAGCATTGTATGATTCTTAATTTTTCTCCTTTTGAGTTGAATCTTGCTGTCATGATCCTAAAGTAGGAGGTTAGTTCCCACTGTATGTGAGCCTCTGCTGTTTTTGGGGACATCATGATAGCCACTCGAGACTCAATGTAGTGTGCTTGTGATTGTCGTCTTTGCGACAATATCGGAGTAGATTAATGACTCCCCAGTTGACAGTTTGGAGAGTCCACTCCCATTTCATCTGCTTTCGCAAATTCCAGGCACTTCAAAGTGATACCTTCTCATCTCGTTTGCCATCTGGTCAGCCTTGCTAGGCTCAAACATATTGTGGACTTTCCATGTCCCCATCCTTACTTTCGCTTTCATCGAGAGGAGAGAAGACACATCGGCCAATTGGCTTCCCGAAGGCTTTTATCAACCGGCGTCCTTTTGCCTCTCCGATTCCAGAGAGGAATAATTTTGTTTCTATTTTTTTATATTCTGTTTGTGCTTTGAAGTTTCTGTAGTGTATGGATTGGTTTTACGGGGTAGGGTTGCTAGCCTTATGCCCAACCTTTCCTCTTTACCCGGACTTATGATCGGCTATTAACTAGTGAACTATTTAACAAGGCAAGGTTAAACATGCATTGAAAACCGTCTTTGGCGTAAATCACTTTTCAGTGATCATCAATGCGAGATGCTGGTAGCCAGAGTTTTTATAAGTGTATGTTTTAGGATATAAAATGTCGACAGCGAAATATATTTTGTGTATCCGAATCGCTTTATGTTAAACAGTCGAAATCGATGGTATCAATGTAATAAATTGATGGCGATGGTACGATATCAAATTCCAAAGTATATCTGTGCAATGCAGCTGATTCTTTTTTTAGAAATAGACTGTTTGAGCGAAGAAATATATTCCCTTCTCATCGGAAAATAATTAAAAAAGAACATCTTTCTTATTCAAGTCGGTCTTATTTTTTTCTACAAAATGTGACATATTTAAGGAAACATAAGTTTTTAATGAATAATTTGCAAACAATTTATAAATTGTGTGGTCCACGTTGACAATTTTCGTAGCTGAATAGTTTTTCAACTGCCCAACTGTGATGTCAACCAAGTTTCTATTGGTTTACCGGTACGTTAAAGTCAACTAGCCAGATTCAGGTGATCCGATCAGTTTGGTTTTGTGAGCTGAAATCATTTGGGTACACGGAAGACGAATTCCGCTTAATATGTGTTTAGATCACTCTGATCTGCCTAGAAAAGTTAATAACTCAGCTTGAGTGGTTTCTAACTGCTTACTTTGTTCAGTAGTACCTTTCAGTATTAATTTTATGATTTAAAACTGGACAATAGAAGCGAGAAACAAATTTTGCCACTGATATTCACAAACTATTATGTTTTACAACTAGCGATTGGTTGTTACAGTGCAATTTGTTGAACAAAGCATTTCTTTTTATCTTCAGGACTGTACAGAATGGTTGGTTGACCATTTGATCGGTGAAGAGAAGTCAAACAACACCCAATCACCAGCATCGTCTTGCGATTCAGCAAATACTATCAACACAGATTCTTTGAAAAGTTCAGCTGACATATTTCTTCGAGGTCTAGCAATGGCAAATCTAGTTGCGTTAACATTCCATTTTTATTGTCCTCAACTGGCTCCAGCTGAAGGTGCTGTTTAACAAGTTATTCCAAAGCTTAGCTTAAGTAAAATATTTTGTTGATTATAGTTCTTAGTTTGAATTTCTACTGGGAAGGTATAATTTCGCCTTTTCCCTAGGCTGACTCCCAAAAGATGAATGAAGAATATAAATATTAACGTTGTTTGGTTTCTAGTCAGAATGTGAGACCATATAAATTTTCTCATTAAATATAAGAGCCACCCACTACAGTCAAAAAATAAAGATAGACAACAAAATATCACATTAAAAAAACCTTTTTTGATTTTAAGAAATGTATGAATTGTGTTGAGCATACACTAAGACGCATAGACACGATGATAAAATCAGATTAATTCCAATGTAGAATAAAAGGTAGCCGAATAGAATGTATGACTGAAGAGAACTCACATTAGTAGTTATTCGATTTAATTCATGAAACCTAGTTTAAAAGGTAAGTAGTGTATACATCCTAGTTTTTAATTAACTGTTTAGTAGTATTCACATCATTCTTTTGTTTCCATAACACAACGTGAAGGTCTGTAGCTTATTAAGTATGAAAAAAATAAGCTAATAATTAGACACATAGTCAATCATCTTTTAATTAACTCTAAAGAGTTTAGTTTCATGAACCTGATTTCAAATCCAGGGACATAAAAGTTTTTAATTTTAGTTACATATTAGCTTATCGTAAAACAATTAGTCGGCCTTTCAAGGCATTCTATTACACGAAGATATGCTGCGCAGTGATCTAAATTACTATTTAAGGGATTCATAGATGCATAGACTGAGTCTCACTTTAAAAATACTCCATGCTGATAATGTTATTTACCAAAAGTTTGATTTTTTGGCAGATGTTGTAAGTTTGGCATGAAGTTACGCACTATGGAAATACTTTTAGTACAAATAATGCAGAGCAAGAGAAGAAGGAGGAATTCTACAGACAACTGCAATCAACACTGAACAAGACCCCACTCCAGTTGGCGACATCAAAATTCTAATGGGTCATATGAATGCCAAACTGTGAGCAGACAACAAAGGAAGAGAACTTATCATGGGTTGAGAAGCACTCGGTGAAACCAACGAGAATGGAGAACTGTTTGCAGAAATCTGTGCATTCAACAATCCGGTGATTGGAAGCACTGTGCCCAAACACAAGGATATTCACAAAGCGACATGGATTCGATTTCACCAGATGGACACACTACACTAAACATCAGATCGACTTCATCTCAATGTGAAGAAAGTGGAGACACAGCTTACTGGACACAAGATGAAGAAGGGGAGCAGATGTAGGTTCACACCACTCACTATCTAGTATAAGGAACCTTCAAAATCAAGTTGAAAGCCTTCAAGGAAGTTGATGATAGACCACAGTTCAAGTTCAACATCCAGAACAGAAACTGAACTGAAGAATAAAAGCAACAAGGGACATCTTCACGTCAGCCAGTCATCAGGACAAAATGGGAGGCATTGAGCAACATCCCTGAAGGAACCTGTGGGGAAGAACACTGGAACTCTTCTAGAGAGACGTGGAAGGAAACCTGCATAACCGTATTAGGAAGGAAGAAGAAAGAAGACAGGACCAGGAATGAATCTCGACGGACACATGGAAGCTGATAGAGCAGGGAGAGGAAGATGGTGATGGTGAAGCAGAAGATAAACCAGTGCATGGATGCACAACGACAAGAGGAATTGAGTACAACGTATAAAATACTACACTGGACAAAGAAGTGAAGAAGAGTGCACGGAACGACAAAAGACACTTCCACGACACACTGACAATTGAAACAGAACAGGCTGCTGGCTGGTAGGAGAGACAGAGACCTGACAACATTGTATCAAATAACCAGAAATACCACCTGCAGCCGGTGAACTACAAGTGAACATAAATCCTCTAACAAAAGTCGAAGTGAAGTCGTGAACGCCATAAAGTTGATGAAATGCGGGAAAGCAGCAGGACCAGATGGAATTCCTCCAGAAGCATTGAATACAGACGCAGAGACATCAGCAGTGGACATGCTCACACCACTATTGCAGAAGGTTTGGAAGGAAGGAAAGAAGGAAGGGAAGGTACCTGTCTATTGATTGGAAGAAGGGTTACCTTGTCAAACTCCCAATGAGGTGCGACCTAAGTCTTTGCAAGAACTGGCATGGAATCATGCTCCTGTTCATCCCAAGCAAAATATTAGGCTGCATCATCCTGGAGAGACTAAACAATGCGTTGGATTCAAAAATATGACCGGAACAGGCTGGCTGGCTGACTGTGGGAAGAACAAATTATATGCGGATCAAATTGAAACGCTTCCCCATGCATCATCATAGAACAGAGTATAAAATGGCAATCAACTCTCTGCCTCAACTTCATCGACTTTGAAAAGGCCTTCGACAGCGTCAATCGAGAAGCGATTTGGAAATTGCTTCAACACTATGGAATACCACAAACCTTTATCAACCTCATTCAACAGCTATATTCTATTCTATATGAGGATGCTGCATCCGAAGTGATTAACAATGGGAAGCTCGGTGATGCCTTTGAATTGAAGAGAGAAGTAAAACAAGGCTGTCTACTACCACCCATGATATTCCTGATTTTGGTGAACTGGACTGCACCGTGCACGAAACTGTGAGGAGCAAGAAGATGGATATGGGCTGTTTCGCCGACAAACAGAGCCTAGAAGATTTGGATTTCACCGATGATTTATGTCTAATGTCACACAAACTCGAAGATCTGCAGACATAATGCAACAAGTTGACAGAAGAGGTGGGCGAGTGAAGATCGGGTTTGCTTCAAGTGAACGTAGAGAGGAAAGAGGTGATGAGGACACCCAAGGAACACAACCAACAACAATGACAATGGGGTCCAATCACCATGAACTAGAGAAGCTTAAAGGAAGTAGACTCTTTCAGCTATTTAGGCAGCACTGTTTCAACCACAGGTGGCGGTGGCGCAGACTAGGACGTCAAAGCATCTACGATCGGAAAAGCAAGACAGGCGTTCATTAACCTGAAATCAGTGTGGAGGTGTACTGCACTCAGCACAAAGCGTGAACAAGACCCGGATTTTCAACACCAGCAGCTAGTCATTGCTTCTGTGTATTGGTTGGGAGACTTGGCGCATCACGAAAAACATTTCCAACAAACTACAGACATTTGTTAACAGCTGTCTACGCTCGATATTGAAGATCAGACGGCCAGAGCAATAAGAGTTAGCAACAAATGACTCTGGGAACAAACCAACCAAGAACCCATCTCTCAACAAATATGCAGAAGCAAGTGGAGATGGCTTGTGCATACACTGAGAAGGCCAACTGGGGACATCACGCGCCAGGCCAGGCACTTGAGTGGAACTCAAAGGGAAACGACGAGCCGGGCCTCTGAGCTGAGGTTGACATAGAGGAGATGGTGTGAGGAAGAAATGAGAGCTTCTGGGTAGTCGTGGAGGTAGGTTGAAAAGACTTTACAGAACAGATTGCACTGGAGATGTGTTACTGAATCCCTATGTTCCACTTTGTACCTTAAGGACAATGAATAATAGTTTACTACAAAGACTTATTGCGATCTTCATTTTCTTGATTCTTCTGTACGGTCGAAATTGAATGGACAATAGTTTCGCCGTCATGAAATGAACGAACTGTGTAATAATGACAAGCTCAATAACAACGTTTTCGGCAACATCTCATTCATGTTGAAGAAGGAATCGAACGACAAAGTGTTATTCCTTGGATTTTAGCGAAAACAGATCTTGAGAATCTGGAAGCCCATTTGTACAAATAGTAAATATGGGCATTGAATTATAAAGGACGAAATCACCCACTCAAAAAAGTACCGCAGAAATACTTTTTGGCATGGAAACGGTTTGACGACTGTTTTGAGGAAGGACAGTTAACCACACAATTTCATCACAAGGTGTATGTTCACTTGATAATGAGTTACAAGTTATCGTTGGGAATCAGTGAGCGGATCCTTCTGCCTTACATAATAACATATTAGAGATCACTGCAGGAAGAGTGTTGAGGTCTTTTGGATCTGACACAATTCATAAAGCGAAAGATTTCGTTTAAGCCATGTTTTGCAGAGCAAAGAAGACAGGTAGAATATCATTCAAAAAATCAACTATAATAGCTGCGATAAACGGTGGAGTGGACAAAATGATCATCGCCTATATTTACAATTATGTTAGTTGACTATTAAATGTCGCGACACCTTACAGTTTATATCAACTTTTGTGGACAGTTGTGGGCATGTATTTGATTTTTAAAATGCAGAAGAAATGAACACAGGAAATTCCTAGAAGCTTGGTATTCAGGTCAGTGAGTAATCAATAGCCGTGTAGGCATAAACCGAAAAAGATAAGCTGATGAGGAAAATAGTAAGTTATCTATACCGTAGCTATCTCACAGTCTCGTCAAAAGTATACATATATTCTTAACAATTTCTAAGGATTACCAAACCATGAAGTCGATGGTATTCAGAGTAAGCCTTATTTACAGAATTGAAAGTAGAGCCCTAAATATTCATGCACAGATGATCGATCATTGAACCTTAAGGAAAATTAGGTTCTTAGTGATGATTGAATTACCTGATTTCGGATAACAAGTCCAATACTAGATCAGCCAAGGTATGGGAAGTAATTGATATTTAACTGGTCAATGAAGTGTTAATTTATCATTTGAAAGATATATATGTACGACAACCAAACCACTTGTTCAAGTCAAATGAGAGACTTCCTGAAAATAATTCCTCTAGGTTCTGCATAAATCAGCGGTTCTACGAAGTGATATTACAAAACTTGCATTCTTTCAAAACCTGTATTAATTAACATAATGTAGTAGTTTATTGATCGTGCTTGTTGAATTTTAGAAATCCTTTTGGATTTAAACAACCTATTGGGACTTCTCAAAAACTGTTTAATAATCCACTGAGATTTTTACATTTTTTAAAATTTGCCTGAATGTCTAAAGTTTAGAATGTAAGCGAATGTAAGTTTATTATTAGTATTATTTCTTGTATTATACTACTAGCCGCTGTCCACCATTACTATAATTAGAACACAGGTAATATCGAAGAAGCCGCTTGGGAGTCCATATGTCAATAGAGACCGATCAATTCTGTCTAATCAACGACGGTATAATACATGCAATAATGCTAAAACTATACCCATCGCAGAAGAAGTGGCTATTGGGACTAGGTGGTGTAGTGGATAACGCTCTGGCGTTTGAAGCTTTCTATCCCGAGTCTGAATTCCAGTGGGAACATCACTCACTGGGAAGCAGGTACATCCTGCTGATGAGTCCCAAACAGGACGAAATAAGCATCCTGGATTCCACTGCTAGCCACTATTCATCATTACTATATATTTATTATTGTTTCAATATACCAGAATGTAACTTTTTATATCAACCAACATTATGAATTAATTGAAGCTGGAAATTTTAACCCAGAAGCTCAGTGACTTTGCTGTTGCCACATGATGTTCAACTGTCCTCTTTCACTCATTGAATGATCCTAGCATCTAAATAAAATGTTGTTGAACGAAAGAGTTTTCATACTAACCAAAATAGCCAACTTATGTTGTTTTGGTGTATGGCTGATACAGTCTATTAACATTTTTCATATATTTACGATAGTTTCTTTCTTCAGGATATTTTCAGCAAAATAGTATTCCAATCATATTTTTTTCTTTTGTTCACATTTGAAGATTTCTTATTTAACTTTCCGTCAACTGGTGAAATGGAACCAGCAGCTTCACATCATAATGCGCGTACAATTGCTTCAATATGTCGAGAAAATTCTCATCTACATAATGTTTTATTTTTGATGCCTGATTCATGCAACGGAAATATAATGCATTTTAATCCTTCAGGTTCAACAACACTAAGTACACTGAATTTGTTAGGGTTTTGTTCACAAGGTTTAGCTAGATCACCAACACATCGACGTCTTCAACATGCAGCCATGGCTGGTGAACTTTTTGTATGGTTCACATCGCGTCCATCAAATCGTGAAACAAATCCACTACGGTTGTCCGAAATAAATTACAAGAAAAATCAGTATGAAATGGTTACTCAAAACTTGAAAGGTAATTTCAATAAGGATACTAAAAAGTTCGTAAATTTTTTGAATTAAATCGACTTACGATATTCGTATTAGTAAGAAATAATGCCTGGGGGCGCAAAGTTATTCACTAATAAACATATTCAATTTAGAAGTACATGAATGCTAGTCACTTTAAAAATGCTGGTCACTTATAGCAGTTCATATGAAAGTAGAAAGAACAAGCGTTTGTTGAAAATTTCTTCATTTTATGATAAAAGTCAACTTATGGATGGACTAACTTAATCTTAAATATTCCTGCTGATAAATCATATCATCTATGGTTTACGTCTAAAATTCCTGATGGATGCTTTCAGAAGTATTAAAAGTTTTGTAAATAATTATTGTAGAATTTTCTCACTGCTTTAGGTAATATTGACGCTTGTTTTTCATCGTTTACTCTAATATTTCAAGTTAGTGTGAAATAATGATAAAAAGATTAGTCTAAACTTGTGTTGGGGCATTGAATTATTGTTTGAAATGAGTGTTCGTAGTCACCAACTGTATTAGATTGTGATTCTGCAAGTTGGACAGAATTTCGTGATGATAAGACCTTTTGAAATGTATGATAGTGATAGTATAAGACTGAGCATACAAACTAGACATATGATGTTAAGAATGAATTCGATAAATAATAGATACTCATGTCTCCATGTATATTTAAATTTGGATCAAAAGATTAACAAGCCATTCGATTGAATTTGAAGTTGAAAACGTTTTATTCATGGAGGTTGTTCCTCTTCTGAATTGTTTATGTCTGTCTCAAAATTGCGCCTTTTGGAACCTACAGTTACATTCTCCTCATGATAATGTATTACATATTTTACTAGGGCGTTTACTAACTAAACGATAAGCTTATATTAAATCAATAGTAATTCATGTGAATCATCATGGGTGGAATAATTAATCGGTCAGGAGTAATTTCCAGATATTACTAAGTGAAGTTCTTTAAATCGTCAGATTGCAACTGCATTAGAAATATGCACGAAAAGATTTTTACAGGGTTGCCTAGGCGAGATATTCTCTATGAAGTGAAAGCTGAAGTCATCTATCCTAGTGATAAAACTCCCAAGAGTAAACCCCAAAGCTTAGAGAACACCATCCCAATCCTGAGCTGCAAATCTTCTCGGCTATTTCTCATAAGTGACGTATTCCAATCTCAAGTACAATAGTTGTCATCGATCAGGAAGATTTCTCTCTGACTAACAAATGTCATTTTGTGTTGTAATCAAAAAGATATTTTTCGATCGAAACTACTATCTGAATATTGTGGCTGTGACAAACCGATTCAGTGCTACAGTTTAAAGTTGAATCTCGAACTCTTCGATAGTAAAATAATATCAAAGATGGTCATCTAAAGAGTAACTCACTAGGGTTTAAGTTCATGTTCTTTAAATATATGATAAAGCCAGTTGAGATATGAAAAACTTGTGGTGCGAACTGTCCGATGCTTCCAGAGGTACAAATCCTCCATTTTTCCCTAAGACATTCTAACATTTTAATGAAATTCTTATGTGTGACGAAAAGTATCATGAATATTTTGTTTGTTAGATTTAACATCGATTTGTGCACATGGTTATTTAGTATGTCGAGCAGATGAATAATAATGCAATACCGAAAGCTAATAGACATCTCTGTTATGCTGTATGGTACAAATAATTTACTCTGATATATAAATACTGAACAATACTAACTGCTGTCTTACGCACAGTTGAACTGTTCTCATACATTTTCTTCTACATACATAAATGAAGACTACCAATCATTCAGGTATAAGTGGAATATAATCTTTGTTCAAACAAAGTATAGTTATTATGTTCTTCATTTTTTGCTTAAAATATATACACAGATATAAACAAAAAGAAATTCAATGAATCAATGCCTATAACAAGCGATACTGATGATAATCAAATCAATATAATACCGTTAGACCGAGTGAATACACCAACAAACAGTGACTGTGCTTCAGGATCTGGAAAAGCAACTTATCGATTGGATAGAAATGTTTTAGATTTCCAGAAAGAGCAACAACAGTCCCATTTTAATCGGTCAAAAACTATAAGATTGAACAGGAATCAATCTGATGTCGATAAATTAAACCTTAGACTTAATGAACTTTCAACTAAACAGTTAATCAATTCAGAGACAGGTGGAATATTTCTTCCTGAAGGTAGACGTAATATATTGAGAACTGATGAGAATCCTATAGATCAAACAGAAGACCAACTTCAATTATTGACAAAGTGAGTTGAAGATGTATGGAGTAATATTTTCGATTTATTTTCGGATATTATCTGTTCGTATTTTGTGACTGTATGATGGATTCAGTGGCAGAGATTAGTTGATTTGTGCTTTGTAAATGATATAGCTACATGAAAATTTACCCGCCTTAAGACATATGATCCAAACTTAGGTGCACACTTCTGTAGTAAGTTTATTTTATATAGTTTGTAGATCTGGCGTAGTACACGCATTGTAGTTAAAGATTTTAGATTATATACTGTCAAATTATTGTTTGAATACAACCCTTCAGCTTATTTTTCCAGTGTCTTGGTGATGAATTATAGAATAAAGTAAAGGAAGCAAGATGAAGACAAGTTGTCTACCATTTCGAAGTAAGCATGCTTGTTTATACAGATAGAAGAAATCATGTGATCGAAACTCAGCAGCTGAATACACGCAAATCGTAGAACGTGTTCGTGTCATCAATTTATGGCAGTCCTGTGATTTAGCAGTAATCAGTAAAACTGTCACTGACCAATAAGTATTGCGCAACAAAGTTATGTTATCGGGTAAGAGAATCGTAATTTTCAGTGTTGTAATCAAATTTCTTCGGAAACACAAAGGCAAGAATATCCTAGTATAGTTAGTTGAATGAATAATTTTGGCCAAGTTCGTAGGTCTGTATATATTTATGTACAAAATGTCTTACATAAGCTGTTAATAGATGTTAAAAAGACAACTATTTTTATGCTAAAAAGCAGATACCGTCTTTATAGTATTGCAGAAGGAATGCTAAAGTACACTGACCTAAAAAACTATTAAATATTTTGCATGATTATAATGAGTCCGCTAAAAATAATTTCTTCTTCTGTAAAATGGTTCATTATGCGTATCCTTTGTACTCACGAAAAAATCGTTAGCGAGGTATTTTTGATTGAAGTTGTTTTTATTTAGAAGATACAACCGTAATTCATAGGTACGTCTTTGACAAGACATTGTCAACCACTGACTTCATGTTCACTCAGATTATACCTCTGCATATTAGCGTTCGGGTGCGTGCAACAAGTTAACACTTTTCTCATATGCATAGTTTAACATACATAAGTACAAAAACACAAATGCTGCTAAAACTGTTCTTGTTGCTGTATTTAAAATCGAAGGGAAGGAACTGTAAGGAGATATATCGTTAATTATTGTTCATAGTTTTATAATACAGAGCATGTTTGGTGGAACCGTCTTTATCTTAAAACTGAAAGTATTGAATCGGGTAATGTGGTTTGTAATCTAAGTAACCAGTAAAAAAATTATCTAAGAAGTCTCCTGAGACTTTTAAAAAGATAATATCCTATGTTTGCTCACCCGACTTTGGTATGAAGACCAATGTAAAATAATGATGTTCGACAATGGTAGCACTATTTTGTGAACTGATAGAAATAGGAAAAAACAAACTATTAAAACACGACAAGTGACTGGAATAGCAACTTATATACGTTATGAACATTAGTTTTTATATTTCGTTTTGCACGAATTTTAAGTGTTTTGAGCTAAATCGAAGTAACTCCGCAATGCTCCCAGTTCTGTGGCCAGTATAATTCTGTAGTGAAAATTAGAATTAAACCAACTAATTACTCAACAGAATAAAATTAATTTTATGTCACTTCTGTTTCTGCCTAAGACTTATTTGTCACATGCTTGTTCGATTTGCGTAAACTTTTTATCACTGATTTTCATTTCACTGTTGAGGTGTCCATAGAACCAACCGTAGTATCTTAATTAGTGTGAATGAAAAGTGATCTTGTCTTCGAAAAGTAACGCAACAACTTGTCTATTTGTTAAGTAAGCTTATCAAAGACTACTTTGTCCATTCGTACACAGTCAGTACTTTTTTGGATAATTATTTCATGAGATAATTTGCTATATCCTGGCAAAATTTGATATATTTTGTTTGTCTCAGCAGAAGATATTTCAGTGTTTATTAGATTTTTATTCTTAAGGCAGAAACTCAAGCAATATGAAGTACTCGGTATTGCTTCATTTTTCATCGCGTATTACATATACTCACTTTCTTTGGATAATCTTTTATTCACAATTTGTTTAAAAGAAACAGAGTTGTTGGTAATGTTTTATGGAATACAGAAATATTGACCGGTGGCGCCATTTGCCATATTTATCACCTTAAGGTGTCATTCGATTCTATCAACCGTAAGGTGTTGTTGTCGTGTCTCACTGCTAACGAAGAACCAGGCAAGTATATAATGGTAATTAAAGATCTTCACTAGAACTGACTCAGCCGTCTAAGGACTTATGGAGAGATGTCATGTGAATTGATGACAACTAGTATTGCCCAGCTGGGTTGCCTATTGTCATTGTACCTGTTTAACTCCGTTATAGACGTACTAATAAACATAACCTTAGGTAAATCTGACTTCAGAGGGATTGACCTACCACATAGAAGTTGTCTAGTTGACCTGGAATAAACAGACAACGTTGGCCTACTAGGTGAAGACACTGACTAAATGTTGGGTACTCTGAACGCACTGGGCAGAAGTCGGAGAATATTTGGCATGCTTCCCGCTGGCACTTGTCAATTGTCATATGGTGCTTCAGAACTGGTCTGCATATGTTCGGAGTTTAAGAATAGGTAGTGAAATATATCGATTGCTTCAAAAAAACGGGAAGTTGCATAACTTTGAACGGACTGATTGCTGAAGAAATCCCAGCTAAGATACGGAAGGACAGTTTGGCATTTTCCAACTTGCGTCGTCTCTGGCGTCAACCGGCGAGATATCGGACTCTCCGTCAGAGAATCAGTATACTCCTCTGCAGCCCGTTCTGTCCTGTTATGCTGTTGTGAGATAAGGCAGTTAAAGGCTGAAGACATGAAGTGGTTATAAGTTTTTGAGCACAGACGTATTCGCGGTATTACTTGTGCTCAATGGAATCACCATGTGAGCAATGTTGCGGTCAGGCGAAGGACACTAGGCAAGACAGGCAAGTTGACTGATGAGGTTGTGAACCCCCAATCGACTGAGCTCGCTTGGACATGCGTTGTGCATGCTGAGCTACTACATACCTCAACGTGCCTTGTCAGGGAAAGCTGGTCTGTTAAGGTTCTAAGAGGGTTTGAGGTGACCAGCCTAAGACGTGAGACCAGACGATGAAGTCCCTAACTGTTGTTTTGAGCCGTGTGGAGTGATGCAGACTGTTTTTTTTGTGGTCTCCGAGATGACAGGAATCAGTGGTTGAGTACTTGGTAACATGGCTTAAAATCTGATTTACAGGTTAGAACTCTACTTAACTTTCTTAAGTTTGCCAAATGTGACAGTGTCATAAATCCTCTTATAATAAGTGTCGTTGACTGTTTCATGTGAAAAACTGCATATAGTTTTTGAGTAATATAAGCATACCGGGATTTTTTTCTTCATTTTCTTTCTTCTGAAATTCTAGCTTCATACTTCAAATACGTGTAAAGATACCATTATTTTAACTTTTTAGATGGAATCCTTTGGAAGCTCTCTTCAGACCTAGTGGAAAAAAAGAACCGGTGGAAGTATTTAACGATATTCCTTCAACTGAAAATCATGTAAGTATGCTAAATATCAGAAGCAGTCCAGTTTTAACTTCTATACTATGATATTTATTTCTTCTCCACGTGATTACTCATTTGAGTAGGAGGATGTCATGTTACACAGATGAACACCAAAGAAACTCAATTTTATGTCACTTAAATAACAAATAGGCAGATAGTGCATGCTTAAATCACCGACGATGACCTGCTTAAATACTGGGCTACCAAAACGTTTCCACTGAATATCATCAAAATCTTTCCTTTCCACTCTTAATCTTCTAAATTTGTTTCTTAACAGTGCCATATACTCTAGCACATTTTAAAAATGTTTTCAAACTGCAATTTTTCAAGATAACCATAAAAGAAGGGAAAAGGTTACCCCGGTTAGAAATAGAGTTTTAAACACACGAAAATACAGCATCATCATTCCTAGGATACCTATGCTTTATTGCAGACAAGGAAGTTAAATCTCTCGATGAACATAGGAATCTTCTGCAACTAAGGTGACTTGAAAATCCATTACTCATGCCCAGCCACCACCTACCTTGATATGCAGTATTAGTGGAATTCGTACTGGGGTGAGAAATGTTGAGGGCGGTCAGATCAAGACTTAATGCCAATCCATGTAATCTTTGACTGTTAGTCTGATCCATACAGGGTGGTGTGGACCTTTACATATGTACATTTACAGAGCTTTGCTAGAATTTTGCTGCACTAATTGGCTTGGTTTTAACATTAGTTAGTTTAAGTGGATGCCATACGCTCATGGATCAGCGTATGTACTTAAAAAACAAAAGTATTGAACTATACCATCATAAGGTCAGTTAACAACCTCCTAGATTTATGAATTCCTTTTGGTCCTTCTGTTTTTCTCCTGTCAGTACTCATTTGTGTAGGGAAAACAATGAACCTGCAAATTTGTAGGACTGTAATAGGAGTGATGATGATATACTTTGATCTATGTAGGTAATAAAATTTGTTTTAAGTATTCAGTAACAGTTTGGAAACTGCTGATTAACTATATTTTAGTAATGGAGTTAGAAAGCACAAAGCGGGGATATAGTACCTACTTAGTTCATGGCTCTGTAAATAAGACTGTAAGACATTAAACAAATGACATAACTTTACTGAAATTTCGAAATCCACTGTTTATACCATTCTCATAGTGTGAAAATGATGGTTTAGACCCATGAATAAGGAAACATGGGGTTTCAGGTGTGCTAACATTGGGAAGGATAGTAAAACTATGATCTTTCAGAATCTCTTTATTGCAATATTTGTTTGCTTATCAGGCTTGTTCCATATCTTCACTAAACTATGAACTGTACCTTATTATGATTATCATTGGGAAAGGTGAATTAAAATATTTTCTTCCTATCTTCAAATAAATGTCTATAGTATTTCACTTACAGTTTAGTAATATTCCACAGATTATAGGGTAGTGTTAGATTAGATCATTTAAAGTGATGAATGATTTGTGATAAAGAGTGTAAGGATTTCTGTTTATAGATTATGAATTGTTAATGCTACGGAATCAAGAGGCCCATACTTCTTGTTCTGTTCAAGTTAACTAAATCTGCAGTCACAGAAAGCACCTAAAAGCTGATAAAGATGCATTTGACCGTCATCCTAACAATGGTACTGCATTTTTCTACCGGTAATAAAAACTGTGTATTAGAACTTCATCATGACGTTAAATAACAGTTACGAATGGTCTCCCGGTTTAATACGTTTCATGTGTAATAATGTTTTGGATGACCATTGACAGAGATTCAGTGTAACTGAAGGAAAACAGTTACATTTACTTTGAGGTTCATGCTACTTGAAACCACGGCTAAAATTTTATTGTTTACAAGTTTAATTGTAGTGGGTACATAATTAAATAGGATAGGAGATGTAAATTAACAGCTGTCTATCATATTTAATTTGTGATGCATTAATCGATGGGCTTGTTTTTGTTTTGGCGTTTTCTTTTTCAGGTAGCTGAAACAGAATGCACTGAGCATCATACTTCAGAAGTAATGCCACACTATTCAGTACCTGATTATTGGCCACGAAATGTAACTCAAAGTACTACAAATAATTCAAAAGTTACGAATATTGAAAATCCTCATACTACGGCCACAACAAAAATTCAGTATTCTAATCAGAATCCTATCACAAAAGACTTCAAATGGCCTGAAGGCTATGAAATCATAAATGACGAATCATCTAAACACCGGAGATCATTGTCTCACAGTACGATGACACCTGTTGGCTCATTTCAGGATAAACTTCAACCGAATTCTAAAGAACTGAACTATGCAACTTTGAATCAGTCGGACAAAATGAATTGTCAGTTAAAGCCACCCAGTACGGGCCACCGCAGTCATACTACTAACATACCCAGATCCTGTCAGTCGGTTTCTAGGAAAAAGCGTAATTTTCGACATTATGATGTAAACTGCGTTGATGGTTATTCTGATTCTGACATAAATTCGGCCTACAACAGGATACATAATGTAAAACATGCACCATCCGATTTTTCAAGCAGTTCAGAAGGAAGCGAAAATGATGATAGCAGTAATCCTTATGAAGTTATTTATCAAAATTATCCGGATCATCGGCGATACCATTGTCATCCTATTTTACTGGCCAGTACAGAACCGAAGAGGAAGTCGGTTCGCAGTAAGACCAGAGAATCATTTCGTCCAGGTCGAAGTACACGAAGGCATCAGAATATTTCAGAGAATATAAATCCATCCTACTTTTATGCTCCACCTTCCTTTCAGCATCAAATTCAGTGCATGTACGCTTATGAACCTTCAAATCATAACACTCAAGAACAGATCTATTCTGATATTCACCGTTTTCCTTACACACCAGTGCAGCCAACATGGATTCGACCACCATTTGTTGCGAACACAATAAATCCAGGTTCACTATATATGTCGAGTCATCCTACACATGTTGGATCACCTCAGATTCCAATAAGGTCACCGCTACATAGTACTAGTCCACCAGCTTTCCTACAGTCAAACAATCCGTATACCTTTCTTGAGTATAATTCAAAGGAACAGAACATATCAATACCAGAGATGCATATAACTAATGTGCACACAACAAAAGAACCAACGTCAAATGAATTGATCGGTCTACAAACTGAAGTGAGTTCAAGTTCACTAACTATTCATTTTAAGGAGCTGCTTTGAGAACAGAAGTGATTGATGTTCAACCTATTGTTTTCTTGATCATATTACTAGGTCATGAGTACCTAATTCCAGGTGTTAAGTGTGTTCGCTTGCATACTAAACTTCAGATATTCATGCCTTCAGAATAATGATAAGCATACACCATGATGAACCTTAAGAAAATGCATATTTTGCAAAAAACGTATTCAATAAGTAGTCACCTTTTAAACACAGAGAAAAAGCGCCAAACTTATAGTTTGACTCCAAAGCGTTTCACCAATGTACAGGCATTGAACAATGTTATTTGACGGCATAAAGTCAACTATTTTCGAAGCCTGTTTTATACAAATTAATCTGGTTTAATGCTGTGACAGAAGATACACGTACCAGTTATGGTTTACACACAACTAGGTATTCTGATTTTATCTATGCTACTATGGGCAGATGAAAAGATATTCCCTTGATGAAGGAAGTATTCATCGTAGGTTAAGAATTTTTCATAAGCTCATCCTGTTATTGTTTTTGCATAAGTTGAATTTATTAACTCACATTCGAATGCAAACAATGGATGTGAAATATACACATACACAGCCCAATAAAATACATAATCCAGTTTACTTTCAGTGGTGGACTGACACCGATTTCTAGGCACTGCACCCTAGCAAAGACTTTCCCAATAGCAAGATCAAAGAGGCAAGAATGCAAACTTATGCTTAACTTGCAAATACAAATATTCACGAAAAACAAATGTTTCCCTGACTGATAGTGATTTGGAGTTTTCTGAACACCGACCATCTTCATCCGGCGATAGAAAATTTGTCAATCATCTCACTACTCTCTCTAACAGAATAACAATCCTAACAAACACAACCAAAAACACCGTTTCGCATAAATCCCTTTAGTAATTTCAAAAGTAAACTCTACTAAATATGTACACCCTATCCATTGACAAACATTCATTCATTCGAGTAATGAAGCTTGTTTATTAAAATCATGAAATCCATCTACACAAGTTAAGCTGACCAAAATACATATCAACACATTCAAACCATTGTCTCAACTAAGTGCAAAGTGACCTTCACCTACACCTGTTACCCACTTCCTCTCAAAAGATAATATAAAAGAAATATCTCGTTATTGACTGGTTTGCACTAAACGAACAACGACAAGGATTCGACTGACAAGTTTACTACAATGAATTGGTGCACAGTAGGCCCATAATTCAGACCGCAATTCCTTAGTTCCTCTAATATCTAATCGACAGAGTCAAGCATATTTCAATGTCAAGTTATTTTAACTAGAACGAAGGGTAGTAGTTTCTGAGTATTTGACCTATCAGTCATTCAAATGAGTGTTGTGCAATCCCAAGTTATTGAGTAAATTGATTCAGATTTGTCACCAATTAGCTCAACGTTTAATGTACTGATTACCAGTGCATAACCAAATTTCCTCCATAGTCAATAGATCCGTCAATGAGAAGAAGATAGGAATGCTGGAAGATGGTCGATCATGAAGCTGAAACCATTCGATAACTGCGCTTAAAAAATATATAGTATAATTTAGGTGTACCGATTACATAAAAATTTTCTGTAACACCGGAAAATATCCAGCTATCCCCACAATTACTACTACGTTTATTCAGTTCAAGTTATCAAAGATCATTCGTCGGTAATTAATAGGAAGCAATGTTATATTTTATAGTCTATTTTATGTCTGGCAAATGAATTCAGGACACGGGTTTCATTGCTTTCCAGACTCGTCAGCTGGATTTACCTGCATCCAAGTGATTGATGTTGTCCCCACTGAGACTCGAACCCAGTACGCATCGCTTCAAATGTGAGCAAGTAGTGTACTAAGCCACTGCGGCATGAGAGACACCACTTGTGTGACAGGTATCAGTTGTTGCTGACAGTGAGAAATTAAAATTAATCACTAAACAGTAATAAAGATTATTTGCTTGGTGTTGATCAAGGTTATTAAGATGAAGTCATATCTCACAGACAAGTCAAAACATAAGAATACAGTAGATAGATAGTTTTTATTCCATTCTGCTTATTAAAAGTAAACAAACACACTTGAGATTGCTTTATTGTTATTGTAACATTCAAGAGCAAATTGATTTCTGATCTCGTTTTCACCACCAAAATCATGTGAAATGACACTGTTAGTGACAAATTATGAGAACTTTTCCCACCACACTAGTTATACTTGCAATGCACAGTATTCAAAAATCATATTCGTATTTGGATATCCATAACTCTTACAAAGAGTTTTATCTTTCGTTAACAGGGATTATAAGTATATGACATTATTTGGACTCGTAAAACGTCCTGCGAACTAAAAGAAAGATATCTCTCAATCAATATTATAATTGCCATAAGTACAATATCAAAGCGGTTTCCCCTTCATGATCGACCATCTTCCAGCATTCCTATCTTCTTCTCATTGACGGATCTATTGACTATGGAGGAAATTTGGTTATGCACTGGTAATCAGTACATTAAACGTTGAGCTAATTGGTGACAAATCTGAATCAATTTACTCAATAACTTGGGATTGCACAACACTCATTTGAATGACTGATAGGTCAAATACTCAGAAACTACTACCCTTCGTTCTAGTTAAAATAACTTGACATTGAAATATGCTTGACTCTGTCGATTAGATATTAGAGGAACTAAGGAATTGCGGTCTGAATTATGGGCCTACTGTGCACCAATTCATTGTAGTAAACTTGTCAGTCGAATCCTTGTCGTTGTTCGTTTAGTGCAAACCAGTCAATAACGAGATATTTCTTTTATATTATCTTTTGAGAGGAAGTGGGTAACAGGTGTAGGTGAAGGTCACTTTGCACTTAGTTGAGACAATGGTTTGAATGTGTTGATATGTATTTTGGTCAGCTTAACTTGTGTAGATGGATTTCATGATTTTAATAAACAAGCTTCATTACTCGAATGAATGAACGTTTGTCAATGGATACGGCGTAAATATTTGGTCAGGCTTCTGGTATTTTAAAATCCAAAATGTAAGAATGTGTAAAGAGTATTAAAGGTGTTTAACGTAAAATGATCGAGTCACATGTGCAATTTAGCAGTGGCTGATATCGGCGTCCTACCTAAGCTTTGGGCTACCAAAAATATTTCACGAAGTATACTTCATCAGACTGCTGCTTTATTTAACTTGTTTCAACCATTCAAATGTCTAATAATCGTTAAACATACTCCCCCACACTTTAAATATCTTGAACTTATTGTTAGACGGATTGATAACAAGACTTAAGGATAGTATCACAGTAGTCGGCGGCTGGCCTCTGAAAGCATAACAGCACATCATAAACCTAATAAAGGAATACATAGCTGGAACAGCAAATTTTCACACTGGATGAATGAATTTTCACCACCAAACTTGCGTGTGCTTTTCTATTTGGCCCACGTGTTTTTACATACAAACTAAATGATGACCTAAAAACGACCGGTTGTTGTGCATTTCTGCCTTTCATACTTGTATTATTAACATTGTTTAGCTGTTATGGCTTTTTAATTTGAAAATATTGTACAAAAAAGAAATACCTGCAATTATCGCACTCAGAATTCTAAACTGTACTTAAAGCTATTGACTGGAATAAAGTAGCTGTCATGATTATTATTTACCGAGCCGTAACACATACAATATCTCGACCTTTCCTCTTAGACAAGCTGATACTTCTTTGTTAACAGTTATTGACCTGTATAAGTGTCACATCTTATCCAGATAACATAAATTCAGATACTCAATTACATATTTCTCTTCTGTTGTGTTTATCGTCAGTTTTAAGATTAGTTCTTTAGCTAAAATCCACTTTCTTCGAAATATTTCCGTTGTTATAACTGCTCCTCATGTAACCAGTACGTTAACAGTTCTTGATGAATTAGGTTTTATTCTTCAGATTTTTAGTTTCGAATGGTGTAAATATCAGTGACTGTTTAGTTTAGAGACTCTCTGTCACGAATTACAACACACAATCTTGTTTAAATTTATTTCGGATTTTTGCTTCATTTGCAATCCACATTATACCAGTTGGTATGTGGTGAATTCGCAGGATCCATAGGCTAAGGTTTCCTGCTAATTGGGGCATCTCAGGAAGGTGAATCAGAAACCCCTAAGGAACTGATGTCCCGTTTGAGATTCACACCCACGTCACCCAGTGTTTTATTCAGAGACATTATCACTGATCTACTTGACCTGCGATTGGCCTTCTGTAGGACTAGGTTAGATATATTAATTAATGCCGTAGGTTTGAATCTCAAATTGCCTGTATCCAACTAACACCTACTAGAAAGTTGGTGAGCCTCTTAGCTTTGTAGTTTCTTTGTAAAATGATCGACGGGATTCCATCATGTCTCATGAATAAACAACATGAGACTGGTTGTTCGCTACCGACTAATCAATGTATAAAAGTTGTATATTCTTCATCTTATATTTTATAGAGGCTCATAACGCTGATAGACTGCTTTTCATCTTAGACACAAAACGTAGTGAGCATAAACTTGAGCACATACACACATGTTGGCAATCATCAGCTGCAACCTTTAGGAAACATGCTTTAAATTTGTGACTGCGTCACTCAGGTAAGGTTATAACCTTATTCCAGCAGGATCTCGTTACTTTCTTAGAATAACCACCGAATACAAAATAAAAACCAGTAAGAAATGTGGATACAGAGCTTTCTTTTTGCTTATGGAATTCTTACAGCTAATGCTAAGGTGAAATGAAATAACGCATTATATCATTTGCACTTACAACAAACCATAAAACTTAATAGATGGACCTCAATCTGCGACTGGAACTGTAAACTTGAGTGAAACTGTACCTTCTGATTAATTTATATATTAATAGCTTTGTGCCTTGTATTCATATTTGGATGAATGATCCTGATAAACCCTTTAAGGAAGAATTATTAATGAAAACTTTCCTCATTATACTATTAAGACATACATACATTTTCTGTTTTAACCGTTACTTTAGATTTTCTTACGTATTAGTTAACGAGAAAGTATCATTCTGGTGTTAGATGTTCATAGTCAGTCAGTAGAAAGCATAGACCTAGGTTTCATACTTGTTTAGACTTATCAGCCAAGCGTATCTGGTACTCTTGAAATATTTTGAGCCTGCTTTACCCACTATCAAAATCAGAACTTTTGACCATCAAGGTGGTCTGGTCATGTCTTACTTTCTGTAGGACTGAATTCTGTTCATGGACTGGTCATCAGTGCGTTACTGAAATCTCTGTCTATTTCTTAGTGTCCAACAATGGCTGAAGTCTATTGATCAAGTATTATACTTTATTAACTCAATGGATGAAAACTTGTATTATAAAGTGAGAAAATTGTTGATAAGTGGCTAATATTAAGCGAATAATTTCGGTTTCTTCCCTATCATTGCTTCAACATCTAATCCTAAAGTTCTGACATATAAAACGGATTTATTTCCGTAAGTCTTAAATATATTAGCTAATCGAGCATTTAAGGTTTCAGGAAGATTATAAATATATATTAGGGTTGCAGTTTAATTCCCAGGTGTTTTTCACATGTACAAATCGCATACAAAATACTCAATAAAAAGAATGAAAATTTTCTGTTTCAGTACAGACTCGCAGAATTCTTCTTATCCTATAGTTCCTTTGAAACATGTTGGCCAACCGAATCTTTATAAATAAATTTCTAGTTTGTAATTTTCAAAGTATCTTCAAATATCTACACTGTTTCGATGGGTAGAATGAGATCTTCAAAACAGTAGATGATTCCAAAACTCCCGAACTATTAGTTGTGTGTCTGGATACTTTTGTTAACAATTTTTTATTTGATGTTTTAAATGAAGCAGTAGTTAATACTTCAGTAAAACTCCTCTCAGAGTTACTTTTTATTACCGGTTCGGAAAAGAGGTTAGATCTTCTAAACATTCACTTTTGTTGACGACTTCATATAAAGTAAAGTTTGTTAGAATGAGCATTTAACCTCAATAATGAAAACGCATCTAATGAAATTACACTTTAGAAGATAAAAGGAATTCCACTAATAATTTAGTCCTCGGTATTCAGTGCTTTATTTCAAAATGTAGAATTTTGTTATGGTTATATTCACTCGTTTTACTCACTAACTGAAAACTGCATGTTAAACATCGGAAATCAATCAGCAGAAAGCCCTGAACACTTACCAGCAAATTATATCTGTAACCATGGGGAAACTGGTTTCCTGTTAGCTTCTCAAGTCTGTGTAACTCAGTGATAAAATCAGCTATCTTACCAGTGAGATATTAATTCCTGGAATGACGCGATCTAACACTGAAATATAGTACATCATAATGTCACATCACTTTGCTTAGTGCCCAGTTTTCAAAACTTGATCGATAGGCTTCCATCAGTGATAAACACTTCAGATTAGATAGCTACATTGGTCACTCACTCGTGACCAATTCGTAGTGACCGGATCTATCATACAGAGAATCAGACTGATATCTCTTAGAAGATATTCTGTATAGAATTCTATTCCTCATCGACTTAACTACAACCAGATCAAGCTTTTATTAACGTTACTAATGATGTAGGGGATTGTTCATTACAATCTTGTAAAGACGTTTTGTACCAGAAAGTATACTGTCTCAGCATTTCGCTTTTCTAAAAGTGCTGAAGCTATTAGTTTTAACAAGTGGAGACATTATGAATAGCTGGGTAACTAAACTAAACGACTAAACTTGTCATGTATCTCTAACTGACAGAGGTTCATCCCTTATCTTTGCATTTTATTGAGAAAAGAAGATCAATCTACTATAGATCTGAAACTGTTATTTAGGTCAAGGTTACTTCAGTCTGACAAATTGAAGCTCACAGAGTGAGAATTCACACAGTAATCTGTAGTAAGTGAGTACACATCAAATGTTACTTTGCTAAAACAATAATCGATCACTTCTAATTTATCAGTACCGATCAACAGATAATCATGCTACTGGTTCTTCAATAGCTGGGGAATATGTATTGAAGACTAAGTTTTCATTACTTAATGTCAGACCGGTTAGTACTGCTTGTGGTGTAAGTAACATGCATGGTTACATATGTGTAGAAATTAGTTATCGGATTATTGGAAAAGTCATGATGGCTGGAATAAACAGTAGTAGAGGAGCCTCAAAATGCGATTAACTGCAAGTTGGGTTCTCCTTGATTTGATGACAATGGGATCAGAAAAAAACATTGTATGAAGGAAAGGTATCTCTTCTAAACATAGCCTTAAACAACACTGCATTTTTATGAGCCATACCAAACATTACATATCATCGATAACAGTTATCAGAGTAAATTTAGGCTTGGTTCTGTCGTCTGGTGTAGCTTATGAGTATAACTTCAGAATCTTTGCAGAGAATTACCACAATTAAAGTAATTGACAGACAGATTATGCATTTTTCGGAAACAGTAAGTTTACAAATGCAAAAAACATACTTTTTACAAATATGAAAACCTCAATATACGAAAGTTCGCTAATTGATTAATGTCTTGACTAAGATAACATCATAATAAGAATGTGAAATGTTTCAGACGACGTGTACATTATTATTTTTCTCAACGTCTCACCTAGTGCTCAATATCTGCGATAATATTCGGTTACGTCTTGGTCCTAGGTCGTAAAGGTGATTCAATAAAGTTCTTCGGAATGATCAACAACTGTCAGATGCTGCACAGATGAATTATCTTCTTTAAATTATTGGTAGGGAAGGAATCGACTAAAACACCATCCAGTAAAATAATGAATCAATACCAAAACACTTAAGTACCGTTGAAGATGAACTATCAGCCCACATTTCATGCCTGAAATTCTGAGCTGAGAGGCATTTTATTCCTAATTTTTTTCTTCAGTTGCCCAAAGTTCGAATTGTATTTTTGCTCTGGGATATTTTCTTTTTTTTCTTCGCCTTTTCCGCTCAGATATGTTGATCTCTTCTTATTGGCTGTTATATTTTTTAACACTTTATTTCCTACTCCTTTTCCTATGAGCTATATATATAGTGGAGATTTATTTCAACTGGTAGATATATATATATATATATATATATATATATAATATTCCATCCAGTCATAGTTTTTCCCCCTATCTAGATCTCAGAAGAGCTCAATACAATGTACTTCATTGTTTTTCCGTTCAGCAGTCAGTGTCTGTGCATTGTCAAATGACCACGTTAGAAGCAGTGAGAATGATAGCAGTTTTGAAAGCTGTTTAAAAAGTTTACTTTATGTAGGGTGATTGGATGAATTTCCCAGAAAAATGAAGGAACGCTATGTTTTAGGCTCTGAAATTCGAGATCATGGATTATGAAAATGTAATAAATTGTTTCGACATTAATACTCACATAAACAGTAAAATGAACAGAAATCATATACTAAAACCAGGTCTTGAAATGAACCGGAACTGGAAAGACCAACAACAATGAAAAGTGTATTATTTATTCTGTGTGACTAGATTTTAGAAGGAGTTTACCAAGTGGTTTCTAACTTATTCACCTACTTATAACGGTGAATAGTTTCGAAACGTTGCTTGACTGTGAGTAATGCATGATCACATGACGTTTCATGAGGTAATAGACAGGCAGCTGAGGTCAGTTACGCGTATTGCAGTTTTCAGGATTTGAATGAATTTTTGACGATGTACTACTATCTTTGAATCGCCTGACCGATTAAACGAATCACTCTCACTGTCTTAGTTCCAATCATCTCACTCTCCAAGTTGGTATAGATTCAAAGAATATTCTTTCCAACAACTTCTGCCCCAGGATCCATAGTTAAATGTCAATGGTGAATTTTGCGTGAACAACAGTGAGATTTCTCGTAAGGTCCTGGAAATCCTCTTCATAAAAAGAGTGTGGAAAATGGATGGAATAATACATATATTTCTTGGTTTTGTTTCTCTTCAGCGCAAAATATTGAAGACTACTGGCTTAAGAATAAAAGTTGGGTATTCGGAGGATGCATTTGAGAATGGGTTGATGACTGTGTAACGAAACAATCGAAAACAGTTATCTGGATAAATCCACACGAAAAATATATTATTGCAAATGTAGAATTGAGAGGTAGTCTAGAGGCTAATAGAAAACCCCTATGCACGCGAATAAAATGTGTAGTTGATTTGCTCAGCCAAATGCTAATTTATAAACTATGCAGATCGATCGAAGAGCTTTTAATACTGAAAAATTTCAAGTTATATTTTCCACACACCCAATGGTCACTTCTATAACCAGATTCCAATGAAATAAACTCAATGAATAGTTCATAAAAAGGTAGAAAAGAAGTTTAGTTTAACAATTTGTTTTATATACTCTAATGACAAATGTTGAATTTTCAAATTATTTAGACAGAAAATAGCTAAATTTTATCTTTCAATAAATGTTACCGATTTTGCAGAAATGTGGGGATATGCTAAGGTCAAAAATTCCCAGCCAAACAGAATGCAATTCATTTCCCGTTGAACAACAAGAATCCAAGCTGAATCTAAATCAGGAAGTGAACTCCTCTTTAATAAATATTCCCCTAGAAATTAAAGTGCCGGTATCTTATTCTCAAGCTGAATCATTTTTCATTCCTTTTGAATCAAACTCTTCAAACGTGTCGACTACTTTTCATCCTACGCACAATTTCAAGTCCAGATATTCAGCAAACAAATCAAGGAGTCACTCTGTAACAAGTCAAAGGCCCAAACAAAGTATAACTGAACAAAAGCATACTGGTACTTTGGATAACGAAATAGATGATTCCAGTGATGTGAATTTAGAGCCAGTCAATTTTAGACCCTCAACCGCACAGCGGGAGAATCATATTTCATCTAGCCCGAATGTAAGTGTATTTAGAATAAAGTTTTGTTTGCTGGAAAAACTGTATATCAAGCCTATGTTTTAACCAGTTACTGCTTAAGTACCCAGAAGGGAACACATATTGATAGCCTTACTTGAAAAGTTTTTCAACAAAGCGATCCCACAGTAAAGCTCCCTATTAAAACCTGTACTCATCTATTTGTACCTTCGAGTAAACAGACACTATTCACTTCAAGGCCGTTGATATTTTTGATTTATTATGTTTTTGATGAACTGATTCCTTGTAAAAAAATTATCTGCTTCAACCATCTGCTTATTGTTTCTCATATAGCCTAATTTCGTTGCATAAACAAATTCATTGAGCAGATTTAATTGAGATGAACTACGAAATATGTAGCTTGTGGTGCATAGTGTTGAAGTTTTTCACAGAAAGTTTGTAGGTAATCTATTTCCACAGTTACAGTTTATGCTGTTTAATAGGAAGTAACAAAACTTTTAATGCCATGGAAATTGAGAGTTAAAGCTGACACAAGCGGGTTATACCCATCCACTCACTTATTCGTTAGTTAAATATAACTAGAAGGTGAGTTTTATTTCTGACTTTGTCATTGAATAATGACTAAAACTTAAAAGAATAGATAACAAACTGGTCGCTTTGGTAATGTAATTGAGAGTACTGGAATCCTAAGGTAACCGGGAGACATGAATTAGTGGACTGTTTGATCCTCGAAAGTTTGAACTTTCCCATCCATATGCTATAAATCGTTTTATAAGTTAAGAACAAAATCATCGAGTAGTGTAATTATTCAACAGTGCAGAGTTTCATGTATCAAGCTCTAAGCTTTTCTAACTGTATAGTATGATCTGAGAAGATGGAATCATGTAGGTTTGAGATTTTTAATCCATATCTATGGACCATACCTACATGTAGGAATACAGAACACTGTTATAAGTTGAGTGAATGACGGTTAGACCCTGAAACAATAATGCCTGATTGCAGTTTACCGATAAGTCGTTTCAACCCATGTGAGTTGTTAAAATTCCATGAACAAAGTTGAGAATTTTGAGATATAAAACCTCAGATGGTCTTAAACACACTAATAACCAGTGTTAATCCTCCCTCTGAGAATGGAAACTATCTGGTTCTCATTCATCATGGTTATCCTGAACACGGAAAACAAATATTGACCCTCTTTATCGCTGTTGAACTCAATGATACTGATCAGGGCCCCATTAGAAGGCAGGATGAAAACCATACAGTAAGGTGTGAATGGAAGGATCTTCATCATTTGGTCTTGAAATATGAGGATTATTATAAACAATTTCAAGTTTTTGAGTGAATACCCAAGAGCTGTTTTCTATCATGAAGGTCAGAGAGTTTCAAGGTATACTGATTCTATACCGCCTTCTGAGAATACTAAACAGTATTTTGTATGAACTAGGTAAATTTGTTTCGTCGTAGACTGAACCTATACTGTCTTATGTAAACGTCTCTAATAAAGTGGTAAAAACACTTATTATCAACACAAGAGGAACAGAGCTTAATTCTCATGGATATATATATATATATATATATATATATATATATATATATATATGCCTGAAGAAATTTCACAATTCAAACCAGTTACTGGTTATCAAACGGCATTCGTACTCTCACAACTACAAGTAATTATTGTGATGATGGTAATATTGTCAGTGATACTATAAGCTAAGTAAAACTGAACGTTTTAGCCTGATGAACATCCTTGACAGATAAAAAGGTTCTACATTTCTTTAAAACGTATTACTGTTACATCCAGTTAAATGTTTCTGATATTGTTTGAAATTATTAATATTCATTTGTGGATGTAATTAACAAAAATCCTATGGTCTGTGTGTTTTGCCTCCTGGTACTTATCAATAAGGTTTTTTTAATCAACCTTAAGGAAACCTACATCAAACGGTATCTCATTAGAATACAATAAACAGCTGGCTTTTCATAAGACAGGATAAGCTACCATTCAACATCACTGATAAATAAACCATTTTAAGTTGCCTTTTCCTAATTTCTACTCTAACTCTGTGGATCAAACTAACTGTGTGATAACTAAACTATTTGAACAATATATCTAGCACTTAAGGTCAGATAGTTTTGATCGATCTGATAAACATCCTGCACATAGCCTGTAAGCCTATTTATTGCTCTCATTTTGTTAGGTGTTTGAAGCCATTAAAAGCCAAACAGAGTAGTTCATCATTCACTTTAAAAGGTTGCATCAAAAATTCTGTTAAACTTAAAAAGGTTAGCACTTTATTGTAGGATTTTTTTCAATTAACTTATTTTGTAAACTAGATAGGCAGAATCCAATAGTTACTTAAACTCCCACAATTTTCTATTACTTACATAGGGGTTTCAGGAATATTGCACTTATTTAAGCAGCAACAGAAGTGATTAATTTGTTCAAAATTCAACTAGGCACAACCATTTTACATTTCGTAATAAACAAAGATCAAAATGTTTTTAAGCATACTCATCCTAAATATCTATTTTCAGAGAATAACATCTAGTTCTGACCCTGCAGAAAAGGTTCAAAATAATATTCATACAGGAATTTCTCAACATGTGGACCAATGCGAACCAAGTAAACTTAGTAAGCAAACGCAAGACAACAGTCGCCCAAGAAAAAACAGTAGTTTACCAGTGAGTTTATAACTTTTCCGCTAAGAAATTCTTAAACATCTATAACTTACATTCAGAGGAAGAACATCATTTGATGAAGTTAATGAGGATGAAAACACCAGATAGTTACTTTGCATCATTTTTGCTGCAGTGTGCTTAAGCTGTAATCATTTTTCAAATCACAAAAGCCTGTAAACATATCTGTGCTGACAATGGTTACTCACTACATTGTCATCCAGTAATACAAGGATTATGCATGTAGTGTTTCACTCCAAAGCTGTGAAGTTGGTCTAATAAATGACTAAAGTCATGCACTATCAGTGACTATTAACCTGCAGCTATAACTGCTTTTCAATTTGTAGTTTGAAAATCGAATTCGGTGTATGATAAGTAATGTATTTAAGCACTAGTTGTATGCAATAACTAACCTGAAATATCAGCTTTACATTCAAATTTTTAATGATCAACAATATTTAGTTTTGCTCGGGTAGTCTAGTCACATCCTCTGCTGAATTGTTTGCAACTAAATAGAATATCTGTGTTAAAGTGATTAGATTGGTTGTAGCCCAGTTACATGAAATAAAAAAAAAATCAGGGTTGTAAACTTGTTAGAAAATCTGCTACTCAGTTGATAAATGACATTTGAAAAATACGATTCATTTTAAGTGATAATACCACTAATTATAGTGTCAGTAATGATACTTTTAATGATGTGACATATTGTCTCAAACGGAAAGTAATGGAATGAATTTTCATAATAGGCTGTACATGTAAACTACTGGCTCTGATAGGAACATAATTTTTTTAAATGATATTCCTTTCATTTTAATTCTCCTTGGATGCATATTACTTCGGACTGATATTTTGCCTTCAATATTTCTTTCAAAATATCAAAATATTCATGAAATACTAGGTGGAATACTTAAGTTTAGTTTCATGTACTTGAAGGTAAGCATATTGGTCTGTAATCCAATTAATGGGTGGTAATGAATATAACTTACGTGTCCTAACTGCTTGTCAAAAGTCCATAACTAGTTTGTAATGACAAGGCAAAGTGATAATACAAAATCAAAGTGAAGATTCTGATTGAAGCATTACTTGAAAATGACAACTTTCTAAGACTTGTTAGCCTATGAAAATCGCCCACAGCCTCAACGTTTACTGTGAACAGTAGTGCTACATTTTATGGTATTCATCAGCTTTATGTACATGTGAAAATTTACTTAGAGAGGATTCATCGATCTCCGTAAGTAAGAGTTTCACGATCTCCTCCTAATGATTTAAACAGTAAGCTATATATGAGTCCTTCAAATCAAGAGGTATTGATTTCGGGTTGGTATCCATCATGAACTAATATCAGTTGAAGAAATATTGGAAACATGGGAGCATTGGAGAGTCTTTTCGTCTGATTATGGGACTCCTTAGCAGTGCGCACCCATTATCCCGCCATGGATCAAACTTAGGATTCTCAGATTCTGCGACCAACTAGGCCGAATATGAGGACATTTGCTCAGTGACGGCATCGGATGATGAGTACCAACCTGAAATAAATCAGTGAATCTCAATAAACCTCAGAATTCAAAAGGTCTCACTAGTAATTTTGCATCGCTTACTGAGAGTCAGATAAATCCAGCTGGCGATTGCCAAACAGGATGAAATGCGCCTTCTGGTTTCCATTACTAACCCTTGTCCATCATTTGGATATATGTATCATTCGAGTCAGCGTTAGGGTGAAGTGATATAAACAAAATTTTCCAATGTCATTTAAGAATAAAGTAAAAATTGATAAAAACAATAATAACGATAACCATGATGGGAATAATAGTATACCAAATCACTCCAAATCGGGTTTCTGTCAATGCCAAGGTAACACAGATGAGATTAGTGATTCAAACAAGTTCAAGATTCATCCTTTCTACTTTTTTAATTAATAGTTGCTATGCCATAATCAACTGCACTCCGTTTCGTCTGTGTATTGTATTTGGATATACATAAATATATGGGGCTTAAGCTATCAATCTGTCTTGGTTCAAACCAACGTCTTTCTACAGCCTTGGTCCCATTAAAGTCATTTCTTGTGGCCCACTTTTATCAAGCTCATTAAAATCGTTGACTTTTTACTAACATCTTAACAACTGCTTTGTCTCAGATTTGCTTTTGATACAATTTGTTATCCCCTTTTAATCTGTTTATTAGAAATATCACACAGTGAAACAGTGGCATTTACTGGATAACATTACTGACATAATTTATTGTCCATATTCATATCAGGTAACTCCACAACTTCGAGACAGTCTTTATATATTCCTAGTTTTCTCTCCTTCTCTGTGATGACAAGGGTATTAGAATTTTCTATATATCTGGGACAGGTGCAGAATCATTTCGATTGCATGTGTTTGGTGTTGATTCGATAAACAAAGATTCGGTTATCAATCTCTCCCTCCACTCAAATAAGTTAGTTTTTAACACTGTGGCCCTATCCCACCCTACTATGTGTTTGTGTGTCATCGCATGCAGAGCTGTAGCCCAGCTTTTCTCTAGATTTCTTATCTTATTAGGATCTACTAATCCTGATTTAGCTAAGTTTTTGTGCTCTGTTATTCTAATCGACCCTGGTCGACTGCAGTTGACCTGTCCCAGATATATGGAAAATTCTAATACCCTTGTCATCACATAGAAGGAGAGAAAACTAGGAATATATAAAGACTGTCTCGAAGTTGTGGAGTTACCTGGTATGAATATGGACAATAAATTATGTCCGAAACGTTATCCAGTAAATGTTACTGTTTCACTGTGTGATATTTCTAATAAACAGACTAAAATGGAATTACAACCGACCACAGTGCCCGAGTTTTACACTTATAACAATTTGTTATCCCTTACACTCTCACTTACCTACATAGAAGTCTCCCCCACATATATTGCTTTTCTTTCAGCTTACGTTATATCGGAAACATTGTCATATTTATTAGCTCTTGTGGCCTCAGCCTTCATCAAGATAGAGTGTAATGGATTAGCTGAGGGAAAATAAATCTTTATGTTATATTGTAATTATTCAGAATTCTGATTCTTAATTCCATAGTCTCCTTACGAAGGAGAGAGTTTCTGTACACTCCTAACTTCATCTTACAAGATATTTTTAAGAAAGTCTTAAAGAGTACTTATTTTCTTCAAGGGTAAAGCAAACAAACTTCAGTATATCATTTTTATCTTTATCTATAATAACAAATCGATCAACTCTGGTGATCAGATATTCAGAGACCATTACTTTTTTGGTTCAAGGATATTCAAGTTAGTAATTTATGTGTCGATCAGAATGTACTGTTCTTCGAAAAATGCTTCCTTTTTAACTTATTATTCTGTTGTCATCCCACTATACAACCCATAAAAGCCACTTTGTAAATTGGGTTTAATCTTCTTAGAGAAATCGGTGCATTACAACTCATTATTTATACGTCAGACAAGTTCGTCTAAACTGTCATGTTAGTGATAATAAACACTATCAAGATCATAGTTGACATAAATTGCACTACAGTATAATTAAAACATATCTGTAGCGAACTCAGTCATAAGGAATCCTGGGCAACTGTATTCATTATGCCTAAATGAACACATAATAAAGCATATATGTAGATTGCTATGCCAGTTTTCGCAATGTTCGTTTATTTTCTTTTGATTCCAAAGCGAACGAAGTACCTTTACTATTACATATTACTATTTCAAAGTTTTGGAAAAATGTGAGCAGTTGAGTTCTTAACTATTCTTGAAAGTTGGGGTTACACGAAATATATTTTGTATGAAATGCTGAAGAGTACTTTTAGCTCAGGTGGATGATCTTGTTTGTGTTGTGTTCTCTGAGCTGGGTGGTTGTGAAGCTTTCATTGTCCTTTTAGACAACATCATCAGCGCTAACTTCAATATGAAGTGTTGTCTTTAAAAACAACGAACGCTTCACTATTAAACCACTCGTTTTAGAGAACACAACAAAGATATTTTGTAAGATTCTTATCCACTTTTCAACTCATTGAGACTAAATACATGCAAAAGGCCTATGCTTCATGTTTTAGTGAAAGGTTTCTTACTCATTATACCTTATTAATTGACTACAACAGAAAAGTTATATTTGCCTCACATTTATTTCAAACTAGTTTATCATTGGCACATATTTCCCAGTACCGTTCAAACAACACGATATAAGGTGATTTTAAGAACAGCTAGAGATTTCCGCGGGTAAGACTTCGTTAATAAACGGATGAAAAAAGTCAAACTAGTCGATCACTGGAGAGTCAGTATTCTAATCTCTGGTCTCCATCATGAACCAGCATTTATTAACCTAATCTGAAGTGAAGTTTCTACTGTGAGATGCCGGATCTGTAGTGGCACATAAGTCTGTTTCGCGTATTTGAGACCAATGAAAAAAACCTTCGCAACTGGTTTTGCCTGGCACAGCTCAATGACAATGCATTCAAAAGTAGGATTTTGTAAAATTACTAGCTGGGCAGAATATTTATATGGCTACATAATATGACTTTGAGAAGAGAGTCAAATAGTATAATAGTATAATTAGGCAGGCTCATTTTGTTCATTATCGACCATCAAATAAGTGGAATTTAGTTTGCAAGTTACGACATTATTTTTTTGGCTCTTGAGTATTCGGCGACTAACCATCTCTGTGGTTACCTTTTTACTGAAGTACTGAACAATTCCTGTTTGAATGTTCGACATAATATGAGTTCTTTCAGAATCGTAAATGCATCTCAAACGAATATGGATCATCCATCGACTAAAGATTTGTGACTGCTTACTTTCTGCATTTTAAAAGTTATTCATTAAAACTAAAATATATTCATATTTTTATCCTATAAGTTTAAATTATTTGAAACTAATCCTCTGGGCGGTTTGCCTAATCAATCTTAAAATTGATTGAACACGTGTACTCACTTCAATATATGCCATGTTTTACGTTTGGAACATTTATTGACTTAAGGACACCTTATTTTACATGCTTTTTAATTTTGTCAATTCTTCCTTCTCATATAGTTTATTGTACTAGTCTAAATACACTGAATAAAATCAGTCACATGGCTACTATTTGTTTCATACTTGTTTTGGATTAAGTCAACTGGCCACAACTGACTTAAAATACTGTACTTGAGTGACCTTAACATTCTATAAGTTCCTAAGCAGACTTGAGTTGTGCAACTGAAACCTGCACTTTTAATTACTAGTTACATTTTAGGTTGAACTTTAAGTGATACTTATCGCATTAGGAAGTATTGCTCTTGATGATTAGAACGTGTCAACCGATTCGACTAATAGGATTTTACATTCACAGGTAGACGCGTTACATCAAGCTCACTTCCTTGTGATAGAAATTCGGAAGACTAGGAATTAATACTCAGCTATACAACACAGTGGTAATTGTGTTGTTATATCACTTCAAGTGGTTCTGAACTCACTTTTTGTAGCTAGTATTCAATTTTTAGGATTCTATAGTTTGGAGAATAGTCTTTTGCTACTATGCATGATAAGTTTCAAGTTAATATATGTAACGATAACTAAAGAAAGAACATATCTTATAAGTGAATTAGCGACGTGCAATCATGTGTAAACAAAACAAAAATTGAGTTTTAGTTAGTCTCTGGCCATTAATCTGTAGATTGCCATTTCAGCATTTTGCCATCTAATCCTCAAAGCTCTTTTTGATTTTTCCTGATGAAAGTACCTACTAATGTATACGAAATTATAACCACTCAGTCTATTGGTTGCACATGACAATAGACCAGATGCAATGAAGTAGACAGTAGTTGAAATGTTTTCAGATTAAATATAACGCGTCACGTTGCGAATTACCTTGCGAAAAAGGTGATATTAGATGTTGAACTTTCACTTCTGTCTAAAATGAATGTGGTCATCTTAAAAGATTGGTTTTTTTAACTTTGATATGTGCTGCGAGTGTCATTCCAGGGGCTCTCACATCGCTCACTGTTCACTTACCATGGTGATAATTGGTAAAAAGAGAGAGATAGCCAGAGTACGATATACTCCTATGAGATAACAGGTTTTTATGTTCAGTTGGCATCTCCAGGTGCCTCACAACCCCATGTATGGGATTCCAGAGAATACACTACTTAATCCCTTGATACAATAGCAGACCTCGCTCAAATTTGAAATAAGTGACTTTCCTGCCACAAATTTCTTATTTATTCTACCAATAAAACGTAAAAAAGTACTGAATGCGTATTAGGATATATCCTTTAGACTGCCCCCTTGATAATTCACCTTTGTTTTCCTTTCCATTCTTTCAATCCTTTCCCATCATATTAGTTTTGCTTTGTTATTTTGCTTGGCGTGTCTACTGATATCTGCGTTGTACCAAGTTTATGTCTTAAATAAAAAATAAGATAATGTTGTTGAGACGAATGAAGGTGTACATACCAAAAAAGTGAAAGACACATGAATTCTCAGTTTTATCGACTTCAGGACCAAAATCTGACCTGATAGAGTTGAATAAGATGAGCATTAGGTAAATGGACTATAAATATTCTTGCAATTTTTAAATGGATTGAATTATTTATTCGATTTTCGAAAACACAACTTTTACATTGAATTCCTTCATAGAGAGTAAAATATTCGTTATTTTGTCTGTAGCACCGTTTGACTAGCTTATTCATAGCGCATCTGACTGCGAATCGAAGCTATTTAAGATTTCCTGACGTCACAGCTGTACCTTGCTAATAAGTCCGAACAAGCCAGCCAGTCTACTGGATTCTGAGCTATATTACTCACAGTCTTCAACCATCGGTTCTGACTGTTTGTTGATCCTAAAGAATAACCTCATATTTTAATAGACAGTTCAATAGAACTGTTAGAAGGATCATGGACTGGTCCCATGTTTTGTTTCATGTTTCGGTCTTCAGTGTTTATTGAGATCTACCAATACATTTAAGGGAGAAAGATGTAATCTATTGATCTAGAACACGTATGTTACTGGTAAGAATATTCCCGTGAAGTTACTTTATGATTACAGTTCATCTTTGACTATAACTTGTTTTAAAAAATTTCTTTCTCATCAATTTACAGAACTATCTAGAGAAGCGATCATTGAAAGCAAGTGAGAAAGAAACACGTGGCTCGCACAGCTCTAGACCATCTTCAGGGAAATCACAAAATGTTTTAGATATAAAAGAAGGCTTACTTCAAACAAACGAAAATCTTGTGAATACACCAAAAGCGCTTCCTATTCATCAAAGAAGAACAGCTAGTGTTTCTCGGACAATTGGTGTTGTAAAACCTAATCTTAATGCCGGTAAGTGATGGAGGATAAGAAGTACTTGCGAGAAATAACTCCAAGTTTTAAATTTAAATGTTAGGAATCCTGTGGACAACCATCAAATTCATATATTTAGTAATGTAAGTATATGGTATTTTTACCGTTGGTGAACATGTATTTGCAAGTCACTGAAACCCAAGTAGTAGCCGGGAAGTGTTTTTTCTCATTCTAGATGTTTTCAGTTATACAGAACCGTAACTTCGTAGCGAAGTGAAGCATATTCAAATGCTACACGGATGTTTAATTAGTGTTTGCCGACCTTGGTTGTTGTCCAGTTGTAAGTTGTGGAGGGGGAGAGATTTTTAGCACATCTTGACCTCCGTGACCTTATATTTCACTCAGTCAAGCTGTGAGAGGATCTTTATAGGGTTGAAATTTTGCTATTTGTAATTTTCATACTGAGCCACTTCATCGATTTGTTTGGTCGATTTGCACTTGTTCGATTCATAGATTTTGTATTTCTAAGTAGACCGTGAGCCTGATACACATCTAAGTGTTCGCTGGTTTACTTTTCGTTAGAGTGCTTGGCTTCTGGAAGTCGTCTTGGAACTTTTAAATTAGCCCTCTGAAGGACTCCACATACTCTTAGTCCAAATTGCGATCGTGCTTGTCTGAGAGCGAGAAAACCAGTGGAGTTGCATCAAGTCCCTTAATGGTATTCAGTGTTAATTAATTCTTTGAACAATCCGATAGCTAGGATGGCCAACTTAGTGTTGGGGACAATTTTTGTAGTTGACTTTCTAAATTATGTTTGCTCTATCTTCTCTTAGCAACGGATCTTTCGGCTTGCACAAGGCGCTCTTATTGATTTCGTTAACTTGTATGCAACTTCAATCCCAAACGGAAGAAGCAGTTGATTGACGGGTTTTGGGACATCGTAGATGTACGGTAGAGCAACCCACTTATTGATGTTAGGTTATTGCACCGTTATGTGTTATTCTGATAGATACTTTTAGATAAAGTTTAATGGATAACCATCGGATTAAAGCACTTTGTACGCTTATTTTTCTGTCGCATTTCGTGGTGCTTCAGTGGTGCAATATGTTTTAGCTCTTGAAAATGGTGTTTGTGTACAGCGTTTCCTATAGACTATGAGTTGATTGCTGTTAGAGTACAGAGTTCTATCGGTGTGTTATTTTCTTCTACACTTGAGTTTGCTGGGACCCATCGTGCATTCTGTTGAAGAGGACATCTAAGAATGGAATTTCTTTTGTTAGCTTCCTCCTTTGTCAACTGAATTCCTCCAAATATTTGGTTAGTTAGTTGTAGTTTGTATTCTGTTTCTTCGTCCTTGAAAATTATAAGCATGTCATTGACGAACCGAATCCGAACTTTCGGCCGGATCAGACGCATAACTAATGTTTTTAGCCGCTGCATCACTTCTTCAGTAACCATTCCTGATAATGATAATCGTCAGTTTGTAAATCTTCCCAGTGAACTTTAAGCACATTGTTAAACGTAAATTTCGGTTGCTGTTCAGGATAATAAGCAATATCTCTCTGACCTCCCTTGAGTCCTCTGAAGTGAAGGGTGAAGTTACATCAAAGGATACCATTATTTTACTATCATCTATCCTCGAGTCTTTTATTTTGTCGATAAATGCAGATGTCAACAAGTCTGATGACAAAACATTCACGACAAAACCTCAAAGTTTTAAGGATACAAAACAATTACCAGATACCCGATTGTTTGCTGAATCCTTCATGTCTGCCGTTTAGTATACACTCTCATGTGTACTCATCTACACGGAAACTCATATAGTAGTAATAATTGAAATATGGTTGATACCTGACCTATGACTCAACACCTCAATGTAAGTTTCCTGATTAATTAGGAATGAGGTGAGCGATAATACAGTCACCAAACTATATGGTATCCTGAAGTTTCTTCTACTTCATCTGAACGGTTAGAATGATTATATTCTGGTTGAAGTAAGTTACAAAGATAGAAGAAACTGACTGTTATAAACTTTGCGAGATACAGCTGAGATGAGCTCCATCTTCTGTCATAATTTGAGCGAAAAACATTTGACCATTAGGACTGCATTGAATTCTATCATTGCTGCAGTTTGTAAAAAAAGTTGTTTTATCTATGACATATATTACTGTGTTTTCCCACATTTCTGCAATCAGTTTTATAATGACAACATTTATAATCACTGCATAAAATTATACCTCTTAGTGAAACTACATGCTTTCCATTTTGAACTTATATACAGTTTCTCAGCTTTAGCAAAGCACTAACAAATATGAAAGAAAGTGAGCACAGTATGGTTTTTCAAATTGACTAAGGGAGCTTTCGTTTTACGTTTCAGTGTCCTGATTGCCATTTTTAAAGCAACTTATGTTGGTTGTGAACTTGATTTCCAAACAACCAGTTTCCCGTTCAAATCCTATTATGCGCGTATCTTAAATTATCTTGAATATATTTCTAGTTACGAAATTTATTTACTACATGAAGTTTCTCAATTCGCTAAACTTTGTTTTTGAATGGAGAAAAGTGTAGAGAAGAAATTTACTGACTAAGATTTCTTCGGAATTAACTTTCAGAATTGTCATTTATATAAGTGCAAGACTGAGGCACTGTGGTTGGATGTGGTTCCATATTAAATTTGTTTATGTGGTGTATAACCCATAGTGATACAGTATTATTTACTTGATGACGTCTCGAGCATGATTTATTGCTCATAATCATATCATCAAAGGAATCACACCACTTTCGATATCTGATTTTATAGTCCAATTACCTCATATTTTCTGTTTTTATTGGTAGTAAAGTTTTCCATACCTCTGATATAGGTGTTGCATCATTCCTATCACATGTGTTGGGTGTTGATTCGATGAAGAAAGCTTCAGCAATCAATCTCTATCACCACCTAATTATATTGGACTTCAGTACAGTGGTTTTGTCCCACCCTACTGTGTGGTTGTGTGTGTTAATACATGCATTGGAATAGCCGAGTCTTTTCCTGGATTATTGACCCTGATGGGGTCTGTCATTCTATATTTGGATAAGTTCTAGTGTTCTGATAACCTAACTGAACCTGATTGACTAGCCTGATCTATGTACTTGGCCTCACAGTTAATGCACGGAATTCACTAGGTTAGATTATTTCGCCCATTCGAATTCATCGAACTCTACAGCTAACAAGGCTTATCTCTGAGTTTGTAGGTTTAAAGGCCATCCTGCTTCCAGACGTGTTGAAAATCCTACATAAAGTTTCTGATATTCCTTTCTTCCTAGGGGCTTTGAACTTATTTCTACTCGTATTGTCGCTATTTTTCGTATTTGTATTACTGTCATCACTTTGTTTCTTATGTGTTCGTATGAATTCCTTAGTAAACTGTAGAGGATAATTATTAATTATTAACGCTTTTTTTATGTGTTCCGATCCCTTGTTTAAGTCCTTACACTGACTAGTGAATTTTTTAGCTCTGCCATTTAGACATTTAACTAAACCCGCCTCAACTGACATTGGATGAGATAACCTGAAGACTTGGTATCTGTTACACTCTGTCGGGGCAAAACTAAGAATAACAACCTATAAAGACCAATAATCTAGAAAAAACTCGGCTATCGCAGTGCATGCGTTAACATACACAGCCATACAATACGATGGGAAAAAACTGCTGTACTGAAGTCCAGTATATTTAGGTGGAGAAAGAAATCGTTGTATGAATCTTTGTCAACCGAATCTGTACCCAACACATAAACAAATGAAATTTCATGTCCATTAACTTCATTATCAGTATGATCTTCAACACCAATTGAAATGCGCTTTCATGCGTTTTAAAAAGATCACATAATGAGTAGTTTTTGACATAAGGAAGAGGAATGAATTTACCAAATAACAAGAGGATAATATTTTTCGCTAGCACCAGTTATCAAGTGGTTTTGCTAAATTAGCAATAGACACCACTTATTGTGGTACCGAGATATTCTTAGTGAATATAAATTAGTGTAAAGCAGGGTATTCGATACTGACCATTTACAGATTTTGCCCTAACCATAAATTTATACTTCACTTTATTTAAGCAAGCAAAAATATAGACTACAGCCTTATACAGAACTTACTTCATACACCAAGTATTTCTAAAATATATTCTGGTTAGCTTTTTCATTTGACCTTAGAAAATGCTCTGTCAGTTGTTATTAACGTAATTTATAACACGATACGCTAAAAATAATGAATATTCGAAGCTTAAAATATGCATATGATATGCATAAGTTCCGAAAGATGACAATTTTTTTATTGACTTACAGATAAACCAGACCTATAATTGTATAACAGCATTTGATTTCGTGTTAAATACAATACTACTCAATAATCCAACCAATTAACATGTATTTATATTTGCTCATTGACTTTCTTTGTTTGTATTACAAAATTATTGTACCTTCTTGTTGAAACATTTAAACAATGTGTATCACAATAAATTTTATGTGATATTTTACCTACTTATAGATTGGCATATACTATAAAAGACAACATTCTTCGAGAACAGTTGTATTCTGACACATAATATGTTCTTTATGAACTTAGCACAGAATCACGGTGAACACAATGATTCCTGCTGGTAATGTTGCAGTAATATCACGTTAGTTAATACCAATACAGTGTGGTAAGAAGTTGAAGTAATACACAGAAATTAAAAAATCAGGTCAAAATATCATGACTATTTCCTTCCTAAAGTGATAACTCTGAGAGGAAGAAGCAGGAGTAGAAATAAAATTTCGTGAGGCTGAGAATGTACGATCATCTTAGCCAGTTAGAGAATAGAAAAGGAAAACATGTGACTATCAGTGAGCTAAAATCAGTATGACGCACATAGGCTTTGACAAAATGTGATGTAATAAGTTAATAGTGAAATTTACAATATTCAATGATAAAAATGATATAATCAGGTAAGAGTAAAAACTAAGAAATTACGCTAACAAAATGAAAAAGGATTGTAAACAACTTTTCCTGAACGAAGAAATCAGACTTCAAACGTTTGGTGGCCGCTGTTTCAGTCAGCCTTTGGAGATCCTATCCACTGTGTTTGTTGATTACCTTCAAAGAACTATAAACATCTTCCTCTTGTTCTTTTTCAGTAATAGGATTGGCGATTACATAATGGAAAATATCTCTTCCCCTGATTTGTAAACTGTTTTGAAAGTTTTCATGAAATCTGAGATAAGTTTTTTCTCCTGTGTGCCTGCTTAAATAGCTACACATAAACTGATGTATATACGAATTTCGAGGAAACACCAGAAAGAGGTCTTTTCAGGCTTTAGTAATGAGCAGATAATTTGACAAATTGAAACCGAATTATCAGCAGGATAAGTTTTGGCTAATGTTATTTTCACTTTTGTTGACATAGTCTCTGCAGCGCTAAGTCCTTTAAAGTTGATGTATATGAAAGGCAGCATTTTTCTGACTGTGATTTTTTTCATTATTAGCTTTTTAGTACTTTTATATTTTTAAAGTAACCTCTGTGGATAGCCTTTATCTCTCAGACATTTCTCAATGAAAAGTAACTCTTCCTCTAACTTTTCTCTAGGCCAATCCACTTCTGCTCTGTAAAATTATGTTTTCACTACTATCAACTTGTAACTACCTGAACAGAAACTACTGAAATTACCATATAATCCATTTTGGTTAATTATTGCTTAGACTGACACAATGTTGGCTAAAAATTTGGTGCTAAACTATCAGATTAGTGATTGAAGTTGGAAAATCTTTGCTTCTTCATAACACCGATGCCAGCAGTATCCGGTTTTTAGCGGTAAAGCCCCAAGGAGATAAAATAATAGGTGCGAATTGTGTGGAGGTTCACACTTGAAAGTAATCATAACCCAACTAAATCAGAATATATATATATATATATATATATATATATATATAGGTACGTTTGTGAACCCCATACTCAAAGGTTTTATCAAATGTTTAAGTAATCAAGCTAGGAGGCTTAACATGTAAGTCAGAAAATTTAAGTAAAGAAGCGAAACAAATAAGAGAAACTTTACTACTCAGTGGCTGTTCACCTTAATTTATTCAACAACTGAAAAGTACTGATAAGGGTAGAAGTAATAATACATGTAGGGATTACAGCATTACTAGGAAGGAATTCAAGTCTTGTTCAATTTCACCACAATGAAACTATCAGAAACCTTTCAGACAGCAGACAATACAAATGGTGGCATAGGAACAGTTGAACTGATAAATAAAATATAAAGTGATCAGTTTAGATAATTCATTTTCTGATCCTTTCGGGAAAATAAGGCACCACTCAACACTCTCTATCCATGTTTTTTCAAATAGTTTAGTTTGATTTTGTTGTGTATCTTCAAATCATACTAAACCTTATATATATATATCTTGGTTGTATTGTGTTCTCTGAGCTGGGTTGCTTAATAGTGTAGCTTTCATCGTCCTTCTAGACGATAGCATCACCACTAACTTCAGTATATATATATATATGTTTTACTTTTTAGGTCGTAGAAGACATACACAAGATGAACTGTCCTTATTAGATGTAAAATCGCACGTCAATAATACTGAAGATGGGTTGTCAAATGACACAAAATTATTCGTTCAGTTACAGACTAAGTCTAATCGTCGGGCTATTGCAAATGCATTGAATTACTGTTGTTTAGCTGGACCAGTAAATGAAAATACGAAACGAACAGCACTTGAAGTAAGTAAAATGTTTAAAGATTTCATTGCGCACAAGTTTTAGAGTTTCTTGTGTCATAAAAATGGCTATCTTAATGTGTGATAAATGGCTGCAAACATTCACTTTCATTCACTTCAAAAACTTTTTATTTCTCAACAAGTTTAGATGCACATACTAATATTAAGAAGTCAGTCATTTTACAATGATTAAAATGGGGCGATAAGTTCGCCGACGAAATACATGGATAAATACGTAACCTTCGAGGTTACTGAGTATTTCTATATTTACATTGGTCCTAATAAAGGTTAACATTAAATTCATTCTAACTTTAATTACTTAAGGCATAATTCAGCGGAGGAAATATTTGATTTAGGCGGATAAGTTCTAATTCATAACAGCAAATAAACATTTACGACAGAAGAGCTCATATAAATTTGTGCTTTTATTGTTCTTATATCAGGTGGAAAAAGAAATGATGTTATCAATGATTGATTATTAGAAATGTAAAGTATTTCTATAAGATGTGAAAACTGTTCCTAATTTGTTTACCCCTCATTTCCTTTTGATTGACGGCTTTGTCATCTGTGGTGTTCGTTCATTTTATGATACCACATTTATGTCCAGTCATCAGACTTTATACTCAGGTTATTTTTATTACTTTTCACAATCGTTTCACCTCACTGCTTGATAACAATCTTACCGTAACAAACAACTTTCAAATGGCCAAATCAAAATCTAGTGAGTGATGAGTTTTATTTGATTTCTCTTCGACTCTAGAAGGCTAGCTTTAAACTTTTATCATCCAAGCTGTTTCTATGTCCGCTTTCAAATTTCGACGTTTTGTTAACTTTCAAGCGATGTAATTGTTTATGCATATATTCCTTACAAACGATAATTGGACCCTTTCTGAATTCTAGTTTCCACGGATATAGTAACCACAGTTTGAGGTACGGATTCCAAAATGTAGATGATTTAAATAGGTGTGATTGAAGTAACCTCACTAATAATGACATTTATATGGACCAACTAATTCCTCGATTTACCCTTGGCAAATAATACACGTTATACAATGAATATTAAGACGACATAATTTTAAATAATGAAGTTACTGTTAACAAGTCTAGGTAGTTAAAACGTTTATAACTCCGCATAAAACCAACATTTGAGGTTAGTGCTCATCATGGACTAACATCAGTTAGATAAAGATTGGAAACATCGAAACACTGGGCAGTCGCTTCGTCCTAGTGTGGGACTCCTCAGCATTGCGCGCCCATTGCCATATCAGGGATCGGAACCAGGATCTTCAGGTTCAGCAACCAGCACGTTACCATTGAGCTAGTGAGTCAGAATCCAATAACCTATATAACCTACTTCTATCGATCATGGAATAGCTTAACCTACATCCAATGCCGTCACTGAGTAACTTCCCTCATATTCGACTTGGCTTAGCCCCACCGGCTACTACTTATTGGAACTTCAGGAATCACCTGTCGAAGTTAGTCACCAGTGGGTACTGGATTATTTCAGTTCAGAGGTTTGTGGGGATTTATTCATTGATTTCAGGTTTGTATTTATCATGGCAACGTGCTGCCCGCGGAGCAAGCAATTAGTGGACACTAGAGAGTAATTCAAACTGGATCTCTGATGAGTACGTGAGTGTGCACTGTAGAGAAGTCCCATACTAGGACAAAACAGCTATCCAGTTCTCCCTGGTTTCCAATGATTCTCTAACTGGTTTCACTTCATAATGAATGCCAACCTGAAACCAATAAACACACCCCCGCAAACCTCCAAACTGAACCAACATTCGATTTGTTTACTGATGTGAAAATCACTATCAATTAGGTCGATGTATGCGAGAACTGCAAAAATTTAGATCAAATAATAACACAGCAGACATTATAGGATACAAGGATTTTAAAGATCGACAAAATGATTGGATAAGTTCATTGAGGATTAATAAAATACTAAAACCTTATATTAAATGCAGTTCATTCACATATTATCTATATCTTGAATTCAAGATAAGCTGCTCTTCAGTTTATATTGCTTCCTCGTCTTTCCTCTATATCCAAAAACCTTTTTCAAATGTCTCATAAAGATTGGCAATTGGATGTAAACTCAGGTTGCGTTCTTATCACTGTCAGGCTATATACTTGTATACGTGTCCATATAAGTAGCTCACACATGAAACGACAGCAGTTGGCGAAGGTTATCTAGATTCTTTTTATTTCTCACTCAGTTGTTTACAACCGAATATTCAAAGACTACTTGTTTATTCTAAAAATCTGACTTGATAAGAAAACACCGTTGCTTCTACTTAACTGTAATCAAAGGGACTGGTGGATTACGGTAAAATGAACTACTAAGGCTATCCGTTTACAGAAAGGTTTAATGGGTGTTCTAGAAATGACGTAGCAGGTTGGACAACATATCTAGTTTTATAGATACAGAAAATTAGTTTTGTGTTATGTTAGATATTTAAGAGTAGATGATTGACACTGTCATAAGAATATACAAAATCAGATAGTTGAATCTGCAAAGTCAAGAGTTTGTTTCTGATCAAACAAAAAGAGGGTAAAGAATGTTAATGTTACATAACTAATCACTAAATGATTTACCGTAGCAAGAATAATATGATTGCCGTTTCTTTAATGACAACTTGAATTAAAATTATTTGATTCACAAAGACAAAAAGTATTCAACTTTACCTGCTCATAAAATGCTTAAAGCGGTTTCTAAACATCAGTATGATCTTAGCTCATTGCAGTTTATAAATGAAATAATAATTCACCTGAATTATTTATTTGACCTGGGTTTGGTATTTTCTTAAGTTGTTCTTTTTTAATGCTGCATAATAAGTCTGTCAATAAAACAATGGGTTGTCAGAAATTTCGTTTTAACGACATGGTTAATGAATATAATAGTTACTTACTAAGGACTTGTCAAATAAATTTACTTACTGAGAGAGTTTCAAGAAGCTCATTCAATGAACATTGTAAAATCTCTAAGATCATTCTCGTGTAGTGTATGCCACTTACCTGAAGATACTAAATCTGACGACAGAATATTTAAACGTCGTTATTACTCCAGTAGCCACAGTTATTCTTTCTACCAATAGGGTGTGTACTTGACAAAATGTAAGTTTAAAAAATAAAGTTGATTGTCTAAAAAAACTATTAAGGTAGATATTTTTCAAAACAATATAATACACATTTGTTATCACGATATATCTCTAGGTGTAACTCACCACCTAGACTAGAGATTCCAATGCCTTCCGCCTATTAGTGCTTCAGCGGCTAGCTACCGTTATTATCTCCTATAAAATGGATTTAACTCACAACCAGTGTATAAATCTGATAATGGTTATTAGGTTACTTTCACTTTATGAAAGCGGTAGCATAAACCAAGTTTATCGCGAATGACCAGTTTGAAAAGTTATCCGTTTAAAGTACTAAATACAATGTTTACATCTGTTGGTAACTTCGATTCCATTAATACAACTCAAAAACCAAATGGTTCACGTATTCCCAACAAATGTGTAAATGATATTGCAGTCAGTGTTGAATTTTGGAATATCATTGCCTAATATGGAGCAGTTAGCACTCAGTGTGGCGAAAACAGTTTACGAAGATAAGCCTTTCATGGTGTTATTGATTGCTTAGACAATCTTCTTATTCGAGATACAGAAAAGCATTTCACTTCAAACGCGGAATGGAACTCGACGTTCTACTTGGTTGACATCAGACTTGAAAGAAGACCTAATATTTGTGTTTGAAGACTCCTCTACAAAACGTCTACTTGGGACAGGTAACTGAACAACTTCCGAAACTGCGTAACTTTTATCAGAAAGCGAAATCTTATATGTTCTCTCTGTTCAAGGATCGGAAAGATATGAACTTCTGCTTTATATTCAAGCATTTAGTGAATTCAGGGTATTTAGCTCCTATCAAAACATCTGCTTAAAATTCTAATGAAATTCCAAGAAAGGTAAGAGGATATGACATTTGTCTGCACCCGTAGCACTGGCAACCTACAAGTGCATGCCTCATTTACTCATTCAAGAAAAAAGTGTGTGGCCCTTTTGTTAATCATGGCCTCAAAGTTGTTGCATTTTGTTTATGTTTTATTTGCTGTCATTTTCCAGTAAAAAAGTTAAACTTATTATTTGGCAGTCTTTCTTATTTCGTTTTCTGTGCTTTCTTCGCTAAACTTCTGAATCTTACAAGAATTTTACATATCTTACTTAATATTCTGGCATTCCCTTGCCATACCTATCTTCAGTGCTATATTGCCATTCCTTCAGAAATTATTATCGTCTGAGTTATATGTTAACGAATGTATAGCCTTCAAAACAAATAGCCAAACAGGTAATTATTTTAACTGTAACGTTTTTTCTGTAAACTATCAGGAAATTTATAAATCTACTCTCAGATACAACGTTAAATACGTATTAACACGTTTATAAGTGGGTTATCCTATTAATGAGGTTTGTATAACTGAAACTAATGTTTACTGAACTCATATGGTCTACTGTGATTAACGTATGCCATGGATATCTTGCTAACATTAAAAACGAATGCTTCACATTCACTTGTTTCGCTGAAATTTCTGAGCAGCTAGACGTATACATTTATAACTTAGTCATAAGAGTTCTTTATCTGCAGAATTGAAAAGCCAACTTCATATACATGAGGTGTAAGCAATCAACTGGGTTGGAAGTTCGCGTGTGATAATAAACTATTTTGCAGCACTGCGAATAAGAAATTAAATCTGGAATTTAAAAAACCTACACAGACCAAGCATCTTTTATTATACGAGAATTAGCCTTCACACTTTCGGAAAATAGAAAAACATGGAGAGACTTTATAGCATTCTCGTTCATCAATGTTCACTAGATTTTAAAGCAAGAATATTTCCCTAGAGGACTGTGGACCATACTTTACGCAAACCTTGGAATCATACGCCTAACTGTAGAGAAATATATGGCTGAAATGCGTAAGTTTGACTTTCACTTCTAGGTACATAATTAGAATATTTGTTGGTCAAATGAGGTCACACATTAACAACAATGTTAAGTGGGGTAGGATAGATCAAAGCTAATTGGGCAGCGGAAAATCAGGAAAAATCTGTGTATCAGTTATTGCAACAATAATAATTCCTTTTTATTTCCTATATAATCAAATGATGTTTTTTAGTGTTTGTACAGTGATAATGTATACATAGTATGACCTTAGCGCACTTTTTTCATTGTTTGCTATAGTGAGTTTATAAATCAAAAGGTCTAGGTGGCATTTAGAAAAATTCTATTAGTGCAAACGTTTTCTCTACAGTTTATTGTGGCTTCATAATCACAGCTTACACAGAATCCTAAATCCCCTTACTCCAAAACATTTGGCAATGAGACTCTATTATATGGGCAGTCCTTTATAGTATCAATGTTATTCAGATTGAGTCACGTATTTTACATCATTTGTTTGTATACATCAAGTATCAGACTAGAGGTATTTACAATCACGGATGCTTTGTACCAATTTTTGTCATGTAAATTACATGAGTTACTATGGGAGAAATCCTCATCAAATATCAGAAAAAAGCCTTACGCTGAGAGTACTGTTCTCACATATGGTCATCATTTAATGGCCGAAAATCTGTTGTAATTCAGCAAACTCATAGAATGCAAAAAAAAATAAGAATAGCGATATGTTGATCATCAAATAATTCTAACTGGTGGCTTATTAACTCTCTCCTCAGTACTTCATACCTGGCTTGGTCATGTCAGGTTTATAAGATTGAACCTGATTTGTGAGTGAAATAAATTTTATCTCGTGAAAATATATCACTCTACGAGGAAATTTAGTTCAAAAGTGTTTGACTGATTTCTTTTTTTTGGTCTTAAAGAAGACTAAACTATTCAATGAGATTACTCATAATGAAGGTGGTATAGATTAAATTTAAGATACGGCAACGTATGCCTTAACAGCTGTTAACTTAAAATTCTTATTTTCATTTAACCTTTCTGTCAACTGATCTTTATGATTCGGAAAGACAAGTGAATGTCCCTCCGACTAACATGCCTAACTATATAGGCTAGAACTTAAGGCGAAAACTAAGTCAATCATGGTTTTAAGTAGACATTACTGACAAAAAAAATTCATGCAATAATCGAATCACAATAAAATGTATCCCTACTTAGAGTATAATCAATGTTAATTTTTCAATTCGATTTCAATCCCGACAAAAGAAATTTCTAGAAATAATACTCAGTTATATTTCTTACTGAATTTTTCGCTGTGTAAGCAGCAAAATCTCACTCTTGTTAAGTTTCTTCAGATGAGCTGTTATCGCTGCATTGGATTAATTTTCAGAAACCGTTCAATTAGAAAATACTTAATTCGGTAGTGAGCTTTAAAATTGAACTATTGACACATGAAAAAATCACTAGAATCACTCGCCTTAAAAGCATACATAAATGTTTCTAGTTAACGAAACTCGTTAATTTACGAAAACAATTTGTTGACTAGAACTCAAAGTTGCTTGTATGTTAAATATTTACATACTTTTATCATCAACCAATTTGAGTATTTATTGTTCAGATCTAAGATGTTATTTCACTGAGATAATACTCTACATATATTCTTCTTAGATAAAAGTTAAGAAAAAACCAATAGAAATTATTTTGCACTCCTCATTACCTATTGATTCCTTCCTTGTAGTATAAAGATCTATTTAAACCTCTTTATTTGAGTCATTTCCTTTAATCATCTTTTAACGTTGGGGTTAAATAAATAAATCTAGTACATTAGTTAATAAGTGTTGGTTTCTTAAGTAGAGATATACTTCAATTTTAAGGCCGGTGATACTGATCTATTGTCAAGTGATATAATAGGTGGTATATTTATCTATGTAGTATATTGTGAAATTTCTTGACCTTAAGTGGCTGATTGCGATTCCAAATAATATCATAATTGAATGTCGACTGTTAGATCCAAGTGAAGTATAATTTAGACCCCATTTTACAACATAATCAGAAATTCACTAAATGAACATTTTACAGCTGAGATATTTGAGTTCCCTCTACGTTAACTAAAAGATACTTTGTAGAAACATCGATTTCTTAGTCTTTTGTGCCCATTGTAAATCTCGGTTTGACTGATTCGAGTGTCTATGTACTCGCTCGCATGGCTAACAAAAGAGATCAGTTAAATTAGTCAATCCTAACTGTAAGGAGGTATGCATGAATACAACTGCTAACTGAGGATAAGCAACGATAAAATAGGCAAGCGCACGAATATGATATGAACATACTAACTTAATTACTTTCGTTTTATTCAAAAGATGTAAACATTACTTGTGTATTTTATTGGAAATAATATTGAAATTCACTTGGGAGGTTCAATTTGCAAATTATTTACAGATTACATGGTCCACATTAACATTCTTTACAGCTGAGTAGATTTTTAACGGCCCAACTATGATGTCAACAGGGATTCTATTGGAAACCCACCCCCGCCAAGATCACAAAGTGTAATCTCTGAAACAAATGTTTCACAAACTAACGAAAAATACTGCCGAACAACATCAGTAGTTACAAACAACAGACTGATCTGTAGAGTTCACTAACCAGACCCAACCGATGTAAACATCGGATGTACATTTCCCTTGCAGACTCTCAAGGCCATCAGAAGTGTACCCAAACAAATTCAGTCCACTGAGTAGCGTTTTTCAGACCATCTGAATGTAGCTAAGTGACTCTGATGTGATAGTATTCCTTAAAAGGGATTATCGATTTACAAATCTTGCTGTTCATTTTGATATTCTTCACACCTATGGCCACATACGAGTAAATTGTTGTCCAGTGTCTAGATCACTCTAATCTGACTAAAGAAATTCACAAATCAGCCAGACCGGTTTCTAATTAGTCATGTTGTTCAGCTGCTTATTGCGTAAACTGTACTTTCCCTAGTCATTGCCTCCAATCAATAATCTTATGTACTTTCAGTTATTCTGCTTTGGAATTTTTATCATGAATCATTCATTCTTCTGTTTTGATTCACTTATATTTTGACGTGGAGAGGTGTAAATCACTGGAGAGAATCAAGAATTGCTTTTCCATTCCAATCACAAAATTTTAATTGTAAAACTCGCCTTTGTTAGCTAAACGTGTTACGTATTAAATTCGACAGTAAATATGCGAAACAAATGAGAAAACAATAGAAGAATAAATATGAATTAGTGAGGTACTACAAGTGTATGAATCGCTCGTTAACCAAAACACATATCCCGCTCACAAGTCCCTAAACTCCGATTTGCCACTTTCTACTCAACTTATTAATTGTGATAACAACTACTCTTGAAGTGAATTTTTAAAAAAATAATGCAAATTTACTGTTTGATGAACAACCTAACGAATGCAAAATAATCTTGACTTTCTAGTGAGTTTTATTACTACTTGTTTCCTGTTATTGTTTATTGTGTTTTGTTTCTACCAGGCACTTGGATGTTCTGATGGAAAACACTTTATGATTCTATTAAAAAGTCATTGTCAGTATAGTGGATTATACAATTATTCACCTATTATTGAGAAAGCTATTCGTATCAGTGGAACAGGACCGAGTAAAATTGAAAATAATATGGTAGATAAATACTACAAGTTAGTCTATTAAATTTTCCGAAAGTATACTACTTAAAATTAATGTTAGTTGTTCGGTTTAGATCTTGGAAGTACCTTGGTATCATACATTACAGATTACGTTGTTGAACTGACAAGCTGATACTGTCTGTTTTCATACTACATGCATTGACAACTAAAACTCAAGCCTATATAACCAATTAAATTATCTGTTTATAACTACTTTACAATTTTTTTTTCAAACTGCCTAGTTTTGGTTCCAATGTAGGAATCCCGATGTAAACCAAACAACCGAAATCAAAAATTGTGACCTCAGACACTAAATTGTCATGAATCAAAGGAATATACTCATTTACATCACCACTAGTAGAAAAATAACGATACAGATTCTGCTAAGTTGTATGATGTCTACCTATTCAACACAAGTGCACTTCATTAAATCATGACACTTTAATTTCAGACGTCATAATTTATGATTTTGGCCGGTTTGTTTATAACGGGATCTATGCACTGAAGCCAAAGCTGGATAGCTTTAAAAAAATACTCAGTTAGAGAATTGTTGGCATGGACCATAAAATTTTTAAACAGTTTGCAAACTCATCTATCTTATGATATTTTAACTTATCATTGATAAGTAGTTAGAATCGGTTGGGTTGAGCAACTCGATTGTATGAGCTAAACTAGTTGGCATGCACCACAGAAGATCTCAACTTCAAACATGAAAAACGGCTATTCACCGCTCAGACCAACTTACATGAGACAGTGATACATGCAAATCCGTGAGAATGCCTCATAACTACTCACGTTGTACTGTATCATATTTCAAACGAATTACTCTGAACATTCCCACTCATTTTAATTTACGTTTTGTGTCAGGTTTGCTCATGATTGTAAAGGTAGCTTTTGAGTCACTACTTGTTTACTATTATGAATGTCAAATACGGATACTGAACAATAATATCTAGATAGTTCACTTAAGTACACTCTGATCCTAATAAAGTAAAGTACATAAGTGACAATATCTCTAAATAGATGTTTATCACCAAGAAATGGACTTCATTTCCCCCAGTTAAGTTAAAATACATTGGACAGTTCAATCAATCGTATCAGTCAGAAAGTAAACATATCGATTCGACTTCAGTTTTTAGCGCCGAAAGCAGTAATCATCATAACTGAATATTGATGTAAGAAGCAAATTTTCTGTAGGAATCCCAGTGCCTACTGACAATATTTTTGTAACTTTCTGGATGTAAAACTGAGCTAGGACAGAAATTCTGATTGCGACTCAATTAATTACTGAAATAATTTAATCAACAGATAAGACCTATGATGATCTAAACCTTCCTATTGAATAACTATTCTATTCAGACGGTTGTAGAGTTCATGACAGATTCTGTAAAGCAACTAACCAATCACCTTATCATCAAAGGAAAGCGATATCAATAAGAAGTATTTTAAAATTTTGTGGATTTATTGTATATGGATAGAAATTAGAGGATTTCAAGAAGATTCTGTAGAAGGGTAGGACTTAGGATTAAATTCAAGCTTACGGAATGAAAAAAGATGTAGTTTATCAATGAAAAGACTTTCCTACCATTGGAAAGTAATGATGATACATCTGTTAAATATATTTACTAAGTTTGTTCAGTTATCTGTGAGTAAAGGCACGACAAAACTGTTTTGAATTGTCCTGTTTGCGTAGGATAATTTGCTATGAAATTAGAAACTTCGATCGTACATGGATATTAGATATGGTACCTAGTAGTATCATATGTATACCCGTAATGCAAATCTCAATGATATTATCCAATCTACATGTTTATTCTAAGTGACGTTTTTGAACATAACTGGATTCTTCGTAAATCTCACCATACAACCACACAAATAAGCTGAAAAGACTTTGATAAACGCTATTTAAGATAAAATGGCAGCCCGCTTCACCCTGAAGCACGTGAATTAGAGAAAGTGGTTAGACGACATAAAGTATCTCCGCTCATATCAGAACATGTGAACAGCTACGCTCATGTAAAAGACTACGAAACTTTGGAAGTTTCAAACGAAGTATGCCAGTGGATATGCAGAACCATTTCAACTAGCAGCTTTTAAGAATACTGATTCAATCTATCAACCAATAGAACAGGCTGAAGAACAATTAGCAACGACGGTATCATATGAAAACAATTATACTAAAACTATACACGTTGCACAAGAAGTGTACATCGTGGTTCGGTGGTGTAGTGGATAACGCCCTGGCGTTTGAAGCGATCGTCCCCGAGTCCGAATCCCGGTGGGAACAACACACTGAGAAGCAGATACATCCAGCTTACGAGTCCCAAATCGGACGAAATGCGCATCCTGGATTCCACTGCTAGCCACGATCCATCATTAATACAATTAGTAAAACAGCCAGTAGGAATACGTGTCCAAGTACAAACAACCAAATATGTCTTACATCAAATGAATAAACTAAAAATCCTCTTGCAAAGGAATTTTAATTACCGTTTCTGAGTATGAGCTGATAGCAGTGGCTTGAAATCTAAGCCACCTAACTCATAGAGAACAGCACGAAGTGCTGAATACTCAATGAATCAGAACTGGGAACTACTAGAAAAGTTAACTTTCGTTTTATTTATTGTATATTGTAGCCAAATCAGTAAGAAATTCGAAAACTTCTTTGTTTGTTTACCATTTAAGGTATGATAGTGGGTTGAAAAGATTCGTAGAAATCAATTCTACCTCACATTTGTCTACTGTCGTTGATGCAGTACTATTACATGGACGGACACGTAATTGTACAAAATCATATGCCGCGCACACTGCAAGTTCATCGAAATGTCCTTTACATGGAAAGTAACTGTATGTTGAAGTTTGCAATAATTCTGTAGCACATCTATATATCTTTTGGTGCATAGATGAATCAAAGTGGTATCTGTTAAAAAATTACAAATAAAGAAAAAAATAATCGATGTAAAATATCCCCTTTCAAGATTTTTATCTTGTAACTAATTTGATAAAACCGGAATTTTTCCACATTTTACTGCTGATTGAATCACAACTAAAACATTTTCTTATAAACTTAGTTTTCTTTATCAATATATTATTGAGTGTCTGGTTTTAGATAATGGTTGTTGCATTTCAGTTGATAACTACAATGGTCATAAAATAAAACAAAACAGCCCAACCGATAAACAGTTCTAAAGCAAACTGTTTTATACAAGTATCTTTTATTCACGCGAAATTTCAATTTCTGATTTGAGTTTAGAGTAGCCAGATTTGTTTCCTTGGAGCTGATGCTTCGACAAAATTCAGCATTATAATTCAGAAGTAGCTGGGTGAACTCTTACTATTCATGGGGGAATTATGACTTCTGAAGCTACTAGCTAGGCATGTTTTTCTGAGATAAATTCGGTTATTCCTCAGTGATATAAACAGGAGCTGAAAGTATAATTCAATATGACCTGTGCCAATGAAGAACCTCAGACGAATGTTTTCTAAAAATAGCTGTTTTGTAGAAAAACGGAAAGTAAATCAAAAACAATACTCCGTTGTGTCAGTACCGATGGTGGTTTATAAGAGATATGATTTATTATAATCCAACATTTACATAGTTCAAGATATCAAAAGCAACTTGTTGCAGTTCCCTCCAATCACAGATTCATAGAGAGCATATGTTCCTATTATAGACCACATCTGCTGAACAGTAAAATACGTGTTAGCTCCAAGAAATAACACTTTTACAAGTTGTTAAAAAGATCTCATTTTTGTCTACAAAACAGGTCTAGATAAACTCGACTGGTTAGGTTAGGGAAAACCACACCGTTTTTATTCCTATAATTCTCACTTTATCTGAGTAGCTTTTTAGTTTACAATTTTGCTTTCGACATTATGCGATGGCCGGGAGCGTCATATAAGAACATGCTTGTCTTATCTCCTGCAAAAGAGAACCAGTTGGTGTATTCCATGACCATATCGCAACAACACAGTTCCGGAGTATAAAAACATCCACCACTCTGCTAATTACTCAATAAAGCGTGATACGGGATCATATGGTGCCTTTTGCACTATGCTAAGGGCTTTTCGGTTTGAATAAGCGACTAGTTAACTTAAAAAGTATTAATCTAAGGATAGATTTTTTTCTCACACTGAATATGACGATTGGGTATGGACGGTTGATAACCGATGTTTTACCATCAGGTTTGATGACTTCATTAGTAGTAACATAAAGTCAGAATATGGAATATTCACGATCAGATACCAGGGTCAAAAAAACACCAAAATATGTTAATTGTCCGATTACAATGAACAGCTTCTGATTATGTATCAAAATGGATATAAATATGGATATGAAATGGGAATTCCATAGATTGATATTCTAGGTGGTATTGCGCCATATTTATCTTTTAATGAATAGGTTATTGTTTATGTAGAATACGAATTTGGTACAACAAGCACTAAGAGGTGTGGCATACAAAATAATAAAGTAACATTAGGAAGACGGAAAATGAGAGAAGGCATAGAAATAAAAATCAATTATTAGACAGAGCTTTTCAAAGGTATGTCGTGATAGGCTTTCACTACTTTTGCTTCACTTGTCAGCAACAAAACAAGCACTACTGGCTTTCATTTGAAGCAATGTTTGCTATCCCCGCAAGACACGGAGTTGTATGGTCACTCAGATCCTATCCACGGAGTTTTGAAGCACCTACCCATGCTGACCCAAAACCACTACCCTTCACATCATATACTGGTGACCTCTCCGCTTCTTCCAACCAGTCCCAGGAAGGGGTCTGGGATGACATCCATTACATAATTTTCAGCCACCGAAGCTGGTGGTTCAGAATGACCTCAATAAATGACGGTCTCCATCACGACACTTCACTTCGGATTTGCGTACACGGTATTTCCAATGAGTGCTAGCAATCCTATGGATGCAGTGATGATTGAACATGAAGGTTCGTCAGAAATACTCAGATCGGAGAGTCAAAGTTTAGCAGACGCAGTGCAGAGATGACCGCACCGATGTGTTGTACACCCCACTTTTCACAACAAGGTTAACGTCATTATAGCACCAAAAAGACTTAGATTGGAGTATACTGTTGTGACGTTCGATATATGATTGAAAACCTTATCCGTTACACCTCCACCAGTGCTCATAAAACCACCCAAGTACATAAACTATTTGACAACTTCCAACTAGTAACCATCAAGGTGTTCCTGATGATCTCGTAGAAGCACATCTTAATTCCATGATACAAATCACTTACCATATATACAGTGATCAACAACTGATTAAATAGCTTTATGAGTTGCTTCACAGTAAAAGATATCCTCCGCAAACCCAAGGTTTAAATGTCTTTCACCTGGTAACAGGTTCACATCATCATCACCAAGCACTTCGTTTGGAGCTCTCCCGAGAATCCTATCGGTAGCAAAGATAAAGAGGAATGGCAAAATCGGACAGTCCAGCCTAACCCAGAGAATCGATTTAGAAAAACAGCGAAAGAAACTATCCACCTTGACTCCACCTGGTGTTGAAATATAGGACTTTCAAGATGGCTAAGAACTTTTCAGGGATGCTTCTCTCTAAGAGACAGTTCCACAGTACACCCCTGTTCAACGAACCACAAGCAGCACTAATATCGGAAAATATAATTACCGTTTTAATACAGTAAAACACCAGCTAATTGTTTGTTCTCCGAGTATTGAATTTTGTTCTCGGAAGTTTCATCGCCAGATTAGGAGACTTCATCAGCAATTCACATATAAGTGAAGTAATTCCAAGTTGTATGAATGCTTATAAAGGACATATCCCTACCTTGAACGTAAAAGGTGCATTTAACTTATAGATTATAAATTTATGGACCACTGAACGAACTTATCTTTTCAATCATAACCTAATAATACTCAAGTATCCCCTATTCTACGCCAACCCAACTGAATTTATGATGTTTCACATATTTTATATTTCATAACAGTAAGAATTCTTCTAACTTAACGACATTAATGGTGAAATTTCGAGACTACGTTTCACCATCCTTACAAAAATGCCACAAGGCGCATTTTTACCCACTGATCTCTTTGAAAAGAGTTCATAAAGGAATATGATGATGTAAAAACAACTCAGCGTTCACTTGTCTTCACAAAAACTGCAATCAGAAATGTATTTCGTAGAAGAGAATAACAACACTTGCAAATACAATCGGTAACATAGATACAATTTCATTTGCAAGGGAACATCCACCATTTCCCTAAGAAAAACAAATGGATAAAAAGCGATAATCCATTGAAATGAAATCGTAAAGCTAGGAAATGCCAACAGTCTTTTCGTATGATATTTGCACGAAACAATGTCAACAATAAAAATCATGGGATGAAAGGGATAACTACAGAAGCTAAACAAGATAAAGTTCCATAAGTACACTGAAGTAAAGATATGCAGATGTCGAAAGTCGAACGAAATGATTCAGTTGATGCATCAGAAACCAATATGAAAGATGTCTAGCATTGTATTCATTGTAGCACTATTCCTACCTGTAAACAAATTTAAATGCAAAAAGAATAGATATGATAACAATTGGAATGAAGAACTTAATGGACAAAAAGGATATTTTGAATACACAGGTCAATGCTACAAAGAGAAATAATTTATACTGAGAAGTAGCTAAAACTATACGGAACCCTTGTTTATAATGTCATACTTTGTTGACACCGTAAAAATGCACATATTGATTATTTCATCGCTAAAAAGTTAATACAAATCAATGCTGTGAAGGTTTATTCAAAAAGTAATGAGGCAAATGCACTGAGTGGAGGGAGGGCTTACGACATAACCCAGTTGTCAAAGCCAACACAAGATGAGAGAGAGACTTTAACACATTTCATACACCACAGTATGGATATGAAACTGCACACATGGATTTTGCCAACTTCGACCACACACGTTACCAATATGATATTTAAACAACTGTATCCTGCCCTACTACTGCTCATGTGTAATGAAATCACCTTGTGAGCAATGTCGAGGTTAGATGGAGGGTAGTGGAAAACGAACGGCATGTCGGTTGCGAACCTTCAACGACTGAGGTGGCTTGAAAATCTATCTACCATGCCAAGTCACCGCTTACCTTAACATGCAATGCTAGGAAAAGTTGGATTACGTTGGAAGGGGATTTAGAATGGTCAGACCAGGACGTGGCATCAGTCCATGAAATATCTGACTGCTGGTTTGGGGTGTAGGGGGGGGCATAGACTTCATAACTAAGGTTCCCGATACCATAGGAATCAGTGGTTCCAGACTCTAGGAATGGTTGAAAATCGGTGCTGATGTAATCACCCTTTGTTATCTCCTAAAGTTTGAGTATTTTCCATAACCTCCATTTTCAAATCCTTTCTCTTTCGATACACATTTGTCTACCCAAATATTGAACTTTTTCTATCTACTTGTTCTTTGTATGCTGCTATGAAGTGTAACATCTCGAACTGATTCACTTCTACGTGAGGTTCTACGTTAGTTTTGACTGTCCGTTCTACCATACTACTACAGAAAAGAGACATCTACGCCACAGTACTTGAGGAGTGTCAACTTCAAAGTGATGAGATCTCTAAGTTTTATCAATAATACAATAGGCAAGTTAATTGGTGAAACTGTCGAACTTTATAGGTAAGGCAACCAAGGCATGTTTAACACATGGCTAGGCAGCACTTCCCTTAAAAGTGTTATGTAAGCAAAAGTAAACGTGAAATCTGTACTTTGTAGGACCGAAATATGATGCCCACACTACTGATGATCAGAGTTAAAATATTTCTCAGTCAACTTTCTCTAAGTTTTAACAAACCTTGAAATCTGTGTTTCATTATATCTTCGTATGTTTAAAATGCTCTTTTATCTTAGCCCTTCACAATAGTTGCAATTATTATTTTGATTTATCTGAATTTATTCTCTTCAATGGTAAAGTAAAGCCTGGTAGCCTGCACCAACACAACTATACTACATTCTAGACCCTTCTATGGCTGATACCCTCGGTTGTCATAGAATATTATCCATCTCCTAATGAACCAAATTACACGAAGTTAATGAAGAATGAACAAATCCTGAAATAAGAATTCACTAAGCTACCGAAAAGTAACCAATACACCAAAAATACTTGAAGGCATCAACTCGTAGCTTAGTTCGTGTGAAATTTAAGAACGTTTTACTAAAAGTATTCAATTTTATATTCATTACATATTACCACTACTGGATAAAACATGAAAATATTCACCCAGCAAAAAGTTAACGCGTAAATTCACACAGATATAGATACGATATGTACTACTATAATAAACAAAAAAAGGAAACTATTAAGGGATTAAGATTCATCCGAAGAGTATTTTATCGTGCATGAGATTAGATGAGTTGTGTGTGATATTTACAGACACCTTGTCAAAACTTAAGTGACAAATATAAACATAACAAAATGTAACAAACATCAATTTTTTTAAACGCTTGTGTTAGAAAATAATGTCTGAATAAACCGATTAAAACAAGCAAAGATTTCTTAAAAATCAGTGAAAGGGAAGTTCAAAAGAGAAATAGTAGATCACCAAAAATGTCTCAGGTGTTTCCCAATAATACTTAAAATAACTATTTACTCCTCAAAGTAACCTTAAAAGTAAAATCCAAACATAATGTTATACAGTAAAACATGACAATCTACAACGTAGTAAATGAAGCGTATTTCATGGAAGAGCGATGACAAGCAACTCAACATCAATGTTACTACCCAATTATAAATATTAACAGCGTCTATACGACACACTACGAAATTACGATGGACTGCTTCATGTGAGGGTTCAAACTGGAGGAAAAGTGAAGTCTTTGTAAAGGTGCCTACTTGAGCACCATCAGGAAACACCGAGTATATATATATATATATATATATATATATATATATATATATATATATATATATACTATAAGAGAGTGATTCCGAAGCTATGCTTATTTACTGAGGCAGTTAACTTTCAGTGGGTCACGGATTCGAACACCACTCCACCTACTGAGGTGTAGAAAACCAGGTAATACAACTAACCCTCACACAATAGGTGTAGCTTATTGCTTACTGCACGAACGTGCAAATGGTAAATGAATGCAATTCAAATTTTTGCCGATAATGTTGTAGACAATCCAGCCAGTATTCTCAGCATAGTTGTTACGGCGAGAGATCCCACTACACAAAAGATGATTATTTAATTTTCAAATTTAGTATTCATACAATGTTTTACACTGCATGATGATTGGCACGCTGTAAAGCAGATTAGTTAGAAACAAATGTATTGATGACTAACCATACATAAGACTTATTTTGCGTTGAAGATATCACATCAATAATGAACATTACAAAATGTTCCAAATCAGAAAACGTGGAATTAAATGTTAAAAGGTTTATAAAACAAAGCAAACTGACAAACCTCTGAAGGTTCAGCGAATGGACAACGCCAGTTATATAAATAATAGTGTAAATCACCGTCGCCAATACCAAATTTTAACTCTTCAAGGAACTTTTTATTTTCCATCAGATCCAAAGCATTGAATACATCGAATTTCAGCTACATAATTCAAAAGTGAGAATAAATATATTGCAGCACGGAACGTCATGATGTTATGAAAAGTTAGAGACAATTTCAAGTCGATTGGTTGTGCAATCATAAAAATTTCAGTTAAACGATGATCATGAAACACCGGAGTTAACTGTCTCCAGTGCATTTTTAAAAACCAATGAATGCTAACAAATGCCGCTAGAAGGGATGTTATGAAATGTGAATTCCCATTACAAATCACAGAACATATCGAAATTTCTCTTCAGCCAATGTGTTTACTAAGTTACAATATTTATGCATAAAAACTTTAAATAGGTAATAAATGGAGGAAAAGCAAGTCACAAAAAAGTGATTTTCATGATGCAAAACAAACAGGATTTAAGTAATACAAAATTTGGCAGAAATATTGCAGATCAGTGATAGGGTACAAAATCTTTTATTGCATTATGTTCGACATCTCTTCTGGCTCCACAGGTAAAAGTGAATAGAATGGGGTTTGAGCACTTAACAGAGTGGCTGGTGTCCAAAAGCTTAAACAATTGAAAAACAACTCTGACAATGTTCAATTTTCTGAAATGCAGCTGCATTTTCTTCAGGGATGGTAATGAATGATTTTTCGGTAAATGATCACCCACAAGAAAGGGGAAAAACAAATTAACTCTCTTGTACACAGCATGAGCTCGCTACAAATGATTCTAAACACCTCATTGCAAACCTGAAATCCGATATTATGAATGAAACTTCCAGTATATTTTGCATTATATGGTAATGAACCACCTAATGGTAGAGTACGATTGATCTGCCGATGATCGTTCTACATGAAAAATATTCACTGTCAGTTGTTTGGTGTACTCCAAGAAATTATACTTGTTTTCAAATGTCTTATCATCTAGCTAGGTGACTTCATCAGTACTTAATTCATAAAAGAGACATGTCTAGGAGTAAACATAAAAGCGCACAAAACACCAAGCAATTGTCCTCCAATAAATGATGAAGCAACTTAGTGAGCACGAATGAACTCATATGAGTCACATCTAATGCCTGAAGACGAAACGTGTCTTGGGTTCCAGTGCTAACCGATACCAAGAAGATTATGATGTACGAGAGTTGACAGTACTACGTAGTTATCCAAACCTCCCTAGGTGGAGAGGGATTTATATTTGTGAACAGTTAAAAGTCAAACTCCTGCGGAAAACAATAAACAAAAATTGATGAGGAAATCTAGAAATTTTATAAACCTGACCAAGAAATGAAACTGGGTTAGGAAATTCACATTTCAAGTTCACATCCAACTTCAGAACGAATAATCAACAAAATCAAACTTTGCTATTACAATCATTTTCCTAACACATAAAACAACATCCCTTTTAAATGGTTTTAGTTGGTTACATGAGAAAAGTAGCCAGAAGAAGCAGAATTCAAGAGGCACATACACACAGTACACATAAAACGTAGATTGACAGGGACTTCATTTATTTCAACTGATTATTTAATAGTCGGGAAATAGAACACCTTCCAAACACACACACACACACACTGGACCGTAAACAGTGGTCCTTCTTGAGAATGAACACACTTTTATTTTCATTTGTCTCGAAGAAAATGGATACTGCCTATTGTGGGCCGTAATCCTGTCACAGGATCATAGTATGACATTTCATCTATAGTAGACTATCACCAATAAAAATATAATATCAACTTACTGAAATCACTGCAAACTATAATGTTTTTCTAATGTCTTTTCCTAATGGCGTGTAGTAAACATGAAAATAACTGACATATCCCTTCAATGTTATAAGTACAATCCATGAGTACTTATTTCAAACGACACTAATAACTTTCCTAACTAAATAACTCTACTGAAAAACCTATTTTCAACCGGAGTAGTTACTACTTGATAGTGGAAGGCCAAAACTGTTTACCTATCTAACAGTAAATCTCAATACTCACTTGTTTAGCTGATATTAACATGTCTTGAATTAAAGCTGGCCATGGTGTTACAGTGGAAACATTGTAAAATGAGTAGGCGGCGCGTAAGCTATTGTGCTGTTTACTTTTCATTACAGAGCTAGGGAGAACATAGAATGAGCAAAAGTCAGTGATTTGTCCGTCTTCGTTCTAAAATTAACAGATAGCAAAATCAAAAGAATGATTAGAAAGTTACATTTTTTATAGTCAATCAAAACATTCATCACTATACAAGTCGAACCACAGGAAAATAGGTAAGGGACTAGGTGCAATTTATGTGGAACGACTCTTAATTTATCTTGAAAGCGTTACAAAATTCCCTATTTCTAAACTGATAACGGCTTTATGAATCATTTACCGCACTGGAATAATTTCCCATGCACACTTGAAGAGAATACAAACTGAAATACATTATTCTAGTAGAACTAAAAAACTGAAACGTAGGTCTAAGAAGTTGCTCTGAATGATATGAATAATATTAGGTTGAAATAAACAATCCTTTCATGAAGCGCTTAGGGTATTATATTCTGATTCAACTTCTGCAGAAGCATATAAGACATAAATTGCCACTCGGATGATTTTCCATCAACTCTTCAATATGTTCAAATTAGCATAAAGTAATTCAGCGAAGAAAATTTTCTTTGTGATGAATCACTTTCGATGGTTGCACACTTCCATCTATAGTAACAGGAAATAAGTAAGTCTGGTGTTGACTAACAGGTCAACATTGGATGATCAAAAAAGAAAATTCTAAGAGGGAATCGTAAATCGTTTCTATAGCTAGAAAGAGACTATGTGACTGTGGGGTATTTAGTAGAAAATATGCAGTCGATCACGGTGACGACTGCTAGGTTAAGAAAATGATAAATAATCAGAGATTTTAATCAGAAATTGGAACCAAAGTATAAATATGTAGGAAGGTAAATCATGAAGTAACAAATAATAATAATAAGTAAGATGAAGCAATGAAGAAAATTAAGTAAAGATTTCGACCACGGCAAAGTAGAAGACTAGGTATACCTACTCTGTATGCAGATTTCGGGCTTTAATTAGTGCACTACTGATGCCTCTACTAAATATGAGTGACAAACGTACACTCCTCTTGAACTGTTCAGTTTGATTTTGCATCGGAGAGTGAAACACGACTGTAGGGAAGCGACACGACAAAATAGACCAAATAATCCAGGTTGGAGCTGTTGCTTGACCTGCATTCCCCTCCGGAAAGCCAAGCAAAAGTACTTTGAGATGTCTGGAAATATTGTGTCTAGTGGGGCGTAAATCACCACCCTTCACAAATCCATGTAAACTTATAGAAATGCATGGATGAAGGCCAAAATGTCAGTGTCCTCTACCCTTCTAGTCGCTTTTAGAAGGCCATTAGCAGTTTAAGAGCATAGAATGTTCTCCTGATTGCCTTAGAATGGTGATTATCCAGTAGTTCTTTTTTGAATTCAATAAGCATAATATCTTCTTGGAAACAATAAGTTCTTCCTATTGTTGCTGCCTTGGCTTCATATTTTTTGTAATCAACCTTGGGCGGTGGCTGTTCCCATGAAGTCCTTTTTAAAGTTTTTCCGTCTCTTCGTCTACTGTAAAGCTTGTGCAAAGTCTTCTGATTCTCATTCAAAGTGAACGAATCAAGTTATTTCCGGCTGCATGGTACCTAACTATGGGAATAAGTTCACTGTTCACTCTAAATTCGTTTTCTGTAGATTGACTAATTTAGAGAGCCACCGAGTCTCCTCTTCAACGAAATACCAAGAAAATGAATTACTGAGTTGTTATCAAAATTAATTGTAAAGTTTATTGAGGAATAGCAATCATTAAATCTTAATAGCATGGCATCAGTATCATTTTTTTCATCGCACACGATGAAAGTGTCATTCATTTAACTTTATACAAATATAACTGATCGAAAACTGGATGTAGTAAGGTATTTTCCAAATAAACTATGAACCAATCTGCTAGAAGAGGACCAAATGGTGCCTACAGGGCTAATTAACTGTTCTGTAGATGGAATTCATTATTATATATAAACTGTACATTAAAAGTGCATCGTAGTAGTTTTTATAGATAATGAATCGGAACACCGACTGTTAGAGTGATAGTTTCTATATACTTACACGGGAAAGAAGTTGTTTCTATAAATAAAACCTAATAGTCATCACTGTGATCGACTCTATATTTTTCTTGTAGACCCAACGATTATGCAATCTCTTTCAAACTCTAGAAATAGTGCACCCTCTCCTCCTAGAACATTTCCATCTTGGTGAATTAACGTTGACCTATTGGTTAATAACACATACACTTGTTTGTTACTATAAATGCGATTGTACAGCCTTTGAAAATGGTTCGTTCAAAAGAAAATTTCTTTCGCCGAATTACTTCGTGATCATTTGAATGCTTTAATGGGTTTTTTTCACTGTCTGTGGTACACGTGAGAACACATAACACCCCCAGAGGCGCTCCTTTATCTAAAAATATAAGTATGTTCTTTAGGGTGGATGAGTACGCTAGTGAATATGGCTTCGTTTTATTGAACTAAAAAGAAAATGCAAACATAAAACTGCTCGTAAGGACAAAACACTAGAAATTGCATGAAAGGAAGTAAAAGATAATGAAAGAAAGGATAATGAAAGATTATACCCTTAGTCAAAATTAGACTATACTATACCTCTGACATAGGTGTTGCATCATTCTTATCACATGTGTTGGGTGTTGATTCGATGAAGAAAGCTTCAGCAATCAATCTCTATCACCACCTAATTATATTTGACTTCAGTACAGTGGTTTTGTCCCACCCTACTGTGTGGTTGTGTGTGTTAATACATGCATTGGAATAGCCGAGTCTTTTTCTGGGTTATTGATCCTGATGGGGTCTGTCATTCTATATTTGGATAAGTTCTAGTGTTCTGATAACCTAGCTGGACCCGATCGGCTAGCCTGATCTATGTACTTGGCCTCACAGCTAATGCACGGAATTCAGTGGTCATTAAACTACCATCTACAGCAAACCGACACGTTGTATCAGATATCTAGAATTCACGTCAATCTCATCCAATATCAGTTAAGGAGGGTTTAATCAAATATCTAAATGGCAGAGCTAAAAAATTCACTAGTCAGTGTAAGGACTTAAACAAGGGATCGGAACACATAAAAAAAGCGTTAATAATTAATAATTATCCTTTACAGTTTACTAAAGAATTCATACGAACACATAAGAAACAAAATGATGACAGTAATACAAATACGAAAAATAGCGACAATACGAGTAGAAATAAGTTCAAAGCCCCTAGGAAGAAAGGAATATCAGAAACTTTATGTAGGATTTTCAACAAGTCTGGAAGCAGGATGGCCTTTAAACCTACAAACTCAGAGATAAGCCTTGTTAGCTGTAGAGTTCGATGGATTCGAATGGGCGAAATAATCTAACCTAGTGAATTCCGTGCATTAGCTGTGAGGCCAAGTACATAGATCAGGCTAGTTGATCAGGTTAAGTTAGGTTATCAGAACACTAGAACTTATCCAAATATAGAATGACAGACCCCATCAGGGTCAATAATCCAGGAAAAGACTCGCTATTCCAATGCATGTATTAACACACACAACCACACAGTAGGGTGGGACAAAACCACTGTACTGAAATCCAATATAATTAGGTGGTGATAGAGATTGATTGCTGAAGCTTTCTTCATCGAATCAACACCCAACACATGTGATAGGAATGATGCAACACCTATATCAGAGGTATGGAAAACTTTACTACCAATAAAAACAGAAAATATGAGGTAATTGGACTATAAAATCAGATATCGAAAGTGGTGTGATTCCTTTGATGATATGATTATGAGCAATAAATCATGCTCGAGACGTCATCAAGTAAATAATACTGTATCACTATGGGTTATACACCACATAAACAAATTTAATATGGAACCACATCCTACCACAGTGCCCAAGTTTTACACTTATATTTTACATACTTCACCTGATACGCCATGGAGATTTTCCATAGAAATCTAAAACTACCATAGCAATATCGAACATAGTAAAACTAAATAATGGTTGAACGTGGCAACTGAATAGTTGTTTACTTGTTGAAGTATGCAAAAATTCACTATTTTTAACAAAATCATTTTATCTTGCTCGAATCGCTGCTCTGACTATTCGAGCTTTAGAAAACTGACCTCCCATAAGATTCCGTGTTATTAAGTACCTGAAACACTCAGATAAATAAAACGTAAATACAGTAATTTTCATAGAAATCTAGTTAGAATCATGTTTAATTTATTTACTGAGCCAACAAGTAACTCAATTAATTTGCAGATAATAGTCAACTGAGATACGAATGGCAGTTGTTCTCTTTGACATAGAAATAACTGATCCGTTAGGATTCCCCGTTCCCAAGATTAGATTCCTTACACTGCATCATGTACATCGAGAAGTGTATACAACGAATCGAATGTCACATTTGGTAAATTGATGTTTGCCCTGAAAAATACTGAATACATTTATGATATGTAATGTTGAGATTTAGACAACAAATGTAATAAAATTAAAGGAAATAATCATCAACAAAAGTACTAATTTGTGTGACAACCAGTCAGTTTCATTCGGGTACCAATTTTGCTAGAAACAAGAAAGCCATAAATGCGATTTCGCAATATAAATAACAAATACTTTCATTTAAATAAACTGAATGAAAATGAAAACAATAGTAACATGAACAGAAGTAAAACAAAAAGTACTGTAACACAGTTATATGTGTTAGTTACCCACCTCTACTACAAAAGAGTAAACGACATCATCTCGAGACACAAAGAAATGCTGAAATTCTTCTTTTGTAAAAATTGGATGGATACTAAACTTTTTCAAGTACTAAAAGGTAAACAGACAATAAAAACTCGAGTGAATACTGGCAAACTGAAAGATTTCAATAACACTTTAAAATGTTTAAGTTAGAAAATGCAATGGCAAGCTGGTCGAAGAGCGCTAAACTAGTCAAATTTATCTAATGATGTGGATCAGTATAAAATGAAACTGCACACTATGTAATGTTTATTACTGTTCGATTGCTAAAACACATATAAGCTGAAAATACCAAAAGTTATGATGCTAATTATTAATTTACCATTCTAATGTGGACCAAAATAAATAAACATTATGCATTGAATGCTACTAGTAAAGAATACACAATCTATAAAGAAACCGAAGGGGGAAATATATAAAACTACGATAAAAAATGTTTATCCAAAACAACATTACAAGGACAAAATTAATGCTGATCACACGATGCTAAACTGTTCACTTTGCAATGTGCAAATAAATACTTTCATACTTTATATTTAACCAAGTGAAACTAAAGCTTAAGTTTCATAGCCTAGCTAGTAGAGTGCTAAGTGCATAATTCATATAGTGCTGGTTCGGGGCCTGGAACAACTTACGCCTTCTTTTTACTGCACTTACCACTCTCTTGAATAGATATGCGGTAATATGAATGAAAAAATAACCTAAGCTGATTTTTAAGCATTTTGATTACAAAAATATCCAAGTTAGTTACGTTTATTTATGGATAGCAACCGAATCCAAGGTGTGTATTTAGTACTACTGGGGACCAAATAGTTGGAAGAATCTTTGTCCATGTGAATTTCAGTATTCCCAATGACATTTGAACTCAGTATATCTACTATTTTAAACTCCCTAAAATTGAAAATGATGAGTGTTTATTTCCGTTATCACACTAAGGGAACCAATACTTACTTAATTCACTTTGGATGTTTGTGGAGATTGATTGATTTCAAGTTGGTATTCATCATAAACTGATATCAAATGGAGAACCACTGAAAACCGAGAAGCACTGGACAGCTGTTTTGTCCTAGTATGAGACTCCTTATTCAATTGCAGTCGTATTACCTTAATCAGCTCCAAAAGGAATCGAATGTATACTTTCAATTTCGCTGCTGACCACAGCCTAATGTGATCAAAGGCAATATCAAACTTTCATAAAGGGAATCATATGCCAACTCAGTTGCATTAACTTAGTCTTGTAAGTTTAACAAAGAAAATACTCAAGGTGCAATAACGCTTATGCTATTTCCGTGATGAAACATCGACTATGAATTTCTGATGCACATAACTTTTTCTGACATCGACACCGATGCATTTGAACGTGAATGAAAAGGGTATGTGATCGTAAACCATATAGAAGTCAAAATTGCGCACTGTAATGGATTGTAGTTCTTTTTGTTGGTTTATTAGATGCATCATACAGTGAAACGGTATTAACTGCTGGATGACGTTTTGGGCACAATTCATTGTCCATATTCAAATCAGGTAACTCTATAATTTTTAGATATGGTTCAAATATTTTTAATTCTATAACTATAAACAACAGGTCTCAAAGTTGTGAAGTTACATGGTATGAATATCGACAATGAACTATGTCCAAAACGTTATCTAGTAAACGACCCTGTTTCATATAGTTGGTCCCCTTGGTAAATATTTGCAAAGCAAGAATGACAAACATTGGCGGATGTATCGAATTCATTTCACATGTTCTAAATTTCTCGCATAAGCACTAAATTTTAAATTGTGTACAATAGTAAGCTATCAGTGTCAAGTATAAGTTATTTGTTACATTTCAATAGTAAAATCAACACCAAATACATCATTCACACCAATACATACATGTGGGAACAGAGATGAATGACAAAGTTTACGACCTAATCAACCAGTGCAGAGGACAAGTAACATAGGTCTCAAGGTAATCGACAGACAAAGAAATAGTAGAATGCTACGTTATGTAGAAACAGAAGTAATCTGTCGACTGAAACCAAACTTATGTGTACAAAAGGAGTTTGTAATTCACTATCCATTACCTTGATGAATTGTTCTTTTCCGACAGCTTCACTTACTGTCTTATCCTTTCATCTTATTGTCTTACATATTATTATCAAACACTATACATATTCCCATCATCTGCGATTTACTTTAAACCATTATATCTAAATCATGGTTGTCAGCACATTCTTTTCCACTCTTCTTCCATTAATCCAAACACTGCACACCATCTCTGTTGTTTTCTCCCTCTTATCAAAATTCCTACCACCTTGAGCCGTCATCATATTCTGGTACTACTATTATGTTGTATTATTTTCTTTGTGTATTAGCGCTGTACATTTCAATCTGATCACACATGTACTTGTTGAACAATTTACGTGAAAATTTATGAAAATGGTAAATTAAGTCAGTAAGAAACATGAGAACAGGAAGGGCAGAGAAAAAACGAAATCTGAATCACATCACTCGTGGTAGGAACATTAAAATCAATACTAACAGGTAGGTTTTCATATACATAAACGCGGTTCAAATTTACGTATTGCAAGAGCTTAAACCACCTTCATGTAAATAAAAACAATTTGAGATGAATGGGGATTTTTTTTAATTCGGAGGTAGTATTCATCATGGGGTGACATTAGTTGGAGAACCATTGAAAATCTGGGAGCAGTGGACAGCTGTTTCGTCCTAGTATGGGACTCCTCAGCACTACGCACTAGGACGAAGCTGCTGTCCACTGCTCCCAGATTTTCAATGGTTCCCCAGCTGATGTCAGTCCATGATGAATACTACCTCTAAAAACAATTTGCATTCATGTTGTACTCACGTAGTACTTAGTTTAATTTTCAAGCCGAGTCATGTGGTATTGTTGCTTATATTATACCGTCATTGACTGGACCGAATTGATCGTTCTTTATTGACATATGGGCTCCTGTGTGGGTGCCTCAATATTACCTGTGTTTCAATTATAGTAATGGTGGGTAGTGGTTAGCAGTGGGATCCAGGATGCGCAGATACATCCAGCTGACGAGTCCCAAATAGGACGAAATCCACATCCTGGACTCCACTGCTAGCCACTATCCATCATTACAAGAATGATGTGAGTTAGATTTTGTTTCTTCTCTGCCCTTCCTGTTCTCATGTTTCTTACTGACTTAATTTATCCTTTTCGTAAATTTTCACATAAACAGTTCGACAAGTACATGTGCGATCAGGTTGTTTGAAATGTATAGCCCTAATACATCACATGTTTCAGATAATCTTCTCATAACGTTTTTACCAAAGGAATCAACTGCTCTAAATATTTTCTTTGTGTTTACGGATAGATTTTATAGTCTGATTTTTAACGCTACTTGTTCCTTGCGCTGGTTGATTAGGTCGTAAACTTTGTCATTCATCTCTGTTCCCACATGTATGTATTGGTGTGAATGATGTATTTGGTGTTGATTTTACTATTGAAATGTAACAAATAACTTATACTTGACACTGATAGCTTACTATTGTACACAATTTAAAATTTAGTGCTTATGCGAGAAATTTAGAACATGCGAAATGAATTCGATACATCCGCCAATGTTTGTCATTCTTGCCTTGAAAAGATACTGTTTTCCTGTGTCCCATCTAATGAACAAGCTAAGATAAAAGCTTATGTTAATCAGCTCATTCTAAATCGACTAGACTTAAGACTGGTGTTACTTCTGAATGCTTGATGTTACATGAAATGACCCAATAATTGATGCTGACATGGATTACTGGTTTCACCAAATAAAGTAATCATTTTACCAAGAGAGTTTGTTTAACTATGTTCAAATATTTATGTTAAAAAGTTTGATGTAATTAGGGCGATTTTAAGACATTAAGATATCAAAAAATCAGCAAAATCAGCCACCATGTACAAGACAGTGTGCCAGATAATCAACCACATCTGTTACATGAAAACCAATCGTATTACTACTGGACTGCTTAAAATCTCGATAAGTGGAATGAGGTAAGAACTAGGGTTTTGTTGGGTGAAAGTCAAATGTCCAACCAGACGGTCTTGAATACCTGTATGGTAACTAATGTTTCCTACTATAAATCATTTACCTCATATGCTGCGTCACATTAGTATACAGATCCAAGTAACAGGATTTTTCACGGACTAAACAGTTCCAATAGAAATGCAATGCAAGTCAATGTAAGACTTAATCTAAGAAGTAATATTTAATAAATACCACTAAAACGACATAAATAAATGCGACAGAAAAAGTAAGATTTGATAAAAGTTTTAGTCATTAAAATGACACTTCAGTATCTCTATAAAACTTTAATAAGGGCTTCAGTCTCACCTGAGATAATAAAGGCCATGCTTTAGATACATCCTTTTTTGTCATCTGCCGAAAACCCTTAACAACAGGAGCTTCAGGTAACCTGTATAACTTAATAGTTCGTTGCAAAGTCATGTTGTGTGTGAGATGAGAAAATCCACACTCTAGAAGTTTACGTGGATTAAGAGGACGATGCCAGTATCTGAAAAGAGAAATGAAAAAGAAATTTTAACTAATTCATGGTAACTAAACGAGTTTAGAAAAGTATTACTAAGAAGTAAACGCTATACAAACTAATTCAAAAACCCGTAAGTTACTCAGAAAGTGCATTTCAGACTGTAGTCACCTAATTAAACAGGATATTATCAGTTTCTACGTTGGAACAAGAAATTTTCCCTGAATAACACTGAACCTGATTAGGAGAACTCTCTCCCCATTAGTATAAGCAGTTCCCAAGCACCGGTCAATTTGAGTAGAAGATTACTTTGAAGTTATCATGAAGTTTATTATTGGATAAACGACATAATACCCAACAGAAATTCGTCAGCCTAATCCCTAATTAGATTACAAAGGACAAATTGATTTATATGCAAGGCATATGTTAGTACTTCAAAAAATTACAAAAGAAACAGTAAAAAAACATCCATTCTCATGTTAAAAATGCTGTTAACACTGACCCTCAGTAACCATTTGCTTTCAGTCAAGAAAACTGATAAAAAATGCCATCTTATGTATAGATGAAACACACAGTTACTTCTGAATACCAACAAATATAATTCAAAATCCCATGGAGGGTTGCTGAAACCGAGGATAAGCTGGACAGTGGAAGCCAAGAAGCACTAACCCACAGATTCCAGTCCATTACCCGTTCACTACTAAACTCTGGTTTAATTCTACCTTCATGTGTAAATAATGCTCCATGATCTCAAAATAAGAGCAAAATAGAACCCCAGAGCTTCATTATTTTCACAAATTCCTTAACTCAAACATTTCTGTGATAGAAACTACTCTTTAACAGACCAAGTCATAAATTTAGGTTACATACCGGCATTTGCTGATTGGTTTCGGCAATAACGTGCCGCTTGTGAACAGTGCTTGGAAAAGTCCACGTAAGTGAACACGACGCGTCACTTCTCGTATCAGCACAGGAGCCATACGTTTCGAACGTAGCTTCTTATGCACACAAAGATAATTAACTTCAACAAGTTGTTTTGATCTAAGAGAGAAATTATGAAAAACAGAGTAGCTGATTAACTGTTGAAGTGCAAAAACAAAAATTTAAATGTCAAAATCGAAAGTGGATTTGAAACATCGAACTGCTGTATTTCTTAAAAGTATGAATGTAGGCTGCATATCAAATAACACTATTTTCGGCTTTAAAGCATAGAAACTAATATATCTACCGACTGATGAATCGTCGAGATACTCTAAGGACAGACTAATACAAATAATGCAAATACTTTGGAGAAAACCTGTAGGTAACTATTTATATTTATTTTGTTCTATACAATGGCAGCTAATTAGATACTCTGGAGTCTATCAAAGTCAGATGGATGCTGTCCTGACGATGCTCTGAAGTGGAAGAAACCATAAATACATTTGCCTTGTTGCAATTTATATCATATTATATTGAAATGTATAGATAAATTCAGTGGCAGTTTTGATACACAAAGATGGGTAAGACCCATTGAAGACGACGAAGCATTGGAAAGTCATTTAGTCTTATCGATTCGATTGAAAATACTGCATACTGGTCTAAAAATAAGGCAGGAAACTTCCAGATTTTGTGGAATATCAGTACATGAGCAGAAACCTAATAAGTGGCAGTTTAGTGTAACTTATCGGAATTACTCATTATTGAGCTTTAAAACCAACGAAATAGTGACCACGTACTCCCTGGTTTTCAGTGGTTGTTCAAATGATGTCAGTTTGTGATGATAATAGTTTAAAGTTTGATTGCATCTTAAAGATCCTCAATATGCATTAGTCACTTCATTGCAGCCTAGTTACTAGTAATTCACTTTAAGTCATAACCATGGAAATATAAGATGTTTTTTACCCTAACACTTTCAAAACAGCATTAGTGAAATAGGTATGCATATCTTACTTATCGTAAATCTGTAGATGACATGGAATGGCTGCTATAAATCCAACCAGCTTTTTACTTTTAGTTACACGAAGTCCAACATGCCAATCTTTATGCCAACCAGGTGACTTCAGAATCCTTGAGAAAAAAAGAAATGCGCATACTAAGAAACTTGAAAGGAAGGTTTCACAAATCAAATTATTTAGTGTTATAAAAATAATACAAAAACTACAAGTGAAACAAGACGGCTTGTTAGCGCTGGCTGAAAAAGCAGAAAATTAGACTTCCAAATAATGACATACATTGTGAAACTCATACGAAGAGAGATAACTCTGAAACAAAATATATAACAAGTAGTACTTGGTGGATACAAACGTCAATTTGGCAGATAATATCCAGGTGCAATACTAGTCCATTATTTCCCTTCATTAATCCACAGATCTGCAAGTGTTGGTGAGTATGAGAGACTACTGAAGAAGCCAAAGCTGCAGCTTACTTATTTAAACAGTCAACCTTTTGAATTGATGGATAACGAATTCGAGTAATATTCTTCTTACCGAAGTTCGGGCGATAGGCGAGGCTTATAATTAACAAATCAATGCGTTAATCACCCGGAGTCGCTTATGAATCGACAAAAACAACAGAAAGGGAGGTGTACACGAAAATTCATTCGACATGACGAGTTTACCAGCCTATATTGAAATCTTCTACTCGGCATAGACGAAAAGTTAACAACCAAATAGACTGATTAAATTTTTTAGTTTAATCACCGTTAAACTACATTCACCATACTTTTCCTTTAAATAAAACAATACAATGGGTGAGTTTTAGGCTAGTACGCTATATATATATATATATATATATATATATATATATATATATATATATATATATATATATATATATATATATATATATATATACCAGTGATGGCAATAGTTTTGATGACCGTACTAATAAAACTAAATCCGTAGCCTAATGAAACATATCCAAAAATGGATATGAAAAAAATCAATTAGAAATCCTGATGAGGGAAGGCACTTTATCATTTTAACCATCGTTACTGTTTTCAAAGTAAGCATAACTGAAATAGCACAATCTCAGTTTCGCATAAAGTGTTATCCAAAAAAATGTCAGTAAACACAAACCACATAGTGAAATACGTAAATCATGCTAATCCATATATCTAATTAGCTGGGTAATGCACTCATAGTCACGTGTGTAGAAATCGAAAGCAGTATGGATAAATGAAGTAATTTTGTGCATGCTAGTAAACTAAGCCAAACTCGTCTGGTTAACCAGTTCACTAGTTACTAGACGGTCCTAAGCCCTGGTAAAGAAAGGTTGGGCATAGGGCTAGCAACCCTACTCCAGAAAACCAATCTAACCGCTACAGAAACTTCAAAGCATAGACAAAATATAAATAAAAAAAACTTATTCCTTGCTCGAATCGGAGAGACGAAGTGATGTCAAATGGTGAAAGCTTTCGGGAAGCCAGTCGGCCGATGTATCTCCTCTCGATGAAAGCGAAAGTAAACATGGGGACATGGAATGTCCGCACGATGTTTGAACCCAGCAAGGCAGCCCAGATTGCAAAAGAGATGAGAAGATATGGCATGGAAGTGCTGGCAATCTGCGAAAGCAAATGGAATGGAAGTGGACTTACTAAACTCTTCATTGCAGAGTCAATAATCTACTCCGGTATTGTCATCCCGACGACAACCACGAGAACACTGAGTTTTGGAGTGGCCATCATAATGTCCCCAAGAGCATCGAAGGCTCTCATGCAGTGGGAACCAGTCTCCTCCTCCAGGATCATGACAACAAGGTTCAACTCAAAAAGAAGGAAAGTCACAATCATACAATGCTACGCCATGCACCTACAAATAATGCAGATGAGGAGAAGAAGGAGGAAGTCTACAGACAACTGCAATCAGTACTGGACAGGACCCTCACCCCAGTTGGCGACATCAAAATTCTAATGGGTAGGGGGGTGAGGTGACATGAATCCTAAACTGGGAGCGGACAACACAGGAAGAGAACCAATTATGGGTCAAGAAGCACTCGCTGAAATGAACGAAAATGGAGAACTGTTCGCAGACTTCTGCACATTCAACGATTTGGTGGTTGGAAGCAGCGTGTACAAACATAAGGATATCCACAAAGCGACATGGATTTAATTTCATCACATGAATACACTACACTAAAAATCAGATCGACTTCATTTCAATCTCAAGAAAGCAAAGACGTAGCCTACTGGACACAAGATGAAGAAGGTGAGCAGATGTAGGTTCACACCACTCACTGTCTAGTGCAAGGAACCTACCTTCAAAATCAAGTTGAAAGCCTTCAAGGAGATTGGTGGTAGACCACAGTCCAGGTCCAACACCCAGAACAGAAACTGAACTGAAGGACGAAACTACAAAGGACATCTTCACGTCAGCCATCAAGACAAAATGGGAGATATCGAGCAACATCCTTGAAGAAACCTGTGTGGATGAACACTGGAAGTCTTTGAAAGAGATGTGGAAAGAAACCTGCATAACCGTATTAGGAAGGAAGAAGAAAGGAATAGATCTCGAAGGACACATGGAAGCTGATAGAGGAGAGGAAGAAGGTGAATCAGAAGATAAAGCAATGCAGTGCAAAGGTAAACAAGGAAAAGAGGAACTGAATATAACCTATGAACACTGGACAAAGAAGTGAAGGGTAATGTGCGGAAAGACAAAGAACACTTCTACGACACACTGGCAAGTGAAGCAGAATAGCCAGCTGGTGGGAGACACCTGACAACACTATATCAAATAACCAGGTTACTTTCGGGGAAGACTTCAACGCAGACGAAACCAATGAAAGATCGTGAAGGAAATCTAGTTATCAAAAGAGAAGAAACAAAGAAAACAATGGGCTGACCACTTCAACAAACTCTTGAATCGGCCACCACCATCACCTGCAACTCGTTCATAAATACCACCAGCAGGACTACCAGTGAACACAGGCCCTCTGACAAAAGCAGAAGTGAAGTCCTGAATGCCATAAAACTGCTGGAAGCCGGCAAAGCAGCAGGACCAGACGGAATCCCGCCAGAAGCACTGAATACAGACGCTGGACAACAGCGGACATGCCCACACCACTATTGCAGAAGGTCTGGAAGAAAGGAAGGAAGGAAAAGTACCTGCAGATTGGAAGAAGGGCTACCTTGTCGAATTCACAAAGAAAGGAGACCTAGGTCTTAGCAAGAACTGGCGAGGAATCATGCTGCTGTCACCCAAAAGCAAAATATTATGCCGCATCATCCTGGAGACACTTAAAGATGCACTGGATTCAAAATTACGACAGGAACAGGCTGGCTGGCTACAGGAAGAACAAATCATGTGCGGATCGAATTGCAAAACTACGTTACGCATCATCATAGAACAGAGCATAGAATGCCAGTCAACTCAACTCAACCTCAACGTCGTCCACTTCAAAAACGCCTTCGACAGAGTCGACCGACAAGTAATTTGGCAGTAGCTTCAACATTATGGAGTGCCGCAAATATTTATCAACCTCATTCAACAGCTATATAAAAACGCCACATGCCAAGTAATTCACAATAGGAAGCTCGGTGATGCCTTTGAAGTAGGAGTGAAGACAGGAGTAAGACAAGGCTGCCTACTATCGCCCATAATCTTCCTGAGTGTAGTGGACTGAATCATGCAAGGAACTGTGAGGAGCTGTTTGACCGACGAAAGGAGCCTAAAAGATTTGGATTTCGCCGATGATTTGTGTCTAATGTCACACAAACTCGAAGATATACAGGCGAAGACTAACTAGTTGGCAGAGGAGGCTGCGAAGACGGGACTTCAAGTAAACATGAAGAAGACGGAGGTGTTGAAGATACCCAACGAACAACAGCATCAACAACAAGCACCAATCACCATTAACGGGAGAAACCTAAAGGAAGTAGTCTCTTTCACCTACACCTACCTAGACAGGCAGCATAGTTTCAACTACAGGCGACACAGGCACAGATGAGGACGTCAAAGCAACCAGGATCAGAAAAGCAAGACAGGCTTTCACTAATCTGAAATCAGTGTGGAGATCTACTGCACTCAGCATAAAGAACAAGATCCAAGTTTTCAACACCAATGTCAAGTCAGTGCTCCTATATGGTTCAGAAACTTGGCACGTCGCGAAAAGCATTCCCAACAAACTAGTGACATTCATCAACAGCTGCCGCCTACGCTCGCTCGATACTGAGGATCAGATGGTCAGAAAGAATAAGCAACAAGGAACTCTGGCCTGGCAACGAACCAACCAACAACCTATCACCCAACAAATATGCAGAAGAAAGTGGAGATGGATTGGGCATACACCGAGAAGGTCGACTGGGGACATCACACGCAAGGCCCTGTAGTGGAACCCAAAGGGGAAACGACGAGCTGGGCCTCTGGGCTGAGGGTGACATGGAGGAGATGGTGTGAGGAAAAAATGAAAGCTTCTGGGCAGACGTGGTGCCAGGTCCAAAAGGCTGCAGAGAACAGAGTGCAATGGAGGCGTGCTACTGAAGCCGTATGTTCCACTAGGAACCCAAGGGAAAAATAATATAATAATAAGTAGTAAACTAAGCCGTAAGATACTTGCTTCGAGGAGGAACACTACATAACTCTATAACAATATGACCAACACTGGATTTTTCAGAACTAAATCAAGGCTGCCTTAAGTGAATTTCTGTGACTGAATTCTTGTTGACTGGAGTTGGAGTGTATAACTACTTCAATGCAGTGAGGTGTACAGCAGAGCGCGACAAAAGTGTTAGAATGAAACAATTTTTTTGGAAAACTTTCTCCTGACTTTCAAATTGAAAAGCAAGTGCATATTCTGCCAGAAAGTTAGCGTTGAGGGGAAAACAATTAAAATCTGATTTTAAAATTTGTTGTATGACAGTATGAAAGCGATCTATAACTCGTTAAGAGCTTTCAAATACCAAGTAATTTCTCAGGCAGCTATTAAACATATGGTTTGATAATGAGCGTGAATGCTGGCGAGTATACTTAATAAAGTGCACATATCCTTTATAGATCATTTTGATGCAAATTAGATTGAAGGGAGTGATACAGTTTGGTAGGCAACGATCTGACAGGTACACCAGAAATGAATCTCCAGACATCTTAGTCTGATATCTAACTTCGACACGAGCAAATAGGAACAAGACAAGCAGAAGGGAAGTGAATGAGTTTATCGTCGTTTAAAACTGATTATAATTAGGACAAAATTTCATGCATGCTTGTGGGATTTTGTTCGGTAATCTTCTGGATAAACCATTAAAGGAGCAAGATTCAGCATTTTTCCAGAAGTTCAAAACTCCCAAGACGGAGCGATTAAAAATACTTAATTTTCAGGCATTTTCGGGTCAGATTTTTTGGAAATAGTATAGTACTTTCCTACATATCTTTATCCACAAAGATGACTACTGTTCTGTTCTGTATTCCGTCTTCTGACATTTTTGGTTGGTATTTTCAGCCGTAAATAGGTAACAGAAAAAGTTTTCAAATAATCGAGACCACAGAAAACAAGAGAATCGGTTTAGTGTTCATTTAGTTGGTAATTATGTCATAGGAAAATGAAGGATAAGGAATAAAAAGAGAACGTTCACGAGTCAATGGTAACGCAAATGACGAATTCATCCCTCCTGGTTACAATGAATAATGAATTGTTAGGAAGCTTTTTCCTCAAACAAGTAACACATAGGGCAATGTTAAATCTTTCCATATCTCAGTACGTATGAGAACACCGAATTGAGGTAGGTTTTACATGAGTACCTTTTTTCTACAGAATAAGTATCGAATTCTGAAGTGCTGCAGACGGTGAACAGTGGTAACATTTACCTTAAAGAGCATTTCTTAGTGATGTTCAACACAAGTAAAATTGTTTCATCAATGAGGAAGTGAAAATTATAATCCCCACAGAAAAACATCATATTTCTTTCACACAAATATAACTAGTTACAGGACTTCATCTTATAGCCACATCCCCCAATGAATAACTTTCTGATAAAATAAAGAATTGTAAGTGCTTCTATTACTACTCTCCAATTCGTGTCATAAGGAAGAGTTCAAACCGAACTAACTAGGTTTTAGACAGAATAGTTTAAAACAATACATGCTCAAACCCAGTGCTACTAAAAATTTCTACCGAATATATATTACATCAAATTGTTCCTTTTCAATTTGTTTTAATCTTTCCAGTACGCTTTCTAGAGGCATCATGTACTCGTGCACATATTCAAATATTTTCAGCCAGCTGCTTTTCAAGCTGACAACAAAATAAAGGAAAAAAGTCATGGTAGATGGAAATGGACTTTGAAATTCAAAAAAAAAATACATCATATTTCTATTACTCATATAGTTAGCTAGAATCGTAAGTTCTTATACTGGTTGAATGAACCAAAACTGTCAAATTTAAATTTCTTTTTCTGTTCATTCACCATTCCAGACCAGATGCTACTCTAACAACAGTTGGCTGTATCACATTATTGACTTTAATACTATTATTATTAACATCATTCACATGTAATAATCATTTTGTTTAAAAAATAATGCATTAGGAATGAATTTGTTGAAATACTACACACTCAGAATTACATACTGTGTCTAATATACTGCTTGGAATAAAGGGATTATTATTATAACCACTTATTATTGTTATTATTAAAAATACAACTGTACGAAGTAAATATTATCACTGCCAAATATTTTGTCGATGAAATCAGGTTCAAATGTAAGAGAGTGAATTTCAACACTGACTTCAGTTTCTTTATATCTCTTGTTTTTAAATGATGAGTATAAGCGATCAAAAAACTCTGAAAAGATACTTTTTACCTAATCATAAGTTGTTGATAGGGGTTGAACTTGGTGAGTGAAACCACCATCGAAAAGGATGGGACGCTGATAACCTTTCAGGACAGGAGGCTAGAACGTTGGGTAGTTTAGCTGACCCCCCCCCCCCAGCAACGCTTCAGTTGTCCAACATTCAGCCTGAATCTGAACGGGACGTAGACGTCAATTCACCAACTCTCCTTGAAGTTGCAAAAGCTGTATCGAACCTGAAACGATGCAAAGCAACAGGACCTGACAGTTTGCCACCTGAAGTTTTCAATGATGGAGGCAAGAAGTTGCTAACTAAAGTGACGGAGGTACTAAGTAGTGCATGGGAATCAGAAGCAGCACCGTCAGACTGGACTACTTCTCTTATCATCTCAGTCTATAAGGGCGAAAAATCTTTCTGTGACAACCATAGGGGAATTAGTTTGACTAATATTGTGTCCAAGAAAACTACGGTCCATAGTTATCGGACGCCTAACTGTAGCTCAAAAACAGGAAACTCGAGAAAACCGGGTAGGATCCGGGCCTCGAAAAGTGCGTCGATAATATTTCCATCCTTCGATAGGTCCTGGAATACAGGCATACTCACCCGCCAATGGCCGACATATCATATTTCTTAACTTGAGGACGGCATTCGACTCTGTCGACTACGAAGTGTTGGAGCAGTATTTGACTGTGAAGGAAGTACCGAGAAAGTATATAACGCTAATCGAAGCTCTCTACTCGAACCCAAAAACTGGTGTCACAGCTTGTAGAGAGTTGTCGTCGGAAGTGACGACAACTAGTGCTGTCCAAAAGAGATGTCCACTGTCACTGTTCCTATTTAGCTTTGTCATTGACGTACTAATGGACATAAATTTAGATGCGTCTGACTTCCCGCGAACCTACTCCCTGGGAGTCATCTGGTGGACTTGGAGTGTGCAGACGATATTGTCCTGCTGGCTGAAAACGCAAACAAAATTTAGCGGCTTCTGAACGCGTAGAGCAGAGTATGTTTGCACGGGTTTCGCTGGCACCTACCAAATGTAAGATGATGTTCCAGGAATGGTCTACTTCAAGCACTCTCAGTTTAATGATAGGAAGTGGAATGTGTCAACTACCTTAGTAACTTGGGGAGTTGCATCAGCCCCAACCTCCTGGTTGCTGACGAAATCTCAGCTCAGATACAGAAAGCCCGTTTGGCACTTCTCAACCTGAATTATGCTTTCCAGACACATACTATCTTCATGACACGTGTCCATTTTGAGCATGAACTGATAAAATTTAGAATTTATTTCGATTTGGAAACCGTATTAAGTATTGATAGAGTACTGAGGTCAAGTTACACTGATACATTGTCTTAAAGTACAGCGTTGTCCGACACTATTCGGTTCCCGATGTCTTCTAGTATTTTTATCGATTTGGGGTAAGTGATCACATAATCTAATACTGTTCAAAACTAATACGTACAGTTAAGTATTAGGTGAAAATTGGTGCGTATTCTTTTGACACATACGTCAGACTCATAAGAATGGAAGACAAATTTTACGATTGATGCTTACCACTGTAAGAAAGGTTTGGAATAATCAAATCTGAAGAGGTGATCATCATCTTCTACATAGTTTTCAAACAAAAGATCATACAATTCTTGTAGCTAAAATAATAAAAGAAAGCTGATGATACATTTTCCTGTGCCAGATAATCATAATAATCATAATCATACTAAATAACTAAGCTAAATTCAAGTATTCTTCATTTAGATCAACATTACTGAACAATGAATTACTGGCGCGTCAAAAACCATAAGACCACACCAGTTGAGTGTGATTTCTCAATGTAATTCAGTCGTTAAGATCAAAGTGGGTGAAGTGGGATTTCACCACACTATACCGTAATAAGTGACTAACGTATTCAACAATAACTTTGAGGATATTTTCTTCAGCACTTAGTATTAGCACCAGGTTAACAGGTAACCTAAAGGCAGCTCTGTCTAGGCACTCGACTTCCAACCAGTACGTCACCGGTTCAATCCCTGCTCCACCGGCAGAGGTCTGGGTGATCAAGCAAGTACCATCAGCTCTCACGCAATATATGTGGCTCATTGCCTCCTGGACGAGTGCGCATATGACTAATAAGTGCGATGTGACCAAGAAATCTGACACCAGTTAACACAGATATAACTAGAAACGATGTAGAAATTGACAGAATAGTTGCTTTCATCGATGTAACTTTGAAAAAAGGCGATGATTTACGAAATTATCACCAAGATAACATATTCTGCAAGATCTCTCGAAATTGATAACTGCTAAAATTTAAGAATAGTTTCACTGACTTCCAGATATTCGTTCTCAATGTAACTCAGTATATAACATCCCGAGAACTTCAACAACATAGCTTGAACCTTCATGGTTTGGCGCTTTCGTGGTCTCACTACCAACAGCTTTCTCCTAACTTAATCCTATTTCGGATAAGATTAAGGTAGGTGGTGGGTCGGTATACTTAGCACATAGCCGCCTGGGTCAGTGAACGTTAACAATCTCATAGACTAACTTATCTTTCTTATGTATTACTCTTAACTTAATATCAACATTGTTCACTGTGATTCTGTCACATATGCGATCGAAACATGCTACCTTCAACCGTCTTTCTTCCTTAAATGCCATTTTTGTAGCCATAAGTTGGAAGTGTTGCTGATGCTATGGATCACTTGTCGGTTAATAGTTAGTTACCTTTGTTTCGAAGTTGAAATTTGCTCAGACGACTGTTCAGTGTGGCTGATGTAGCTTCCTGAGTGACTGAAGTTGTCAGAGAATCCAGCTGCTTCTCTCCTTATGTTAATTAAGAGTCTATGCGTATCAGTTGTGAAGCATCTTTTTAGATTTGACGGTAGTAAAACCTACATAAACTTTACCCAGTTTTACTTACCACTTTCAGAGAGCTATGTAATTTGTTAACACCAACTATCAATAATATTACATCGTTTGCGTCTTCCAGTTAATTCAGATGCTGTCTGTGTGAATCATTCCATTTTTAATCGAAAGTAAGCACCGTCATCCCAATTAATACTGCTAACTGACAAAATCAATGTAGAACCTCGCACACAGGTGAAACGGCTCAGGTCTTCACATCTTATAGCATCAGATGACGTTACTGACTATAAGATGACTTTCCATGATGTTCAAACAAGTATTTCTCAACTTCAGAATGACTTACATAGTGTTTCCACAGGATAGTAGCAATCTTATGAGTCATAAAATGATCGAACACAGAGAAATTTTAATAGTCTTTAGCTTGGATAGGCCAGGTTTCCTACAAATACAAAAAACCAGCGCCGTTGTGTTGTGCTTTTGAAATTTTATGGGTCACCCGATTAGGCAAACGCCTCTCAGCCTTTTGATGGACCCGGTGGGAATCTCACTTATCCCATCACCACTTGCACAAATACCTAGGTATATGAACTTTTCTACTGCTTTCGCAGTTGATATCTGACAGTAGAGGCTCCTACCAACCTTTTGAAAGAACTATGCACCTTGTGGATACAAAACACGACATAATTTGGGACAGAAACGCACCTCATTTTCATCGTCCAACGACAATTCACACCAGTAAAATCCTTCAGGTAATGTGTAAGGCTGAGAACGAATATCCTCATGCTTTGAATCAGGTTCGATGGGACCGTTATCAGTAATTTGCTCAGCTGAAAGGCAAATTTCACAAAATAAAAATTAGTCAAGAAATTTTGTACTTTTTCACTATCTACTCCAAAACAATTCAAGCAATTTTTAAAAGGAATGGGTTTGCACAAATATAAATAAACAAATCTAATGTGGATTACGTTCACAGTCTGTAACCGAGGCAGCTAAGCTGCTAATTTGCGTTACGTAATCACAGCGACTGACCAAAAACTCGTACCAAATTTAGCACAAGTAAGGGATATTAGTGTCTAGCGTTCTAGATTTGGCACTGTTCGAAACAAGCTAGAACGCGTTCTTATTAAAACAGAGATAAAACAGGACACTGCAAGGCTCAGTACCAGGAGATCTAAGATGAAAAGACAAGGGGAACAGCGAAATAAACATACTAACATCATTAGTCGTAAAAAGCTGTAAGATAAAAAGAAAGATTACCATACAAAGATATGTGATGGTAAGATTCTATAAACTTGGATGGAGATAAGCCACTTTTTTTACACCAGTATCATCGATTTTGTTTGTCTCCTAGAGTTGGCCAGTGGATTCAAACCAGGCAATCTGCAGGTTTAGACTACTAACCCAATACTTTGGTCTAATCATAATTCTTTTTTCAACCTATACTTATTCTAACTGACACAGTCAAATACACTCTTTACGTTCACTGGCTTCAGAAAAGATTACAAGATCTACGTGCCTACTGTTGAAGATTGCTCAGTTTTTGTTGCCAGAAGATCACGGTTGAAAACAGTCTACAAGTTACCTCAATAAAACTGCTTTACTATGTGATTAATCGAATAAACAAGCTGAAGCCATAATGTCTCTGAATAAAATCCAATTGCGTGTTTTTACGCAAAGCCGTGTTAGTCGATGTTTCGATTCCGAGCACATTTAAGGAAGGTTTTCTGCTTGTGATTTTTCTGCGCTCCTCGAAAAACAAAACTTAGACATGTCCAATCTAATAATATGACCGAACTTTGTAAACAAGCTCTAGAAATGGTCTTCACTAACCGACATATTCGACGGTAAGTTTTCACACAATATAGTTGATGTACGTCAGTCACTGGTTTGATATAAGTGAATGCGAGTTTTCTAGTCATGTAAGCACTCGACTTGTGACTGCTAAGATCTGGACGTCCATGAAGATAAAATAAATCCTTATTAACCTTTGAAATGGCTATCTATTAGACTAGGAAAGTAAGAGCAAAAAAGTTCGTACTTACAAGAAACATAATTATCCATCTCATAAATCTGTTAGCTGTTGCAGGAATGTTTGTGAACCCTTTCAGTGGCAATCGTCAACCAACGATATTTAAATGAAGAAGTTGAAAATGCCTACCATGTAAACCAAATTTTTATGCAGTTATGATTGTATAACGATTTACTTTGGAGCATTGGAAGTGTAGACAATCACGTTTCTGTCTGCCAATACTCGAATGATCCATAAAGAAAGTTTCCTGATGAGGTTAACAATAGGTCAGATTCCTGAGTAATAATCCGTATTATGTACCGTGATAGAGTTCTGAGAGAGGACGAAGAGACGGTTTACTCTAGTATATAGTTCACTACAGTCATTACGTGAGAGGAAAATTGAGTCCGCGTGTCACGCATAATTAATGTTGGCTTTTTTCGTTCCAGCAGTAAGTTTAAGTTGACTCGAATCCGACTGCATAAACAAGTTTCATCTCCCATTTTTTAACAAAAAGACTGATTGAACGAAGGAATATATTCCTTTTCAATCAGGTCTTCGTTTTCGGCTCTACATTAATATATAGTTTTACAATTTAATCAAATTACCAATCAAGTGGCGAAGGGTTGGTGAGTAATAATCAGAGATTTTAAATCATGATGATGTTTTAGGAACAAAGATATAAATAATCAATAGTTATTATAATTGGAAATATGAAGCAGGTTATTCTTAGGTTAATGGAGTGATTTTTGATGAGTGTTCAGTCATAAACAATAAGTGATTACGTAATGATGAGAAAACAAATGAATATTGATAGAAACAAGAAGGGGATGAGGTGTAAAAAGTAATACTAGAAGTTACATCGTGTTGACAGCCACGGTAGTAAAAGTGGTCGAACAAACTTCTTTTGAATACAAAGGTTAGGTTTGTAAAGGTGGATTACAATCGCCCCGCTATGTGAAGTAAGCTAGTGCGTATTCCATGTGGTAAGTTAATTGGAATATGATGGATAATTTTGAAAGCTTTTCTAGTATCCACTTGATGTCCTGTGTCAACTGGATGTGCAAGTATGGAGCTCTTTATTGTTCTAATTTGTCCCTTGCTTAACCATGATGGGTGGTGCTCAGAAATTCGACAATGGGACTGCTTCATTGTGCGCCTGACGTAACTAGCTCCACAGGAGTAGTTCAGTTGATAAATGCACATAGAGCTTGTATACACACAGAAAGTTTGGTACCATCATCTAAGGTAGCCGTTGATAGACTTAAGACTGCTCTCGTTGACTCCTGCTTCGAGTACACAAGTAGTAGGAAGGATACAAAGAGTATTTTAACGAAAAAACACAGAGAAGCTTAGCAAAAGCTTAAAACAAATGCAAATATTGTGATTACTAATCCAGATAACGGATCAGGAATAACTTTGATGGATAAAAAGAATACAGAGACAAAATGTTTTACTTAGTGATGAGAGTAAATTTCAGAAACTAGGAACTTGTGGTAACACGATAGAGAAAACTGAGAAACATCTTACCGAATCACTGGAAAAGATAAAACAACAGGGTATCATTTCAGAAAGCACCTTCGAAATGCTCAAACCTACTAGAACCGTTACACCTAGACTGCATGGTCCGCCAAAACTGCATAAAAACGGTCTGCCTCTCCGACTAGTTCTCGACACGACAAACTCTCCGTATCATATAACCGCAAAATGGTTAGTAAAACTCTTGAAGCCTCTCCACAAAGAAGTTGTAAAGTGCAGTCTCAAAGATACCTTTGAATTTGTTGAAAAGATTTAGGATCTGAAAGTAGATAATAAGTTTATGATATCGTGTAGTGTTTCATCTATCTTTACTAACTCTCCTTTAATGGAGACAGGCAGGCAGTCTGATGGTGTAGTTATGGAGTCACCCTTTGCCCCGCTCTTGGCAATTTTTTTTCTGGCAAAACTAGAGTGATCCGCTGAAAGAAACTATTAGCCGTTTAGAGTTAATCGTCGATACATGGATACCTTCATAGTTCTCAAAAGTGAAACTGATAAGAATGCTGTTTTCAATAAGTTCAATAGCGTTCAATCAGTAATCAACTTCACAAGAGAATAGGAGGAAAATGATAGTGTCCCATTTCTTGATGCTATGTTCGTAAGAAGGTTAGATGGAATTCTGAAACGAAGTGTATATAGAAAACCAACATCGATAAGTCAATATACGCACTTCTTTAGTGTCATACGCCTTCAATACAAAAGTAACCTGGTGAAATGCCTAGCGTACCGCGCCAAAGCTATTTGCTCAAATGATGCTATAAAGGAGGAGTGCGTCATCATCCATGATCTGCTTAATAGGAATGCCTATCCAGACGAATTTGTGACTGAGCATATGGATGTTACGAGGGTAAAGACGAGAACGCCAACAGTACCTAAAAAGCCAATCTTCTTGAAGCTAAAATTTACGAGTGACATTCCCAGTGAGATCACACAATGCAATCTGCATTTATCAACTGAACTACTCCTGTGGAGCTAGTTACGTCAGGCGCACAATGAAGCAGTCCCATTGTCGAATTTCTGAACACCACCCATCATGGTTAAGCAAGGGACAAATTAGAACAATAAAGAGCTCCATACTTGCACATCCAGTTGACACAGGACATCAAGTGGATACTAGAAAAGCTTTCAAAATTATCCATCATATTCCAATTAACTTACCACATGGAATACGCACTAGCTTACTTCACATAGCGGGGCGATTGTAATCCACCTTTACAAACCTAACCTTTGTATTCAAAAGAAGTTTGTTCGACCACTTTTACTACCGTGGCTGTCAACACGATGTAACTTCTAGTATTACTTTTTACACCTCATCCCCTTCTTGTTTCTATCAATATTCATTTGTTTTCTCATCATTACGTAATCACTTATTGTTTATGACTGAACACTCATCAAAAATCACTCCATTAACCTAAGAATAACCTGCTTCATATTTCCAATTATAATAACTATTGATTATTTATATCTTTGTTCCTAAAACATCATCATGATTTAAAATCTCTGATTATTACTCACCAACCCTTCGCCACTTGATTGGTAATTTGATTAAATTGTAAAACTATATATTAATGTAGAGCCGAAAACGAAGACCTGATTGAAAAGGAATATATTCCTTCGCTCAATCAATCTTATTCGAAATTTCTAAATGGGAATGTTCAATTTACTGAAATCCTATCTTTTTAACGAAAAGATCACAGCTCTGTCAGGCAGGGGATTGAAAACGTTTGTATCACTTTATGTGAACCACAATTCTATTCACAACTGCAGAATGTGATTCAACTGTCCAATTTTTCGTAAATGGCGACTCAGATAAGTTGTGAAACTCTGAGGAAATTGGCTTGTGATAAGCGAGGATCCTGAAAACATAATCTTGAAACAAGTGACTAGTATACTTGCTGGAAAAATAAATAGCCGGCAATTCTTTGTATAAAGTTTTGCATCGTGATTCAATGGGGTCAAATTTTTTCGAAGGGTTGATAAAAATTAATCATAACTCCAAATGCGAAATGTAAGACGTTCAGACATTAAACAGCTGTCCTTCCGAGTAGAGACCCATATGAGATAGTATTAAAGGTCCGGATGCGGCAAAATTTTAAGAGTTAGTCGTACTTCATTGGCAAAGGTTTAATTCCTACAATTACCTTTCAGTAAGTAGTTAAAAAGGATTACCGCCAGCATATGAAAATCAGTCCGAGTTACTGGTTGCACAGAAAAACACTTCACAACAGATAAAAGAACGAAGAAAAAGTATCAGCCCATTACAGCAAATCACGTTCTGTA